ATAACTAAACGTCTCACGTATGAAAGTTTGTTCTGTAATAGTCTGTACGTCGCTTTTCAATGCAACATATTGTTATTCGTTGTTTTCGTGCATCTCGTGACTTCTGATTTAAGTAGGTCCCACCCCACGCATCGGCATCGCATTGTTTCTACATATTATATTGTTTTTTTATATATATCTTCACAGTCATAACTTCATCATCATCATCATCAGCCTATTAATGTCCCCACTGCTGGGGCACAGGCCTTCCCTATGGATGGAATAGGGAGATTGGGCCATGACCCACCACGCGGGCCCAGTGCGGATTGGCGGGTGCTAACGACTGCAGATGCAGCCGGGACCAACGGCTTAACGTGCCTTCCAAAGCACGGAGGAACTCAAGATAGTAAATTTTTGGTCACCCATCCAATGACCGACCACTGCGAAAGTTGCTTAACTTCAACGATCGCAGCCGAATGCGCTAACCACTTGCGCCATCGAGCTCCTCATGTCATAACTTACTAATAGTATATTACAGTCGCTTTACTAAAAGAGGCGCCCATTTATTTTTATTACAGGATAATATGTTAATGGCATTTTAACGACAAAGTATTAAACAATTATTATGTTCAATTACCTCAGAAAATATACACTAATTACGGCTCAAGAATTTTTCTGTGTGCAGTTCGGAACTGTTCGGAAATTTTTAATCGAAATATTTATCGCCTGACTATGAACGCGACGCGACCGTAGTTTCGAATAAACCACTCGATAAGGTGGAGTCTTTATCCTAGTTCCTAATAGATACGCTCTCTACTTATGCCCACGCTTCTACGTCATTAAAGTCAGGCGTCAGGCGAAGCAAAGCCTCTGACCCAGTCTATTTATATTCAAGTAGTTTCACATTACAGGTAATACATATCTGTATTGATGTAATTATTTTAAAAAACTATATAAAATATCAAATGGGTATTAAATATACAAAATATTATCGAAACTCACCTGTATTATGAGGGGGCGGAATGCGTGAATGCTTTCATCACTAACATGAGATGGAAACACTTCTAGGTCGAAGTCAATGATGGCACACTTAGATGAGTTGCAGTAATTTGACACCTGAATGTACAAATGACCATTTTACTACCTACTTGCAAATTGCTTTTATAAGAGAAGTTAAATAAGCTATAAGATTTCCATAAGGAAGTGAAGGCGATAAATGATTTAGTATATATGCTGTTACCATTGAATGGATGACTAATTTAAGTTGAATGCTAAATTCAATCTGGTCGTTTCTAAATAGGAATACAGAACTTGCTTTGATCAGAAAAATAATTTCCTCATGTACTTAGATTCAGTTCAAACCATCAGTAATAATGAATGGAACTATTCTGTACAGCCAGAAGGGCATATATTTATGACTTGAGAAATATTTACCACAGTCAATGAATATGGTTTTAATCCTAAATTGTACAGAAGCACAGTGTAGGGGAGGCGAGCGGCGGCGCGAACGAAGTTAACAGCGAGGGCGTGCGAGTCCCCTCTCGCATGCGTCACCAGCACGGGCTGCGTCGTGTTGTGCCAGACCTCAACTCCACCGAGTAGCCCCAGCAAGCGGAAGTAACGCTCCTCTTGTACCAAGTGGTTCTCTTGAACATCACGCAGGTTCTCCTGTGGCGACACAGACACCTGTTTTGTGGGTGATTACACGTCAGAATAACAAACACAAACATAGAAACAGCCTATTGATGTCCTCACTGCTGAAGTACAGTCCTTCCTTTCGACAGAATCACATAGGAAGTCCAGTGTCAACAACTGCAAATGCAGTCAGGACTAAAAGCTTAATACACTTTCTCAAAGTATTCAAGACCAGCTAAAGATAATTAATCAGATGAATAAACATTCAATCACACTAAACATGCTCACTACTGGGCCATTGGCTCTTCAGATGCTAACATTCATTCAATAACTATAGTGAAACTTTCCTTTTGGTCTTTATTATGGTCAAATCATAGAACAGAATCATTCTGCCATTTTTTGCCTACATGCTTAAAAACCAAACTGTAATTAAATAAATAAATATTTCCAACACTCACACCAATTAGCCTAGCCCCAAAGTAAGCACTGTAAGGCTTGTGTTATGGGATGCTAGGGTAACGGATACAATACATATACTGTACATATATAAGTATATTTATATATAAATACATATTAAACATCCATGACTGGAGTACAAATGCTCGTATTCATCACACAAACATCTGTCACCATGAAACCTAGCGTACAAACCACTCGGCCATGGAGGTGGTCTTTATCTAATTATGACACTCACACACAAACAATGACACAAAACACTGCCAAATCCTGCACACAATCAACGATTTGTAGACTACATACAATAAATAATAATCAAACACGATCTAGCTTTATAGATTGAGTATATAAAATTCACAAAGCCTTTATAACATATCTTTGTTGGTTACAGCACAAAATAGAAAATATTAAATCAATGCCATAAAATATTCATATATAGGTATAGACAAATTTTGTACTACTGCGATGATGACATTCAATATATTAAGAGTATTGAACTGTGATTCAGTTGCACTCACTTTGCATTATTTTGATGATTGCACTATCAAAATAATGCAAAAACAAGTTAATGGTGTGAATTCTGACATGAATAAACTTAAATTTGGCAACAGTGTATACTAGTCATTCTCTATACAAAATAAAAAGGAGCGACTGATGTTAAATTTAGTTTTAAGTTTAGAGAATACTGAACTTCTGGTGTTAACACCAGAATTGACACCATTGTCTACTTATTATTTAAGTAATTAAAATACTGAATTATCCTTCTTCTTTCCCAGTTGGATCAAGAGATAAAACTAGCAAAACACATTATTTATCTCACTAACTCACATCTCATTAATATAAATTGAGTGTTGTTATGCTGAAAGCGACCAGCAGGCATTTTTGGAGCAAGCAAACCTTCTTTCTATGTAACCATATTTAAGTTTGATTCTTTTTGATCCCAAAAATGACCGCTGGTCGTTTTCTGCTTAACAATCAATTTTGTAGAAAAAGATTCTATGTCAAAGGCAGATACTGGTACAGTTCTATTTACCTGAAAATCCTTTATGTGCTGATGTGTTTGAGTAACAATGTTTTGGATAGACGGAGGTGGCTGAGAATGAAAAACTATTAAATAAATACTTATTGCGAAAACAGAGGTTGAAAAGAGAAGAAAACTTTTAGTCTTCATTTTGCGAGCACATTATTCACTTATGTAATATAATATTACATGACGGTCTTACATTATGTAATTAAGATAACTTATGATATTGCTCATCATATTCATACATTTCTTTTGAGAAATAAAAGAAATCAATAACCCTGACACAGCCCACATACACCGCAAACCTATTTCATTTCATAAATCACAGTTTTGCGCAACAAGCCGAAAAATATATCGTTGCGAGTTTAACAAACTTTTAGATAAACATCCTTTTTAGATAAATTAGTATATTAATATCTAATTTAGGAAAAAGTAAAAGCGAAAATTCAAACAAATCGCACAATTTCTTCGTTCCTTTCCTGCGTTCTTTACGTCAAATTATAATGACATTTGTTTGTATTTTTTTATTATTGTGTCACTGAAGACAACGGCAACAATTTGTAAGCCTAAATATCTAAGACTTCAGTAGAATATCACAGACAGCAAAGTTGCTTCAATATGGTTTTGTATCAAAGTGCAGTTTTCTCATTCTCATACTATTCTATTAAACTCACTGCTTCCATTCTTGGGAATTCCATATGGGAAATACATAGAGAAGCGTTTTCGTCATGGTAGCGTACAACAGATCAAATTCGAGTATTTTTTTTTATTCTGTGGCTGTTTCCGTTTTATACAGAAATTACAAATGTTAGTTTTATTCAATCTTTTTATCAGCTGCTTCTGGCAATATCGTGTAAAACTCGAAAAATATAATAGGCTAAGTACCTATTATATTTTTCGATACATTTGTTTTTTTTCCATGACAAACTGACTTTTACGTCGCTATTGTAAATGTGCCAAAATGACCACCACCATAACGTGCAGGGACTCAGGCGCGGTCCGAAGAGGGGGGGGGTCACAGGAGACATGACCCCCCCCCCCCCAAATCTAAGGTCAAATTGAAAAAAATTGTGTCAAAAAGTGTCTTGTGGATAGGGATGCAGTCTTTTGAAATATCGATATTTATATCGAAGTCAGGAAAATATTGATATCCGATATATCGACCATTTTAACTCGATATTATCGATATATCGATATTTTTTCCTTTTTATTTTTTATTGAGATTAGAATACGGGGTGAGTGTGACACATTCATATGTTTGTTGGCGAGTTTCTCGCAAAATGCATTGAGCCAGCTTTTTCGTTAAACACGCTTGATCTTGATATTATCCTGATCAGGGGCCCAATTCTCGCGGCGTAGAAATTATATCGGCTTCGAGATAATATCGAAAGTAGGGATATCTATTTTATCTAATCAAGAAAATGCAGATCTTCAGCACATTATATTCAACTGCCCCAGTTTTCACATTCAACGGCTCATATTCATCAATGACATCAGTGACATCTGTGAGCAAAGTCAAAACAATTTCCCCCGCCACGTTCAGTAATTACTTAACAATTCAGACTTTTATAAACCACTGTTTAAATTAATAGAAAATACTGTACAGAATATTTAGTTTAAGGAATACATTGTAAATATTTTTGTTTTAAATGATTTGTGTACTGCTTAGATTGTAATTACATTGAAATATAATTTAATAATAATTAGCGTTTATAAAAAAAAAACTGAAAATTTAAAAAAAAACTAATGTTACTTTCTGTAATTTTATGTATTGCAATTCTTGCTCTTCTTTGAAGAACACTTATCTACCTATGTTCTAATTTAAAAATATTTTGTATCATACTGTATCCGACTGAAGGACTCTGTATCCAGGTCATGAATAAATAAAAAAAAAATATGTCAATTTTGACAGACGACAAATTGTTTTGTTCGGTTTCCGATGTGGTGGTCCGGCCACAATAAAAATACGTAGTAATCTAATGAAAAGTGCTATAAATACAAAACACATCCAGCAACAAGGAATCCTTTAGAGTAAAGATAATTAGTTTTTTAAAATGTCGAATATATCAAAGAGAAGAAAAGAAGGATCAAAGGCCAAGATCAAGGTATGCTCACTCACAAGGAGGTCACTTCGTGGCTTATTCATTCATGCTTTCTTGATCACGTCACGCAAATGTGCTCATAATTCCTAGGTTAATTGAAAAAATAATGCAAATATTTAGGTAGGTAACACTTAATGTTTATAAAGTATAAAATAACTGCCCATCCCAATTATTATTTTATTATAAATGTTTTCTTGTTGCTCCTGTGAATGAAAACGTTTTAAAAATGTCCACTGTTATTATCATGCCCAGATGTAGCAACTACACCATGATGATAATCATATGCAACTGTTATATGTTGTCATATTAAACATAATATGCAACTGCGGTATCTTTTTTACTGTTCTATTGGTACTCGGTACTTGTAAAAGTATAATAATAATGTTTATTTAATTCCTGCCACATTACAAAATTTTGTTACATACATAATGGTGTCAATTCTGGCAGGATTCTCTAAACCTAAAACTAAATTTAGGATCAGTCTGTCCTTTTTATTCTGTATAGAGAACGTCTGGGATACACTGTTGTAAAATTTAAGCTTAGCTTTAGAGAATCATGCCAGAATCGACACCATTGTTTGTTATATACAACATATGCATTTACTGTAATATATTGGGGAGAGCCTGGTGTCTAAACTAGACTTAATACTATAGCAGTCTACCAAGGCTGCTTTCCTTCTGGACCGATATAGGCTGGCTGGAGTAAGCGGGAATGTTTTGAGACACGCACAATGGTCCAATAATTAGGATTAAGTGCGGAAACTGCCCTGAAGAACTAACTAACTACTATAGTTTTGTTTGCAAATTTGTACATTCTACTACTTTGATAGCAAAGAAAACTTCTCACAAAAGATGTCGAAATTGAAGAGGAGCGACAACATTTAAATACCTTTTACTAAAAGAGGTACTAAAGTGTCCCAGAACCTAAGAATAGTCTAAGAATATTTTGATGTATATACAATGTCATAACAGATAGAACGTACTAATGAATGAACATCATTACTTTTAATATTAATCTTTGGGCTCTTCAGATTCCAATTAACTTAGTTTTTACTGTCTTGCCCCATGATGTTATACAAAATGAGATAACTAATATACCGTTTATTTTCTCCTCACAAAAGGTGTAACAGTACAATAGGTAACTAGCTTAATCAATACAAGTACATAAACCTATTATGTGGGAGACTGGTGCCCTTAAAAGGCAACTACGAATAGCTACCTGTACTAATAGGTCACCAGGCCCAGACTATCATACATAAACTAAATGTGTATTGCATATCTTAATGGAAAATTGAATACCTACTGCAAATTTGAAACTGACTGAACTAATGCAAGATATACTGTAAAGTATGTTTTAAGTATCTATTTTAAAGTAACTAATAGTAATTACATTGAATTACTCAATAGAATACAAGGATAAAATAGCTATGCTTGAAATAATGACCTATAGAAAGTTAAATGAAGTAAATACTTGAAACCCTTTATGATTTCAAAAATGCTGTTCGACCTAAATCATTAGGATTACTAATGTTTTGGGTCAAACAGCATTTTTTTAATGGCCTCGAAACTTTGATCAGTAACAAAATTAAATACAAACCCCCTTATTAATAAACGCAGAATAAGCTTGGATTAGTTACTTCATGTTTTGTCTCTTTTCATTGAAGAGTGATATGAAGAAAACACGGTTTAACTAGTCCAAGGATTATTCCTCCTTTATTAATAAGGAGGAAAGTGTATTGTAAAACCACCAGCGCAGCCTATATAATCATACACATTTTTGTTGCTTCAGAGCATGGGTGACCACAAAGAATTCCTGAAGCGCATCACTAAGACCTTGTACTACGGGGAGCTGCCAATACTGCCTTGTCTGAGTCTCCCAGTCACTGGTGCGTTTGACTGTTTTCTAAATGATTATATTAATAAAATTTCTGTAGAATATTGAATTTGCTGTAAGAATAGCCAAAATGGAGAATAGGATCATTTAAGAATTAACCTCTTAATCCTTTTTTGTTTTTTGTAAGATCCTTAGTTTTGACTTTAGACCAATTTTTTTATTAACTTACATTCCCTGTTACGAATGCCCAGGGGTTGAACTTATCACAGATTCCTCTCTGTAAAATCTAAAGCTTCTAGCTCAATGGTTCAGAACAGTTACGAGGGACCATTTGTAAAAAAATCTGTCTTGCAACGGACCACCACTTACGATTTGCACTCCCCCACCACCCCTAGAAATTGTAAATCAATCAGCATTCTTTCATATGTATTTTTTGCTGGCTTCTTAGAAGACTTCTTGTGCTTCCAGGGACCACTAGTTAAGAACCACTGTACTAGCTCTTAAAAAACTGCACTTTAGTTGTTCAGACAGCCTCTTTTAACTTAATCAGTCTCTAGGGCGACTGCACGCGGACGCGGCGGCACGTTATAGATACATAGATGAGTGTGTGTGCGCAGAGATCTCGTGCGAGGTGTGGTCGGTGCCGCAGCGCGGGCGCTCGTTGCGTCGTCTACACGCGGACGCGGCGGCACGTTATAGATACATAGATGAGTGTGTGTGCGCAGAGATCTCGTGCGAGGTGTGGTCGGTGCCGCAGCGCGGGCGCTCGTTGCGTCGTCTACACGCGGACGCGGCGGCACGTTATAGATACATAGATGAGTGTGTGTGCGCAGAGATCTCGTGCGAGGTGTGGTCGGTGCCGCAGCGCGGGCGCTCGTTGCGTCGTCTACACGCGGACGCGGCGGCACGTTATAGATACATAGATGAGTGTGTGTGCGCAGAGATCTCGTGCGAGGTGTGGTCGGTGCCGCAGCGCGGGCGCTCGTTGCGTCGTCTACACGCGGACGCGGCGGCACGTTATAGATACATAGATGAGTGTGTGTGCGCAGAGATCTCGTGCGAGGTGTGGTCGGTGCCGCAGCGCGGGCGCTCGTTGCGTCGTCTACACGCGGACGCGGCGGCACGTTATAGATACATAGATGAGTGTGTGTGCGCAGAGATCTCGTGCGAGGTGTGGTCGGTGCCGCAGCGCGGGCGCTCGTTGCGTCGTCTACACGCGGACGCGGCGGCACGTTATAGATACATAGATGAGTGTGTGTGCGCAGAGATCTCGTGCGAGGTGTGGTCGGTGCCGCAGCGCGGGCGCTCGTTGCGTCGTCTACACGCGGACGCGGCGGCACGTTATAGATACATAGATGAGTGTGTGTGCGCAGAGATCTCGTGCGAGGTGTGGTCGGTGCCGCAGCGCGGGCGCTCGTTGCGTCGTCTACACGCGGACGCGGCGGCACGTCTGGCACGCGGGGCCTGCGTGTCCCCATGTGCCTTAGTTCTGGCCATCCTGTACCTGGAGCGGCTTCACCACAAGAACCCCGACTACATCGCCGCCACTGCGCCCGCTGATCTCTTCCTCGTTTCATTGGTATTGTTACTCTTTCGTTTTAAGTAATTTTTGATATGAAAAATATGACCTTGTCTCGAGTCGTAATCTTTAACACACTGAGTTGCATCCATTTCTTTTTATATTTGATAAGTAATGTCTGTATAAGATCAAAATTTAATTACAAATAATGTAGGTAGACTGATGCGATATATAAATTCTGATGGAACTGTATCTAAAATAATTTGCAATTTGGCTATTATTATTATTATTTAAAAAATCACTCGAATTGAACCCAAGATCATCAGCTTTTAAAGTCCCCACTGCTGGGACACGGTTCTTCTCTTCGGATGGACGACCAAAATTGTGCCATGCATAATCCACCAAACGCGCCCAATGCGGATAAGTGGATGCCAACGAATGCAGATGCAGTCGGGACCAATGGCGTATCGTGCACTTTGTAACATTGAGGAGCTCGAGATAATAAGTTTTTGGTCACCCATCCAATGAGCGACCTTTCGAAAGTAGCTTAACTTTCATGATCGCAGAGCAAATGACCAAATGCACTAACCACCTGCGCCTCCGAGCTCCTCTTTAAATTTTAACAACCTTATTTTAATTAGTTTAGCAGTAGTACATATTCCTTTAACGATAAACGTCGCGCGGGAACGCGGTTTATGAGAGTGCAGGGATAGATTTAAGGCATGACCCCACAACAGAGGTCACATAGGGGCGGGGGGGACTACTACTAATTGAAATAACCTTCAAAGTAACTTGATCAAAAATTTAATTATTTGTCAGCACCGGCCCTTATGCGATCATCCAAGTGAAATGCTTATTACCATTTGTTAATATTTTTTTCGAGGAGTTCGGTGGCAGAAGTGTTTAGCGTTAAGCCGTTGGTCCCGGCTGTATCTGCAGTCGTTAGCACCCACCATAGCTGGGTCCATCTGTACCCATTTCACAATCTGTACTTCACATTCTGTACCCACTGTGACTTGAACACGACTATATGATCCCCCCTTGCGCCAAAGCTGAATCCGCCCTTGAGCCCAATCTCCCTATTCCGTACATGGGGAAGGTCTGAGTCCCAGCAGTGGGGACATTAATAGGCTGATGATATTAAAAAAACATTGTTTTATTAATAGATGGTTGGAAACAAATTCTTACAAGACGATGGCGAAGATGACGAAGTGATATGTTCGGAATGGGCGGCGTCCGGCAACATTGAGCTCGACCACTTGAAGAAACTTGAATTGGAGTTCCTTAATGCAATAGTACGTAGAACTATATTGCTCTAATAGCATATCTACTTAAAACGTTAAGAAATTTTTTACTAGAAAAAATGCAAGCGGTCCAGGCAGCGGACGGCACTCGATACGACTCTCCGCAATCCGGTGCAGGTTCGAGTCCCTTCTGAGGAGGACGCCCGGGCCGGCGGTACGACCGCCTCATTCCACCCTAGTGCGGCTAGCGGACGGCGGACAGGGTGGTCCGTCGTCCGCATTGCACAGTCTCACCCGTCGAGGGGGGATGCCTAGGTGCTTCCGGGCATACCCCTGACCGCCAGGAGGAGGAGGAACCCCTGCCGGGGGTAACGTGGAGAGTCACCAGGATCCCACGAAACCCGTTCCGGCAGGCGAGGAAACACTGTTGGGTTTTTTAGCGGGTAGCCCCCCCCCCCCCCCCCCCCCTCGTCCCGAGCTGCCGCTGAGCCAGTTTGGCTGAGCGGGTGGGCGGGATTTGGGGGGTGGAGGAGTCCCACATCCCGCCTCTCACCTAGGAGCGGGGTATGCATCAAGCATTTTACCAACAAAAAAAAAAGGTTCGAGTCCCTTCTGCCTGGTCTGTGGTAGCAGTTAAATGCTTAAAATAAAATATAATACCATTTCAACTTACTATGTTTAGACGTAACCAACATTTAGTAGTTAAGTAGATAGCGTTATCTTTTAATGGTGGTTTAGTGGTTGTGAATATTTTACGCAGTAATAAAACATAGTCACCATAGATACATTTTACGAAGTCTGCATTTTTAACAAACCACATTTAAAAATGATTGTCTTTATTAAGATGTTATTAAAGACAATCATTTTTAAATGTGGATGGTTAAAAATGCAGACTTACTCTTTACAGTAACATTTTACTGCAAAGAGTGACTTGCTGGTCCAGTCCCCTGAATATCATAAAACGAAATGAAATTATACTTTATTCAAATTGACTTATTAGAAGCTCTTTATAATCGTCCAATATTTTTTCCTATCACCAATTCAGGCCTCGCGTCTGGAAATCGAATCCATTTAATTTACTATTTTTTTTTATATAAATAAAACTAGTTTCAACGGTATAGATCCTGGGTTCCGAACCTGGGGGTAATTACCCCGGGGGTAAATCAGCCATACTTTGGGGGTAACAAAGAACCTAATTATTTGGTCAAATCTAAATTATAGTACTAAATAGAGCATGCGGTCCTTCTTGCTAGTGAGCCCGCGGGGTGCTGTGTGAGAAGCGGGGCGAGATTCTCTCGTGATGATGACATTAGTAGAGACGAAGATGTAGCGGCCAAATTGGTATTTCCTGGACTGATGATAACATGCTAAATTCGGGGTAAAATTTGTTTTCCTAATAGATTACAGGGGTAGCAGTATTGGAAAGGTTAGGAAACACTGGTATAGATGCACTGATTTATTTATTTATGAAGTTTCGCATCCTTTTCAGGCTGCGTCGTTGAAAATGATGTTTTTTTTTATATTTTTATCAGGACTGGAAGGTATTCGTGAGCGAAAACTCGTTTGAAGAGGGGCTGCGTTGGCTAGAAAGGCACGTAGCTTTGAAGCAGGCCAAGTTGCGAGGGTTCTTCACGTACACGGACCTAGTGGCCGCGGGGGCTCCGTGTTTGTTCGAAGCGGTCGCCGGACTCGCTCTAGCACTCGCCGCGTTAGCATCCGCACTAGCAATACTTACACCGGCGTTACTACTCGCTCGTCACTTCGCCAGTCACTCTAATACCCTCGACCGTCACACTACAGCCGATACTCTAACGTCGCTCAACATCACTTTAGATCCGACCACACAAAATCTCGTCCTAGATCCGACCACACAAAATCTCGTCCTAGATCCGACCACTCAAAATCTCGTCCTAGGTACGACCACTCAAAATCTCGTCCTAGAAGACAACGCGGCAGATCGCTTGCGCTGCTGCACTACCTGGACTACGTACCAAGAGAGCGTTTCTGAGGAACTCCCGCGCATAAGAAACTGGTTCGACGGCCTGGTACTGTACGACTGGACGAGCTTCGAGCCTTGGTGGTCGCGGACTTCGGTACTGAACTGGCTGTACCAGAGCTCCTTAGTAGATCCGATGCAGAGGTGGCTGGAAAGATTGGATGGCGAAGTGGCGAAGCAACCGACGTTGGGCGGATGCCGCGTGTCGCCGGGAGTCAAGCCGCGGCCTCACTGTGTACGGCAGTGGCTCGACCTCAGCAAGCTCAACACCCTAGTTACCCTAGTGTCCGATCGGTAGATATCACAGAACACAGAGGTTAGATAGGTTATCGTGGACCGTTTGTACGGGAACCGATGTCGCCTGCTCGCCCCCGCTACGCATTCACCTAACAGATAATAGCCAATCAAACGACGCGACATCAAACAATGTAATCAATCAGCGCTCCCACCGGAGAGTAAAGCCAGAAACATATTAACGTGTCGTGTCGTGACGTGGCGCATCGGTTTCATTCATTTATTATGGGTTAGAGAGAGATAGAGAGGTTAAAGCGTCGACACGACACGATACGTTAATATGTCTCTAACCATAGTAAATGTATGAAACCGATGTGCTTCTGGCGCGCCACGACACGACACGACACGACACGTTAATATGTTTCTGGCTTAACGACGCAATCGGAACCAAGTTTTGTTGTTATGAGCATTTGCTCACACAACTATGGCGCGGCTGCCCCGCCCATGAAGCCTTTCTAACCTCTCTGTATTCTGTGGTAGATATAATGCATAGCCGCAGTCGTTCTCGCACGAAACGCACCTATGGCGTTTGTTGTCTACTTCTCGTGATCCCAGTAGCATCTAAGTGGTTGTCGTTTGTGTGACTAATCTTCATGCTCGCAATGTTTGTCTAACTTTTCGTTACTTTTTGACGGGGCGGGCGTGCCGATGCGCTTTAGAATAGATTTGCTCTTTTCATTATTGTGATGTACAGTCAGCATCAGATAAATCGAAACATTAATTTTAATATGTATTTCTATATAAATATGCTTATATATGTACAGTATATGTATTCTATCTGTTACCCTAGTATCCCATAACACAATCCTTACAGTGCTTACTTTGGGTCTAGGCTAATTGGTGTGTGTTGAAAATATTTTTCATTTCTTATTAAAAGTACATAGAAAACAACCAGTTTTCAAAATTATGTACCTAATACTTCTGTACTTTGTCAAGACTTTCATAATTATGTAAGTAAGCATAACATTCGATATACATGTCAATATAGTCCTAAATTCTTTGTAATAAAGTATTATTTTATGATTTCATCTCATGGTTTTCAATTCTTAACAAAAGCAATCAATGTTTATTTTTACTAGCGCTTTATGGACCACATAGTTGTTCAAGTAAATAAATTATTATTATAAAATAAATAAAATATATAATTTCAACTAAGGTAAATAAAGTTGACTTTCCTTTAACGTTATTTTGGCTTACTTTGGATGCTTGAAACAAAATGCTTACACGCATCAGTTTAATCTCAACTTTTATTTTGACGCTGGCTGTACACAAAATAAAAATAAATATGACTACTTGTAGAGGAAAGCGCATGTGCGCTGGCGTCGTCAGGAAGGACTATGATGAGACTAAGTTAAGTTTAACTTAACACAATAACTTAAGTCTGGAAATTGTTGTATGCATGTGTGTATAAAACTTACCTCATTGCGAGTTCACTGTATCTTCCACTCTTAATCAGGTAAAAGTTGGTGAATACTTAAACACTGTATTCAATAAAATAAAAGTTGTTCTGATATATATTTTATTTAAAAAATATTCACAGTAAAGCATTGTAAAAATAGTAATAAATATGTATCAGTGATGGCAGGGCAGGCGGTGCTGAGGCCCAGGAGCCCCCACAACAAAGATAGTAATAGCTAAATTTCGACGAGTCACCAACCAGGGTGATACTCGTAAGTGGCCCAGTCCCTGTAGCATGAGCACCAAAATTTACATTATATCACGTTTTTTTATCGCGTTTATTTCTTTTTTTTTTATTTTATTTATTTGGACAACCAACAAGAACATACACCTTACATGGTAATAATACATTTCTATTCTTAAATAATTTGGTGTTGCCTTAATAACAGTCTGTCACGGAAAGCAAAAAAAAGTCTAATCTAATTAGATTAGACTTTTTTTGCTTTCCGTGACAGACTGTTATTAAGGCAACACCAAATTATGCTCCTAATTAGGAGCATACAAAAATATAGTGATTTTATAAATTAACAAAAAGCAAACAAAAGTCCATTACATTTCATTTTTAAGATAAAAAACCAAACAAAAACGATAGATAGATGAGTTATTAAGTGTTAAGCTGTTTTTTTTTTGTAAATTCCATAGTAATTTGACAATTGAGCGTGATAAAAACCGCGTTATGTACCATATCGCGGTGCTCATGCTAGGGCACAGAGTGGCACATTTTAAAATAGCCCCCCCCCCTCAATTTTTTCGGGCCTCCACACCTCTTAATCCGGCCCTCAGTGATGGAATCAGTCATTTTGACATATTGTAAACATAAAAAATATCCACATTTGTGTTATAAAAATTGTATGTACAAACATATATTTTTTTAAACTTGTATGACCATGTCTGCTGCATGATGGTAAATAAGTGATGCCTGTGATCAATTTTCTAACTTTCAAATAAAAAAATCCTTCAATCATAGTTGATTATTTTCATTTCCTTAAAACATGTTAAAAAAATTACAAAATATATTATTTCTTACCATAATAATTCTAGTAAATCCATCCTTGCGTAGCTACTTTATTAACTATATTTTTATTCATATTATTGCTGAGAAATGATTTCGTCAGAATTTAGTAGTAACTTTTAACTGATACATTTTACTATGTTCATTGTATAACATACTTTTATTGAATGTAAGATGTTGGTAAAAATGTGAGCCGTCACGAGACCCCTGGCAGATGTGAAACATCGAAATTATTTTGTAAAAGTAATATGCAGAAAAGAACAGTACCTACCCTTAGCACGAACCAATATCGAATTCGTATCGTTTGCGAGAAGAAATGTCATTACAGAGAACTAAAAATCAGTACACATTTGACAATGACATTTCAGACTCGCAAACGATACGAATTTTTAGAAAATGATGACTGTTTATTTAATAAACATTTATTTTCATTAAATACAAACATCAAATTCGATTGCGCATGGCGACGCGTCGCCACACCTATCAGATGTTTCACATCAAAATACAAGGGTGCAGCTATTTACTGCCTTATGTAGTTCTCTACAAATGTAGATTCTTGATATATAAGGATAACGACAAAATATCACATACACATTTATAAATATCACAAACTATAAATGCGTTTCGAGATTAGAAGACACTAACGGGAAATTACTACAACATTCGAGAAATATATTGCTGTCGATTCTGGCATGTTTCTCTAAACCTAAACTTAAATTTGACAACAGTGTAGCCTTGTCATTCTCTTTACAAAATGAAAAGGAGAGACTGATGTTAAATTAAGGTTTTGTTTATCATGTCAGAATCGACACCGCTATGTCATCAAATAGTCTCACTCAAACTCTTAAAAATTTCATATAAAAGTAGTATATAAATTATAATTGGCAACCATTTAATTGAGTCTTCTCATATAACACACATTTCATTCCATTCCATTCAATTCCATTTTGAGCATCATCTACTTCTAGATTTACCTAAATTAACTATAAAAAATATAATACTTATTATTTACCCTTTATAAAACAGTCATCAATGGCCCCAAGCAAGAGTAAAATGGAATTGATGTTTTTACGCCTGCTCGCCCCCGCTACGCATTCACCTAACAGATAATAGCCAATCAAACGACGCGACATCAAACAATGTAATCAATCAGCGCTCCCACCGGAGAGTAAAGCCAGAAACATATTAACGTGTCGTGTCGTGACGTGGCGCATCGGTTTCATTCATTTATTATGGGTTAGAGAGAGATAGAGAGGTTAAAGCGTCGACACGACACGATACGTTAATATGTCTCTAACCATAGTAAATGTATGAAACCGATGTGCTTCTGGCGCGCCACGACACGACACGACACGACACGTTAATATGTTTCTGGCTTAACGACGCAATCGGAACCAAGTTTTGTTGTTATGAGCATTTGCTCACACAACTATGGCGCGGCTGCCCCGCCCATGAAGCCTTTCTAACCTCTCTGTATTCTGTGGTAGATATAATGCATAGCCGCAGTCGTTCTCGCACGAAACGCACCTATGGCGTTTGTTGTCTACTTCTCGTGATCCCAGTAGCATCTAAGTGGTTGTCGTTTGTGTGACTAATCTTCATGCTCGCAATGTTTGTCTAACTTTTCGTTACTTTTTGACGGGGCGGGCGTGCCGATGCGCTTTAGAATAGATTTGCTCTTTTCATTATTGTGATGTACAGTCAGCATCAGATAAATCGAAACATTAATTTTAATATGTATTTCTATATAAATATGCTTATATATGTATTCTATCTGTTACCCTAGTATCCCATAACACAATCCTTACAGTGCTTACTTTGGGTCTAGGCTAATTGGTGTGTGTTGAAAATATTTTTCATTTCTTATTAAAAGTACATAGAAAACAACCAGTTTTCAAAATTATGTACCTAATACTTCTGTACTTTGTCAAGACTTTCATAATTATGTAAGTAAGCATAACATTCGATATACATGTCAATATAGTCCTAAATTCTTTGTAATAAAGTATTATTTTATGATTTCATCTCATGGTTTTCAATTCTTAACAAAAGCAACCAATGTTTATTTTTACTAGCGCTTTATGGACCACATAGTTGTTCAAGTAAATAAATTATTATTATAAAATAAATAAAATATATAATTTCATCATCATAAGGTAAAGGACTTTTCTTTAACGTTATTTTGGCTTACTTTGGATGCTTGAAACAAAATGCTTACATGCATCAGTTTAATCTCAACTTTTATTTTGACGCTGGCTGTACACAAAATAAAAATAAATATGACTACTTGTAGAGGAAAGCGCATGTGCGCTGGCGTCGTCAGGAAGGACTATGATGAGACTAAGTTAAGTTTAACTTAACACAATAACTTAAGTCTGGAAATTGTTGTATGCATGTGTGTATAAAACTTACCTCATTGCGAGTTCACTGTATCTTCCACTCTTAATCAGGTAAAAGTTGGTGAATACTTAAACACTGTATTCAATAAAATAAAAGTTATTCTGATATATATATTTTATTTAAAAAATATTCACAGTAAAGCATTGTAAAAATAGTAATCCTTTTGTCTGCTGTAATAAATATGTATCAGTGATGGCAGGACAGGCGGTGCTGAGGCCCAGGAGCCCCCACAACAAAGATAAAAATAGCTAAATTTCGACGAGTCACCAACCAGGGTGATACTCGTAAGTGGCCCAGTCCCTGTAGCATGAGCACCAAAATTTACATTATATCACGTTTTTTTATCGCGTTTATTTCTTTTTTTTTTATTTTATTTATTTGGACAACCAACAAGAACATACACCTTACATGGTAATAATACATTTCTATTCTTAAATAATTTGGTGTTGCCTTAATAACAGTCTGTCACGGAAAGCAAAAAAAAGTCTAATCTAATTAGATTAAGGCAACACCAAATTATGCTCCTAATTAGGAGCATACAAAAATATAGTGATTTTATAAATTAACAAAAAGCAAACAAAAGTCCATTACATTTCATTTTTAAGATAAAAAACCAAACAAAAACGATAGATAGATGAGTTATTAAGTGTTAAGCTGTTTTTTTTTTGTAAATTCCATAGTAATTTGACAATTGAGCGTGATAAAAACCGCGTTATGTACCATATCGCGGTGCTCATGCTAGGGCACAGAGTGGCACATTTTAAAATAGCCCCCCCCCCCCTCAATTTTTTCGGGCCTCCACACCTCTTAATCCGGCCCTCAGTGATGGAATCAGTCATTTTGACATATTGTAAACATAAAAAATATCCACATTTGTGTTATAAAAATTGTATGTACAAACATATATTTTTTTAAACTTGTATGACCATGTCTGCTGCATGATGGTAAATAAGTGATGCCTGTGATCAATTTTCTAACTTTCAAATAAAAAAATCCTTCAATCCTAGTTGATTATTTTCATTTCCTTAAAACATGTTAAAAAAATTACAAAATATATTATTTCTTACCATAATAATTCTAGTAAATCCATCCTTGCGTAGCTACTTTATTAACTATATTTTTATTCATATTATTGCTGAGAAATGATTTCGTCAGAATTTAGTAGTAACTTTTAACTGATACATTTTACTATGTTCATTGTATAACATACTTTTATTGAATGTAAGATGTTGGTAAAAATGTGAGCCGTCACGAGACCCCTGGCAGATGTGAAACATCGAAATTATTTTGTAAAAGTAATATGCAGAAAAGAACAGTACCTACCCTTAGCACGAACCAATATCGAATTCGTATCGTTTGCGAGAAGAAATGTCATTGAGAACTAAAAATCAGTACACATTTGACAATGACATTTCAGACTCGCAAACGATACGAATTTTTAGAAAATGATGACTGTTTATTTAATAAACATTTATTTTCATTAAATACAAAAATCGAATTCGATTGCGCATGGCGACGCGTCGCCACACCTATCAGATGTTTCACATCAAAATACAAGGGTGCAGCTATTTACTGCCTTATGTAGTAGTTCTCTACAAATGTAGATTCTTGATATATAAGGATAACGACAAAATATCACATACACATTTATAAATATCACAAACTATAAATGCGTTTCGAGATTAGAAGACACTAACGGGAAATTACTACAACATTCGAGAAATATATTGCTGTCGATTCTGGCATGTTTCTCTAAACCTAAACTTAAATTTGACAACAGTGTATCCTTGTCATTCTCTTTACAAAATGAAAAGGAGAGACTGATGTTAAATTAAGGTTTAGTTTATCATGTCAGAATCGACACCGCTATGTCATCAAATAGTCTCACTCAAACTCTTAAACATTTCGTATAAAAAGTAGTATAAAAATTATAATTGGCAACCATTTAATTGAGTCTTCTCATATAACACACATTTCATTCCATTCAATTCCATTTTGAGCATCATCTACTTCTAGATTTACCTAAATTAACTATAAAAAATATAATACTTATTATTTACCCTTTATAAAACAGTCATCAATGGCCCCAAGCAAGAGTAAAATGGAATTGATGTTTTTCTTTCAAACATTTAACACCAGAATATTAGAGGTATGGAGTCAAATTAGGTATGTACTATATAAAAATATTTTTGGAAACCAACTCAACAAATTTTTATTTCACGTCGGTTGAGGTAATGAGTGTGGTTACAGCATTCTTAGTTCTAATTACATTTCAATTGTTATTAATGATGTTTATTAGATAAGTTAATATGTAGATATCTAAAAAGGAATTCAAGTTAACAAAGCTACCTTATTCATTTATGATGTTTATTTAAAACTGTATTTGGCATAGATTTACCATATATATAGTTTTGTAAGTATTCTGACACGTACCGTAAGTGGTACAAGCTAAAAGTCTCCCTCCCCCGCCCCTCTATTACACGCACACAGTGATTGGCGCAATACAAACCGCGCGTCCAATCAGCACACTAATTCTTAGCACCACCTACGCCGTGATTGGACGACATCGTCCTACGTGTCGTGCAGGTAGAGGTGCTTGTTGAAGCCCCAGCGCTCGTTGACGAAGGCCTACACGTGGTTCCGCTCATTTAGAAGTAGATCCAGGAGCGTAAACATTCTCTTCCATGGCACTATTACACTCACACGATCGAACAATCACTGGCGCATCACAAACCGCGCATCCAATCAGAACACTGTATCCGAGCACCACGCGCGCCGTGATTGGACGACAGCGTCCTGCGTGTCGTACAAGCCCGGGTGCAGGTAGAGGTGCTTGTTGAAGCCCCAGCGCTCGACGTCGAAGCCCTGCAAGTGGTTCCGCTCATTTACAAGTAGATCCACGAGCGTAACCATTATCTTTCATGACACTATCACACGCACACGAACGAACAGTCACAGTCACTGGCGCATCACAAACCGCGCGTCCAATCAGAACACTGTTTCCGAGCACAACGCGCGCCGTGATTGAACGCCAGCGTCCTACGTGTCGTACAAGCCCGGGTGCAAATAGAGGTGCTTGTTGAAGCCCCAGCGCTTGTTGACGAAGGCCTACACGTGGTTTCACTCATGTAGATATAGTTCCAGGAGCGTAAACATTCTCTTCCATGACACTATTACACGCACACGAACAAACAGTCACTGGCGCATCACAAACCGCACATCCAATCAGAAGACTGTATTCGAGCACCACGCGTGCCGTGATTGGACGACAGCGTCCTACATATCGTACAAGCCCGGGTGCAGGTAGAGGTGCTTGTTGAAGCCCCAGCGCTCGACGTGGTTCCGCTCATTTAGAAGTAGATCCAGGAGCGTAAACATTCTCTTCAATGGCACTATTACATTCACACGATCGAACAATCACTGGCGCATCACAAACCGCGCGTCCAATCAGAACACTGTATCTCCGAGCACAACGCGCGCCGTGATTGGACGACAGCGTCCTACATGTCGTACAAGCCCGGGTGCAGGTAGAGGTGCTTGTTGAAGCCCCAGCGCTGGACGTCAAAGCTCTGCACGTGGTTCCGCTCATTTACAAGTAGATCCACGAGCGTAACCATTATCTTTCATGACACTATCACACGCACACGAACGAACAGTCACAGTCACTGGCGCATCACAAACCGCGCGTCCAATCAGAACACTGTTTCCGAGCACCACGCGCGCCGTGATTGGACGCCAGCGTCCTACGTGTCGTACAGGCCCGGGTGCAGGTAGAGGTGCTTGTTGAAGCCCCATCGCTCGACGGCGGAGGTCTGCACCTGGTATTGCTCATGCAGCCGCATGTCGACGAGCGTGAACAGTTCCTCCACGTGTCGCGCATGCGCGTACTGCGCGAACACGGAGCACAACATCTGGATGTACCACGAGCCGTGGCGCACGTCGCGCTTAGACACGTAACCTACAACCATCGATAATAAGTTATTTAATTAAAACTAGTTTTTACGGGTTAATGCATGAAACTTTATTTATTTATTGACGTTTCGTAGCCTTTACAGGCTACGTCGTCAGAATCAAACTTTTATTTAATTTGTCGAGCTACCTTCGAAAGACTTTTATTGAGCGTTTGGTTATTTCATTGTTCGATTTTTAAAGTTTTATTGTCTATGTAAGAATTTATTATTTAATTTACTTAATAAAGTATTTTATTTAAAATTCTTTTTTGTAATTTTGAGTTTATTTATTTGACCCTAACTACCGTAAACTACCACCGGTTTCAAAATTGGGAGACCTTTCTGAGAAGAACCGGCGAAATAAACTCAAGAGAAGCTTTCTATCTCCTTCTTATGTTAAATTATGCAAACATAAATAAAGTTTCGTGCATTAACCCGTAAAACTAGTTTTATTTAATGAGTGATGTGCGTGAAAACCTAAGAAACAAATATAATAAGTTATTTGTTGCTGTTATTTGATGGGTATTACTTAGTCATTTTTCATAACAGTAAAATAGTACCTATCTAATGCCGCTGCCTATATACTAAATATAAAGTTGAGTCTAAAATTTATTGTAACTATACAGGGCGTCCCACGGCTACCTCACACGAAGGTTGCCAAAAAATATGTCGTGTTTTTTTTTCGAATTTCACGAGTTCGATTCCCAGTTGTAGCAGGCGATTTTTAAAATTTCAGTGAATGCAGTTCTAGTTATTATTCAAAATAAAACGATGTCTTCTTTCAGTAAAATATCCTATCTTCAATATTTAATATACTTTTCATCCCACCACCTCGGAAAGTGTAATTTTGCGCTTCGAAATCTGGCTGGAAAATTCTATTTTATTCGCTTGAGCGGCAAAGTAGATTTGAATTTAGAACATCACATATAATGAGTACTCAATATAATTGTAAATTCAAAACGTCATTTAACCTATTTAATGTAACCTCTATGGTGCCAAATTTATGATTAGAACTTTTTAAATTGTGAAAAAATTTAAATTTGGAACCTTCTTGGTTTCTTTGTTTTATTTGCGTGCTTCGCGCCATTCTAGTTTTTCACGTTTTATTGCTTAAATATTTTGTCATTATAAATTGTTTTCTTTTTCATTTTGTCATTTCCTCGCTGAGGTGGGATGAAAAGTTACGTATTGCACTCGAGTGGAAAGATTTTTCACCTTGTGCTCGTTTGTTTCCCTCGCTGACGCTCAGGATTCTAATTTCAGGATTAAATCGAGCACGCGGTTAAAAAGGAACTTTCCACTCTTGTATAATAAATAACTATTCCCTCCGTGTGAGGTAGCTGCGGGACGCCCTGTATTTATATACAGGGCGTCCGTCATTCTAAATGATGTAATGGAAGGTGACTTCAGACGTATCTCTGAATTTTTCAACTTGACGACTCTAAATAACAATACAGGGAGAAAAAAGCAGCCCTTGCTGAGTTTCTTGCCGGTTCGTCTCAGTACAAGGTCTCCCGCCGTAGTTTTGCGAACCGATGGCGTAGCTTCTTGACCTTCACAAGTGCTTGTTATTTTCATTTCATTTCAGTATCATTAATAAGTGGTGTCCACGGAACACAGAAAGCGGTTAAAAGGTGATCATCGACCTATGGGGAAGCCTATGGTGCAGGTATTCTAAGATATGACTTAACGCTCTCCGCGTACAATACAATAATTCGGTTAGGATGTTGTTGGGTTTGCCACGATTCTGTAGTGCCTCTGATATGTTTGCTGAGGAGCACACTGACAGGTTTCACGAATGCATGCGCAAAAAAATAGCTTCATGGCTGAGAATACGAGCAAGCTCAAATACCATGACTGTAGCCAACAAATTGGATAGTTGCTTCGTCAAGCATTGTCTGAGGGTAAAGATGACATAAATAAAAATAGGGTATTTGACAAGTTGTAGAAAACGATCTCACGTTATTTACTAATGTTTATAGAGTCCGTAAAAAAATTCATCATTTTGTTGTGTATTTCAGTAAAAATAACCAAATCAAAAACTCCATTTTCAAGTTGCCGCGAAAACGTTTCTCTGGACAATATGGCGTCTCACTGGTGTGTGACGTCACACGACTGTTATATAAACGTCAAAAGATACAATGTAATGTCACTTTAACCGGAAGTTTACTTGCGTGCGACGTCATTTTAGGCTCCGCCAATCCCAAGCGTTTTGGGTCACGTGACAATAGATAAGAAAACTATTATCTTTTTCGTGGGTTTTTTGTAAAACTATGAATATTTTTTTTGTAAAAATAGTAAATCCCCTGCCAATATTCATTCTAAACACAGATGAGAACAATTGGCACTTTATTTTTAATACTGTCAAATACCCTATTATATATGGAGGGCAGTGAGGAAGTATTTTAATTATTGTAATGTTTTTCATGTTGTACTGTCATAATTTATTACTTCTATGACACATGTACTACTAAAAAAGAATAAGTCTGCTAACAAAAATGGATCACAGTTGTCTGAAATAAATGAATTATTATTATAGACCATTTGTACGGTCGCCGATGTCGCCGACTCGCTCTCACTATACCGCCTAATAGGTAATAACCAATCAAACGACGCGACATCAAACAATTGAACCAATCGGCACTCACTCCTGAGCGCAACGACACAATCAGAACTAAGTTTAGGTCAAGTTATGAGCATATTTGCTCACACATAATTGTGGCGCGTCTGCCCCGCCCAAAAGGCCCTTCTAACGTTTTTCTGTGTTCTGTGGTGGTAATAGCCTAAACTCACAAAAGGGTATGGAATTTTGAAATGTTGAAAGATACCTTCCACAGAGGAGCTCGATGGGGCTAGTGGTTAGCGCGTTCGGCTGCGATCGTTAAGTTAAGCTACTTTTCGCAGTGGTTGGTCATTGGATGGGTGACCAAAAATTTACTATCTAGAGCAGCTAATCCGTGCTTCGGAAGGTACGCTTAACCGTTGGTCCCGGTTGCACCTGTAGAGGTTAGCACCCACCAAGCTGCACTGGGCTCATATGGAAGGCCTTTGTCCCAGCATTGAGGACATTATTAGGCTTTTTTTAAGGTCGTCCATAAAACATGACATTTTAGTACAAACATTAACCCATAATCTTAATTTCTAAAACAAAAAAAAAAACAAAAGTCGCTGCTGAATATACTCTCGTCAACGATATTAAATACGCTACATACACCATGAGCGCTCAAAATGTGTTCCAATCAAGTAGTGCTAGAACTCCACTCAAGCACGTCTTGATTCACAGTCACGCGCAGATCGTTGAAAAGTCAAGAGTCGTTGAAATGTCGCAGAGCTCCGTGAAAAATAGCGAAAAATATACTTATAATACGTAAAGTGTCTTTTTTCGACAGTCATCTAATCAATGTTTGTTTATTCAACGCAATTGAAGCTAATTTTGTTCTAATACGTACTATAAACTGATTCAATATAAAATATTTGTGTTATTCAAATGCATGTTCGGTTATACGTCGCCGTATAGCCGTTTTTTTCCTCACGGTACGTATCTCCCAGTTTGCTAACAGAGCATTCAGAATTCCGCGTAGAGTCAAAGGAATAAGGTCCATATTCTTCCGCATATAGCAATAAGTCGTAAAATTTTACGAGTTTGCATTTCGAACTGTCTTTACTCTTCGACGTCATGCGTTTTAATTAAGACCTTATACAGTATGCATTAAAAGTGACTTTCAATGTTTAAATGATGCCTTACATTGTTTTTAACTACTCGATCATCTTACGGAGCTCCGTGGATCGTCCAATGTACCTTTTGGACAGGTTTCGGCCACTATTTTGTTCGTGTTGTTGTATCTATTTATTATCGTTGTGGGACAGAGATAATGTTAAATTGTCTTTTTTAAAGGTCGTCCATGAAACACTCGACGTTTTTAATACATCCCTCAACCCATAACCACATTATAAAACAAAAAAAAACATCAAACGCCGCTGAAATACTCTCGTGTGTATAATTACTGACCTGGCAGCGTGGAGTGCGCGATGAGTATGTCGGAGTACAGTCGGGCGGGGGGCGGGGGTCGCGGTCGGGGCGGGCGCAGGGCGGCGAGGGGGGTGAGGGGGGCTGGCAGGGGCGGGGGGCGCGCCGCGGGGGGGCCGGGGGGGCCGGAGGGGCCGGGGGGCAGCGCAGCCCCAGCGCCGCCGCCCGCCACGCCGTCGCTGTACGTACTCGAGCTGGCCCCCAGCGGCATCTGGAGCTCCTTCCAACCCCTAATACGACACCCAGAGATCACAGTCAGAGATATACAACGTATATCGTAACTTGGAAGTAGTTTTTGAAGCGAAACTTGTTTGCGTACGCTTGACTTGGGGGGTAAGCTGGCGAATGCGTAACGCGTTCCGAAAAGTGTGTACGGGCGAGGCGAACGTGAGTTGAATGGGGGATATAAGCAAGAGAATGCAGTGCGCGCGCACATTTTCTTTCTCTCTTTCTCTTATAGCTAGTAAATATAATATGTATATATTGTACACATATATATATATATATATTACATACAAATGGAGCTAAAGAAGTTTCACTTCAGTCGTGTGGTCATAAGCACACTCGTTTCTTCACGAAAATGGAAATGCATCAATTTCAATAAACTAAGGGCCAATTTTTCAAAATTCGGATAAATTATTTGTTTCTTAGGTTTTCACGCACACCACTCATTAAATGCAACAAATTTCAACGGTATAGATGCACTGATTTATTTACTTATTGACGTTTCGCATTCTCTTCAGGATGCGTCGTTTGAACTATATAATATATTTGCAGTGCATCTATACCGTTGAAACTTGTTTTATTTCACTCAGATAAAACTGAACTGTTCGATAAATTAATACTCAATCAAATAGAGGGAGATGTCATCTGTCACATAACACCAATTAAGACAAGTGAACTCTTTATTTTGTCTGTATAATACGATATTAGATTAATGAATTTTACTCATCGTTGAGAAATCAACCCTCAATATTTGAAAAAAAAATTAATGTACAGTTGCATTTTCAAAATAGCTCTTATCACATTGTATTATTTAACATATTAATCTGTTTAAAATGATAAAGTTAATCTCAACAACTTTTTGGAAAAAAGGTATGTACTTTATGGATTAAAATCAATTTAATTCCAACTAAACTCTTTTCAGGGGGTTCGTTATTTCTGTTACACGTTATATAATCATACTTCCATCCTAATATTAAAAATGCAAAACTGTGTCTGTCTGTCTGTTACCCATTGCACAATCGCTGAACCGATTTCGACGAAATTTGCTACAGGTGTGATCACAGTCAAAGCTATAGAGCCCAAAGGTATCATAAAAAAGGTAATTCAATAGGTCGAATTTCATACACATAAAAAACATAATATAAAAAATGTACGACAGAAATGATAACTTAAGAGCCCTTTTACAAAATTGCGCCGCTGCCGTACTGATCGGCGCGTAGGTAGATTTGCACTAGTAGATACTGCATTTTACGGGTGATGTTTCGAGTCTTATAAAATAATTATTAATTAACCAATTATAAAAATATATACATATTTCAGTAGTTCAATGATGGTAGATTAGTTTATGAAAGGTTTTGATAGTAATTCTATTTAATGCAATATCAAAATACAAGGTAAACCGGCATTATTTTTTGGGAAAACTCAAGGAGGTTAGATGTTTTTTTTTTGATAATTAATGAGATGGAAAATCAAAATTCTAACACATTACGTTACAACAAAAACATATTTCTGATGTCGTGATAATTAATTTGATCTAATTTATTGAATATTATTGAGAGATTTAGGCGTATGGAGTTGTGCATATTATCGTTTTTTCCGTAAACTAGCTGCAGTAGAATGATCAGTACAAAAAAAGGAAAATAGTATTTGCAAATATTCTACATTAACTTAGATAGGAAGAATAAATCTACTGTTAACTTCTATTGGAAATAGTCAAAATCTTTTCTAAAAGGGTAAGCGAGGCGCTCAAAAATTACAATTTTTTTGCAAAAAATGTGAAAGGGCTCTTAAACTAATCTAAGCGGCGGTGCGGGTTAGAGTGAGAGAGGAGGACGTACCGCAGCCGTACGTACTGCCGAGTGAGAGAAAAGGAAGCCAGCCAGACTGGCGCCGTAACGCGTTACGTAACGAAGCTGATTACCCTCCCATAAGAAGTTATCACTAAAAATGCAAATTTAACTAGTCGTGTTATAGCTATTTGACTCACCTGCACAGCTGGAATATGAACACCTTGGGTATTCCGATGAGTGCCGGCAACTGTTCGTTGTTGAAATACTCGAGGAACTCGTAGATTGACATGAGCTTTCCATCGTGGCACCGGAAGTCGACATCGGACACGTTGTCACGCGAGTACCCGTGTGAAGACACCACTATGAACACGCACTCCGCACCCGCTAGCACTTGATTCAGCAACTTCAGGGTCTCTTTCGTTTTCTGGACACACAAGGCGACAATAGGGTCTTACAATCATTTTTGAGAAACTTGACTTGGGGGTAAGCTGGCGAATGCGTTACGAAAAGTGTGTTCGGGCGAGGTGAACGAGAGTGGAGGATATAAGCAAGAGAAAGCAGTGCACGCGCACATTTTCTTCCTCTTATTTATAGCTAGTAAATTAAATATGTATATCTTTATATATATAATTCTTCTGTGAGTGTGTATGTCACTGAACTTCTCTTAAACGACTGGACCGACTTTGATGAATTTTTTTGTGTGTGTTCAAGGGGATCTGAGAATGGTTTAGATTCACAATTTTATTTATTTATTTATTTATTCTTTATTACCATAAAAACAGTAAATGGCGGACTTAATGCCATAGGCATTCTCTACCAGTCAACCAGTAAAGGTGTAGGAGATGCAATGTAATGGCGATAGAATATGAGATACTTAGTGTGGATCATAAAAAATATCTACTATACCTAACTATTCTATAACAACAATAAATATAAAATACATATTATACCTACACATATACTGATACACATATATATTCATAAATATATATACTTATAAATAAATACATAAATAAACATACATACACTAAATTAGTAAAAAAATAAATAAAAATAGATATGATGATATTATAGATGACTACAGATTAAGAGGAAAATTAGGTTGACAGATAGTGAGCACGCACTAGTTTTTTGAAATGTAACTTATTACGTGCACTGCGAATATTCAGTGGCAAAGCATTCCACAGACGTATAGCTGTGATGGCAAAAGATTTGGAAACGAACCCAGAATGGTGAAAAATAGTTTTGAGGGTAAGGTGCCTGCAAGAGCGAAGATCACGTGGTCTGGAGGGACCCAGAAATTGAAACCTAGATTTCAAGTATTCTGGGGCACGTGGATCGTATAGAACACTGAAAAGCATGCATAAAATTCTGAGATTTCTACGGTCACGTATGGACAGCCAATTGAGTTTATTTCTATAGTGGGAGATATGGTCGTACTTACGTAAACCGAAGATAAAGCGAATACCGCTGTTGAGCAAACGATCCATCTTAGAAAGAAGGTTTTGATTGGTGTCAGAATAGCAGACGTCAGCATAGTCAAGGATAGGCAGAACGAGAGCCTGTACCAGCGAAACCTTTGTACTGGAAGGGAGAAAGAATTTTAACCTGTACAGAGCCCTAAGTGTATTAATTACTTTACGGCATACTTCTTCAACTTGATTCTCCCAGCTAAGAGTACAGTCAATGAGTAGGCCAAGATTCTTGACGCATGGTTGAAATTTAATTACAGTACCATTGTATAGTAATGGATTCAGTGAACCTAAATCCAGAAAGGCCAACTGCCGGGAACTACCTATTATAATTGCCTGACATTTTGATGGATTAACAGAGATACCATAACAGTTGGACCATTCCGAAATCCTCTGAAGGTCATTATTCAGGCATATGAGGGCCTCATCTAAACTATTTTTATCTGCATGAACATAAAGTTGGAGATCGTCTGCATACAGATGGTAAGAGGAATGAATCATAGTAGTAAGGAAATTAATAAATAAAGAAAAAAGAAGAGGAGAGAGAATACCGCCCTGTGGAACACCAGCAGTGAGAGCGCACCAGTCCGAGATGGTTTGGTCTACCCGTACAGCCTGCTGGCGTCCACGAAGATAAGATGAAAACCAGGTCCCTACTGAAGAAGAAACTCCTGCTTGTGAAAGAATTGCCAGGAGAATATCATAATTGACCATATTGAATGCGTTGGAGAAGTCTATTAGGACCATAACAGTCAACTGCGAATTCTCCATACCGCTACGAATGTCGTCAAGGACATTGATAAGGGCAGTGGTAGTACTGTGACCTGGACGGAACCCAGATTGCAGTGGGCTGAGAATGTTGTGGCGAAAGATAAAAGAGGTGAGTTGGCTGTGCACAGCAGCTTCTAAAACCTTGGAGAGAAAAGGAAGAATTTTGTCCGCTGGATAATGTTTTTTTAATTATTTTTTTTTATGGCGGTACGAAGTTCGCTGGGTCAGCTAGTAGTATATACAGATGGAGCTAAAGAAGTTTCACTTCAGTCGTGTGGTCATAAGCACACTCGTTTTTTTAAGTGTCTCAATTCTAAAGAGCTAATATGATACTAAAAAAAATCCATACAATTTCTATTCAATCGTAAGTGCCTTAAAATGCATTTAAATTTAACATTTTCAATTTCGTAGTTAAACGAAAACGCTGGTCGCAGTGGACGCCTTATTGCTCTACGGTCTTGACGTCATTAAAGATCTGTAAACTACGTCTACCTATTTGATCGTGTTTTAAAACAGATTAAAAAAAATTAAAACTTTTAGGTTGAAGTTGGAGCAGATCTTGAAGCCGAGCTCGATGAAGAGGTACTTGAGCTTCTTGGGGCCTTTAGCGAAGTTGATGTAGCTGAAGGCGAGCCAAACACTGCGCTGAAGGTGTAAAGTATGAACTTACCTCCTTGGTGAGATTGAGGTAGGAGCAGACCTTGAAGCCGAGCTCGATGAAGAGGTACTTGAGCTTCTTGCCGTCGACGTCAGCGCCCAGTCGCTCGTCTTCCATGCCGTGCTGGAAGTGGATGTAGCTGAAGGCGCGCCAAACGCCGCGCTGAAGGTGTGAAGTCTGAACTTACCTCCTTGGTGAGATTGAGGTAGGAGAGGTACTTGAGCTTCTTGCCGTCGACGTCAGCGCCCAGTCGCTCGTCTTCCATGCCGTGCTGGAAGTGGATGTAGCTGAAGGCGCGCCAAACGCCGCGCTGAAGGTGTGAAGTCTGAACTTACCTCCTTGGTGAGATTGAGGTAGGAGAGGTACTTGAGCTTCTTGCCGTCGACGTCAGCGCCCAGTCGCTCGTCTTCCATGCCGTGCTGGAAGTGGATGTAGCTGAAGGCGCGCCAAACGCCGCGCTGAAGGTGTGAAGTCTGAACTTACCTCCTTGGTGAGATTGAGGTAGGAGCAGACCTTGAAGCCCAGTTCAATGAAGAGGTACTTGAGCTTCTTGGCGTCGACGTCAGCGCCTAGTCGCTCGTCCTCCTTGCCGTGCTGGAAGTTGATGTAGATGAAGGCGAGTAAAACGCCGCTCTGAAGGTGCGAACTTACCTCCTTGGTAAGGTTTAGGTAGGAGCACACTTTGAAGCCGAGCTCGATGAAGAGGTACTTGAGCTTTTTGGCGTCGACGTCAGCACCTAGTCGCTCGTCCTCCATACCGTGCTGGAATTGGATAAAGCTGAAGGCGCGCCAAACGCCGCGCTGAAGGTGTAAAGTATGAACTTACCTCCTTGGTGAGATTGAGGTAGAAGCAGACCTTGAAGCCAAGCTCGATGAAGAGGTACTTGAGCTTCTTGGCGTCGACGTCAGCGCCTAGTCGCTCGTCCTCCTTGCCGTGAAGGAAGTTGATGTAGATGAAACCGAGTAAAACGCCGCTCTGAAGGTGCGAACTTACCTCCTTGGTAAGGTTCAGGTAGGAGCAGACCTTGAAGCCGAGCTCGATGAAGAGGTACTTGAGCTTCTTGGCGTCGACGTCAGCGCCCAGTCGTTCGTCCTCCATGCCGTGCTGGAAGTTGATGTAGCTGAAGGCGAGCAAAACGCCGCGCTGCCGGCCCCGCGTGCGGTACAACTTGATGTCTATAGGAATACACACTAACATATTATGCCGGCACTACGCTTGGCTATTCGTGTTTGCTATTTGTAATCTTGACAACAGTGGTGTCGATTCTGGCAGGGTTCTCTAAATTAAAAACTAAATTTAATATAGTTTTAATTTTTATTATTTTTAGCAGCATGTAACTGCTTCATGTTTAAATCCAAAGAAAATATAACTAGAAAAAATCCACGCGGACCAGGCAGCAGACGGGACTCGAACCCGCACCCTTCGCAAATGGTCAGTGCATTCGCCCGGATTGCGAAGGGTGCGGGTTCGAGTCCCGTCTGCTGCCTGGTCCTTTATATTTACTTTAGATAAATTTAATATAAGTTTCTCGTTTTCACTCTGTATAGAGAGTGACATGGATACACTGTTATTTGTTACTAAGTATTCACACCGATCACTCATAATAAAACTCGCTGAGACGGGTTCAAAATGCGTATTTTAATTACTTTTATGACGCTTCGCATCCTTCGCATTCAGGCTGCGTCGTCAGAATTATGATTTCAAAAATCTTTAGGCGCGCTTGACTTGGGGGGTAAACTGGCGTGTAATGATTTTTGCGTAACGCGCACTCATCGGTAAACAATGATCAATACCCGTTACAAAATACATGAATTGGATTGGTGGGTGATGACGGACCCAGTGCGGATGGTTGGGTGATAACGGACCCAGTGCGGATTGGTGGGTGATAAAGGACCCAGCGCGGATTAGTGGGTGATAACGGACCCAGTGCGGATTGGTGGCTGATAACGGACCCAGCGCGGATTGGTGGGTGATAACGGACTTAGTGCGGATTGGTGGGTGATAACGGACCCAGTGCGGATTGGTGGGTGATAAAGGACCCAGCGCGGATTGGTGGGTGATAACGGACCCAGTGCGGATTGGTGGCTGTTAACGGACCCAGCGCGGATTGGTGGTTTTTTTTCTATCAACAAATCTTCAGGTTAAGTTTATGATTTTCAGAGCATTGAAGCTAAAAAAGTTTCACTTCAGTCGTGTGGTTATAAGCACACTCGTTTTTTTTTATTTACTTTGTCAAGCTACCTTCGAAAAACTTTTATTGAGCATCCGGATACTTCATTGAAAGATTATTAAAAAAATATTTTCTAATGTATGAATTTATTAGCTAATTTAATGAATTAAATTTTTTTTTTGTTATAAAGCAAGGTAACTTTTGGATACTCTGTTGTCAAAGGAGATTGCTCAAATTGGCCCAAATGCACAAAATTGACATACACGGTAATTCTGGGCGTAATTTATAATTTAATTTACAGTCATTAAATTTCAATGGACACCTTTGTATAATATATTTACTTTAAAAAGGACTTTTAATTTTACGTGAAACGGCTGTATACAGCAGCGTATAATGCATTTAAAAAATGGGCCCCCCCCGAACCCCCCCTCTTGCCCGCGTCCGGGGCGGGTTTATGTCACACTTGCTATAAAATAGTATACGATACTTGTGGCGCGTATCGTAATGTACTATTCATGATTATTGGTCTTTAGGCCAAACATGTATGGAAGCTGAGCAATCTTTTTTAAGTTAAGGTTTAGAGAATCATGCAAGAATCGACACCATTATCTCCTTTTCACAAACCTGTTTCACTGTCGCTGTCAAAAAATTTTGTTGATTTTATAACATCAAAATGTGGAATATTGTCATTTAGTTCCATTTCCATGTTCTCCATTTCTTCCTTTTCGTTCGGGACAGGCATCGGTGTTCTTCCTTCATCCAAAACACAATCTGCAAAAAGACAAATTAATCAAACACTTATTTCATTAACAAAGTTCTAAGGGCTGACGACAGGAGACCCGCCTCACGGAGCACTGCTCTAAGAAACAACATAAAACCAACACGCGGAGCGGACGCCTGCTCCGTGCCCCCGCTTAACGCAGCGCAGGTCCTAAAAGACTACGCAAGTTAACAATGACCTATGGTTTAAATATAAATAATAATAGTTAATTAAACAGCCCTTGCTGAGTTTCTTGCCGGTTCTTCTCAGTGCAAGGTCTCCCGCCGTAGATTTACGAACCGATGGCATAGCTTCTAGACATTCATGAGTGTTTTATAATTTACTAGTGGCCCGCCCTCGCTTCGCTTCGGTGTAGAGCTGTAGTGTAAACTATAGTTTTTGTTCTCCGGCTTGTGCTATAAAGAATGACTTTATTTATATAATTACACGTGTTATAGTGAGTCAACCATAAAAGATAGACATATGCTGTTGCGGGATATTTTTTAGACAATTTTATGTAGAATATTTCCGTCATACATGATTTTTATGTAACTTTAACCATTAAGGCTGCACCCGCGACGGAAGCTTAAAAAATGGAGTAACTTCTCCCGTTTTCCCAACATTTCCCTTCACTACTCTGCTGCTATTGATTGTAGCGTGATGAAAAGTATACTATAACCTGCCCAGGAGTATGAAGAATAATTGTACCAAGTTTCGTTAAAATCCGTTGAGTAGTTTTTGTTTCTATAAGGAACATACACACAGACAGACAGACAAAAATTTTACTGATTGCATTTTTGGCATCAGTATCGATCACTAATCACCCCCTGATAGTTATTTTAAAAATATATTTCATGTACAGAATTGACATCTCTACAGATTTATTATAAGTATAGATTACCTATTTATTTTAAAAACATTTTGAAACTTCTATAAAGTAATAAAAAGAAATGGAACTGAAATAAAACTATTCAATAGACTCAGATTTCTTTACAGTTTACTTTATAAGAAAAATAATTACCTTCGAAATTATAAATATTAAAAAGAAAACACTATTTATTGATTATTTAGGGTCCGGGCAGCAGACATCACGTTTTCCACGTCCCATAAGGTATTTATTACATAGCTGTTTCTAATATCTTATATAAAGTGTTTATTTTTAATAATAAGAAAGAAACCCTTAAGAGTAGTTCCTTGTCAAGTGCTTGTAACAGCGAATAAATGATTTTGATTATAATTAAATTTCTAAAACTGGGACTGATTGTTTTGAATCCCACAGGAAGTTAACACTTACAATTAACAGTTTTAAAATATGGTAAATTACTTACTTTTTTGTGTTTCAGCATCAGTTCTCTTCAGATCTTTAATCCTTATGCTTATGAAACTATTTTCTTCACGGGACGAAGGCTGAGACTGGGGTCCTGTGAAAATAACACAGACGATCATATTTACTTCACACTGTAAATTAAGTGATGAAAAAGTTACGTTAATAACATATTCTGGTCAACTTACACTATTTAATCCGTAACGAAGCAATCTCTGCTAAATAATAGAAATAATGCATATATTTATGTACATTATAGGTACTAAAGTTTATTTTTGAAATGAAATTTCTTTAGGCACGCTTGACTTGAGGGGTAAACTGGCGAATATGTGGCGACTTTTGCGTTACCGGTGACTCATCGGTAAACAATGAACAATACCCGTCACAAAATACATGAATAGTTCATGAATCAAAATACTAGTGCTTGGTGGGTGATAATGGACCCAGTGCGGTTTGGTGGGTGATAACGGACCCAACGCGGATTGGTGAGCGATAACGGACCCAGTGCGGATTGGTGGGTGGTAACGGACCCAGTGCGGATTGGTAGGTGATAACGGACCCAGTGCGGATTGGTGGATGATAACGGATCCAGCGCGGATTGGTGGGTGATAATGTACCCAGCGGGGATTGGTGGGTGATAATTGACCCAGTGCCGATTGGAGCGCGATAACGGACCCAGCGCGGATTGGTATTTTTTTTCTATCAAGAAATCTTCAGGTTAGGTTTATGATTTTTATATCATTGGAGTTAAAGGAGTTTCACTTCAGTCGTGTGGTATCATAAGAACTTCTTCATTCATTCTTCATAAGAACCAGGTCGACAAGAAATAAAAAAAACATCCAAATTTCAATTCACTAAACCACCTATTCATACCATTTTATATTTTGATATTATTGGTTTTTCTTGCAAAAAAATTGTTAGGCATTTCTGAACGCAGCAGTTTCAAATACACTCGCTCCTTAATGAATGTCGTCTCTCTCCCGAATTTATGTGGTGATACCGTGTCAACGGAGCTCTTATAAATAAACGTTTTATGAATTGAAATTCTGTCTATCAGAGCTCCCTTTCAAAATATATTATAAACTTTGTCTATATACATTATTTAATGAAGATGCTAGATAAAGAAGTGGGTCAACCACAAAATGGTCAAATTCCTTCACCGCACCATACGCCGCAGTGAGAACACATCTGGCGAACTCAGCGGGTTTCTCTCTTGGTAATGATATGACGGTCTTCAAAAAGAAATGTTAACCCTTTTCTTCTGAGCGGGCAATGCAAAGACCACTAACCATCAGCAGGCCAATTATGCTCGCTAATTGTGATATTGTTTTGATGTCAATTTCAGATTACTTATTAAGCTCTCCAAAAAATGCGATATTAAAATGACATCAACTAGACATCAACTTGTGCGTATTATGATCAACTCTTTAAAATGATCTCAACTTGATATCAACTTAAATGCGTAGTACGTTCAACATTTTGACTTAAAATAGTACTGCATAAACATCAAAAATGTGATACAGGATATGATATTGATATGATCTTCATGTGACATAGGAATGTTTCATAATACCATTTAAAAACAATGTCAACTTGGCATCAACATCATATTGACATCACATTAGGATTATATCACAGAAGCATAATTGACCCGCAGGTGAATTGCCTGCTCGTGTGCCTGCATCACCGTAAAAAAGCTATACTTGTTTGATGTTTAGTGTACTTACTCCTCGTGTGAAGTGAGCTGTCAGGGTCAAGATCCCTAGCCAAGTTCCAATAGCCAGCTTCCTGCAGGGCATCTGTCAGATGTCTAAATGCATCAGGACCCCTTAACATTACGTCCCTATACAATTGTCGTTTGCGATTGCGTACATCAACACTAGTGTCCTGTAAGTGAATATCATTATCACATAAATATGTCCAGAGCAGTTTTTTTAGCGATTCAAAGGAGTTGTGTTCGTGCATCCAATTTAAACAAGATATTATGACTTTGATCACGTTAATGCACAAAGATTAAAATTATATATACAAGAAATAAAATTACATTAGGTAGTTATCTTGATAATGGTTTCCAAAATTAGACATTTTTTAAATTACCTTATATTTCTCAATCATCTGATCTGAAAATACTCCTTTTTCATAAAGTGTGGACACCATAAGATCCAAGTCAGTTTGTTCCACGAGTGACACAAAATTACTTTGTATAGCTCTCCGGTGAACATCTTCCATTCTATAAATGCAAAATTTTTACAAGATTCAGTCTTTCAGAAATGCTTGCACACAAAAAATAAATTAGGTGACAAAACTGTACACGGCCCTGCTGCGTTTCCACTTAACGCTCAGAACGGATCTGAGCGAGCAAACACTTGTTCGCTCGGTAAATTTCATGCTCAAAGTTGCGTGGTTTCTATTGATGATCGACCAAAAAAGCAATCGTTTTATTTTAACATTGAAAATGTTTTTTCATTCACTCCAGTAGGCCTCCATTTTACACATCATATGCAACTAATATAATAAAATGAAATTGTAAAAGTCACGAGAACGTATGGGAGCTCAAAACATACGGAATTCGAAGGGCTTTCAGATATTGTAAAAATATTATGGAGAAGCTGGAGCTGGAGTGGAAAAAACTTTTTGGCTTAAATAAAAATTTCAATATAAAAATAAAATAAAAAAATCCTCCTGATCCCAGCAAGTTGGAGAAAGATGCAATTTATTTCTGGACGCAATTATTTATTAAAAAAGAATATGTATATGGAAGTCACAATGATGGCAGTGGTAAAAGAATGAACAACTTAAGTTCATTCAATTAGCACTGCCAGTGCTATCATACAACTATAGCTCTTATTCTTACTTTCTTAATGGCTCAGTTGTACTTTTCGAAAAACTGTGCCAATTTGATGTTGTTCAGGAACCTGAAACAAATAAAAAACACATTTTATGGCATGCAGAATACACAATGCAAAGGTTAAAATGTTGGTAAAAATCAGTTATAGTTTTAATCTAAAGAAAATATTACTAGAAAAAAATCCACACAGACGAGGCAGCAGACAGGACTTTTTTGCTTTTACTACTTTTGAATCTATAATACTTGTAAAGGTATTCATTTGACATTGTGTGTTACCTACAATGCGAAAAGATGGCGCTGCCTTGCAGCTTAAGAAAGGCTAGAAACAGTGGACAATAAACTGTTTCTATAGAATTCTCTTTTAAAACCTGTATGGACCTATGGTATTCAATGGCCAGTAACAGCAACATAATGTGCCTTCAAAGAGAGTCAGACAAACAATGACAGATTTTTTATTAAAAAATTGCAAAGCAATTTACACCCACTGTTAACAACATAAACTATCCCAAACACAAAATAGTCACCAGAGAAATTCACATTAAATCTTATATTTTAAACATTACAGCAGTGATACATACAAAATGGAAAATTCTATTGAAGGTAGCCACATCATGCTTAAAGGACAGTACAAATGGACATGATATTAATTACAACAAACAGATAAACAAAGTGAAATTAGGATTTATGAAAATTATGAATGAAACTTTATGTACAATAGAAAACAATAAAAAGACATGCCTACATGTCTTAATAACACAGCTACTTTAGCCCTAAATCATAGAAAAGAATCATGAAAGATATAAACACTCCCACTCAATCTGTTGTGCAATAAATATAAATTACTGCTCTGGAAAGTTCTTGTTAGATGCTGTCATATTTAAAAAATATAAAAAAAGAGGTTTTATGTGCGAATGACAAAATTTTATTTCAATGCAATATGGATAGGTCCAAATAAAAATGAAAAAAGTACTCGGGCGCCAGACCTACCTCAATAGACTTAATCGCAATGGAATAATTTTATCTTACCAGATTTGTCCATATTTAGTAGTAGTACATATTAATTTACGCTTACAGTCCTCACTGCATCTTTATTATGTGGTGAGTTAAATGTATGGATTGTAATGACAAGGTTTATTTTTTTGTTAATATGTCCTAAATAAGTTAATATACCTACAGCAGTTTAGACATTGTATGATAGAGATTTGATATATAAATACCTATCAACTCCCTACCATACAATACCTAAACTGTTGTAGGTCCATGCCCATAGAGATGGGCTTATTGATAGGTCAGAGGGGATGGACCCCTTTGACAATATCCATGTGGGTAATGTTGTAATTGGGGACAACTGTTGTATCTTAGTGGTTATTTAGAAAGGGCAATTTTGACAATTGGTTAGCATCTACATTAGTTTTAAACTCCACTGGAGATTATATTTCACCCAACTCTTTTAATGCCACCAATTACAATGTTTTTAATGTTTTACTGCAAATTTTATGGGGAGGACTGATATGGTGGATGATGGGTCGGTCAATCTCAATTTTTGAAACATGCACAAGAAAAGGTCCTTTATCGCTATCTAGGTACCTACTGCTTTCTTGTTTGATTTAAAGCTGGGTGTGTGATTATGGGGGACGTAGGCAACTTCAGTGATTATTATTTTACAAGGCGTGTTATTCACTTTTTAAGGTTCAATGCTGTTACGTCTTTTAGGACCGTACTGGCGGGGAAAGTTACATTACGGGAAACGGTAGGAGAGGCCAGTCCGGGCGGAAGATTAGGAGTTTCAGGTGGAGTCCTACCTCCTATCCATTGATAACTACTATATAAATAAAGGAAAGGACAGAAAACCATAACTTTGAAGGGACTTACCACCAACACCTGCTGTTAAATAAAAAGCAAACAGTTTTTGCAAGGATAGAATCGTATCCGTACAAAAACGCTTGGCAAAGGTCTATCAAAAAGGATAAATAACCTACGTTAAGCTAATTTAGAGAATAATAACATCGCAAGCTGATGACTAATATTTGACAATAATTCAACGGAATTTTGACATTGACACTTCAGAAGTGTTGCCAATGATGAAACAGTTCTATAATCTGTGTAATTTGTAAAACAGTTTTAGGTGAAATAAAAAAAACTTAAATTTATGATTTTAATTTAGAAAAACTACGGGCCATTCACACACTATTACCAGAATCAATCAAATGTTCCACGATGACTGATTTCTGTGTATCTTTGTACTTGATTGCTTTTATGTAAACAAGGTACACATGGTAACAATTCCGTAAATAATATAAATTACAATAATGCTAGTGACCATGAAAGTTTAAAATAATATGTTTTGAATACTATTCAATGTTTAAGTCTTAGGTCCACTTACAGCGATTTTGCTAATCTCGATTTAACTAAAATCAGATTTAGCCCATGCAAGAATATCAAATTAAATTTGATGTTTTGACATTTTCCTGTGGGCTAAATCCAATTTTAGTTAAATTGAGATTCTATGGGCACGATGAGTATGACAATGTTCACATATATTACGGATTATGGAAATGAATTTTGGTGTAAGAGAAGAAATTTCATTATTTTAGTAATTATTAATAATTTTATGGTTATTAATATTTCAATCATGAATAAATTATTATTTTGATTTTCTAGGATATGTTGTTTCACTGAATCGGTTCAAAGCTACAAATTGATTGGTTTGATTTAAAACGACATCCCTAGACGTAACCATCTTATATGTCATTGTCACTTAGTGTTCAATCATTCATTCGTTCATTTCATTGGTCAAGGGGTGTTAGGTGGTGGTGGAGTGGACTTGTTCAGTGATTATTATGAAAATGAAGGCTATTTTGGTCCTTTTTTCTTGTTTTTTACTGTCTGTATCAGCATATGAACTCTCCGATGTAGTGTCTGCTAGAATTGAGGTAAAATAAGTTGTTGTGAGCTGATGTAAAAACATAAAACTTATCTACTAAGTTATGTTTGTCGCTTTCAGAGCTGCAGAGGATGCTCACTAAACCGCCTTCCTGAAGTCAAAAGGTTTATATTAGATGATGCTCCATTCTATGATCGTGTGGAGGTTAAATTTATCACTGGTGCTCCGCCAGAATTGATATTGCTTGGAGAAAACGACCAGGAACTGGAGCGCCTCCCCCTTTCGCAACTTGGTCGACAGGAATGTAATGATCTTATAAAAAGTAAAGGTTTTTTCAAGAAAGACAAGAAGTCTGAATTTTAAGCAGTATTCCATAATTTAATCAGTGATCAACCACCATTCCACTAGTTTTGTAAGATATACATTTCAGTAACCTAATACAGATGTAACAATATCAATGATAAATCGTTTATAAAATTATTATTCTAACAAATTTTCAACATCATGTCAGCTTTTTGAATCTGTGATTGTATTGTAGGATGTTATTGTTGATAGTGGTGAAAATATGAACAAATAGTGTACAGTAAAAATAATTGTTTTATTTAAATAATGTCCTACTGAATCATAGATATAAATATACTTTATGAATATCACATCGCAGGTTACATCAGCATCTTATCAGATGAGATATAATATTATCAGTACCCAGCAGCGCCGGATTTAGGATTGTGGAGGCCCCGGGCCACTTAGCATTTGTATGCTTGTTAACCCATCGAAATTTTGTTATCTTTTATCTTGTTTTGGAGGCCCCGGGCCACTTAGGATTTGCATGCTTGTTGACCCATCGAAATGTTGTTATTTCTTAAGCTGTTGTGTTCTGTTCGGCCCTGACCTCCAAGGTTGCGGGTAAGTACCACCCCACTCAGCCATTAAGCGATTGGGGTACTCCCTCAAGATGGGTAGTGAATTGGAAGTGCTTATCAGGGCCAAAAGGGCTTCAAAAAAAAACACGGAGGGTGTTTTGTTTGTTCAAAGCTTTTTAAAAACATGTTGAGTTATTGTACTTTCTTTTGAGGTATCGTTTATGCAAATTGCTTAGAAATTGTTGAAACTAAAACCAGAAATCCTAATTGAGGAATTTTTTTTATGTTTTAGATGAATTAATTAAAACGAAATTTCACCTGAAATCACTTATTTTTCGTGTACAATTTCTAAAACACGCACGGGCCCGTTGTCTTACTTCCATTGTCGTTATTTTCAACATCATCTCCTGTTTCATCGTTTGAAATGGTGCATTTATTCTTTCTTTCAATTGTCCTTTTGTGTTTATTTCCACATGAGTGTTAACTAGTTCCTTGGCCCGACCCGACATGAAAAAGTCCATTGGTGTAAGGTCGGGTGACCGAGAAGACCAAGGGATTGGGCATCTCTGCCGATCCAGCTATCAGCGAAGCAATTCTTTAAATGCTCTCTTACATTTAAAATCCAAAGGGCTAGACACCCGTCCTGCTGAAAGATGACCTCTCGATCAGTTTCGAATATTGGAGCACCGGAATCTTCAATAATGAATCTTGAATAATTTATGTAGATAGCTTATAAAACATTGAAAATAGGACCTACATACCAAATTGAGAATAAAAAAGTTATTTTTTTATATCAGAATAATAATAAAAAATACTTTAACACACAAACTTTTTGAGGTACAAATGATAAAAGAGTTCACTTCTAAGAAAAATGACGACTCTAATGGACTTTTTCGTGTCGGGTCGGGCCAAGGAACTAGATTACATTCATGTGGAGATAAACACAAAAGAACAATTAATAGAAAGAATAAATGCAGCATTTCAATCGATGAAACAGAAGATTATGTTGAAAATAACGACAACGGAAGTAAGACAACGGGCCCGTGCGTGTGTTAGAAATAGTGGCGAACATTTTGAACACGAAATATAAGTGATTTCAGGTGAAATTTTGGTTTAAATAATTCATCTGAAACATAAAAAAATCTTCCTCAATTAGGATTTCTGGTTTTAGTTTCAACAATTTCTAAGCAAATTGCATAAACGATACCTCAAAAGAAAGTACAATAACTAAACATGTTTTTAAAAAGCTTTGAACAAACAAAACGCCCTTCATGTTTTTTTTTGAAGACCTAGATAAACAGCTTTTTTTCATTTTAAAAATTTACGATAATTTCAAATATCTGTAAAAAAATTGTTTGCTGATACAAATGTTTGAAACCTTTTTTCTTAGATTGCTTTCACATTTGTTTAATCAAATAAAATCAAAAAGAATTCATTTACCATTTCAGTTTGCCATTTTTTGAAACTAACTGTGTACTTTTAGGTTTTTTTTATCAAAACCGCTAAAAATTTTAAATATAAAATGGTCAGACTTGTCTAAGATAAGTATGGCTCAAATGTTTCTAAATGGTCTCTGCTAGCTTTCTTTTAAAGCTTTGCACTCATCTTCCAAACACCCTGTAGATCAATGATTTCTGTTATTTAAAATTAATATAATCAAATAATCATGTATGTTAGATGTACAAAGTAATGTAGGCTCTAGGTAAAGGTAAAAGAGCAAAAAAATATATCAAAGGTAAAGATGTTTACTAGTTGGAATTTGAAAGTTTTTTTTTCCGAAGTCTCTATTGTGGGAGCCCCCCGTTTGTGGAGGCCCCGGGGCTTTCGCCCCGGTTGCCCTCCCCTAAATCCGGCAGTGGTACCCAGTAATATAGGGATGATGACTAATTTTTATTCTTCGTTTATCATGTAGATTATCAAAAAGTATAGGATACGTATTTTTTCTTTTGCACATAATATAAATGTTGCAGACATATATTGATTTGAAAAGTCGCATGACGTCAGGTTTGAGTAAGTACACTTTTTATAAGTGAAAGTTCACTAAAAAGTGACGTCACGAGCCCCTACTCCCAAACTTTGACGCGCTATTACTTTGTCATTTTTTGGTCGATTGCCCAAAGAAAAAATACGTGTCCATTATTTTTTGATCATCTAACTGACGGACTAAATAGAATTTCATTTACTGTACTCCGTCATCACCCCTATTATAAAGTATTTCTATTGCCATCTCAGTTTCTGTGGAAACTAATCAGTGGACAGGACATAAGAACAAATCTTGATGCCCTTGTTACAACCAATCTTACTTGCAGTAGTAAGTATGCACTTCAAAATATTATAAGGTTGTCTACATTCAGATAGAGGAAGATAGGTTACCATTAAATGTCTCAACCAAACTGGTTGGTATGTTTAGCTACCAAGTCTTAGACCTGGCAATGGTAACCCTATATAGGGTGTTTCTTCCTTCCATCCTGCTACTATGCTCTCCTACCGACATGGACATTAGGTAATTATTCATATTTAAGGTCATATCGCACTACACTCATCTGGCATCTGACCAGCACCGCCTCAGCGCCGTGCTGTAAACCAGCTAACGTCGGCACTGAGCAAGTTAATTACTTGGAGTAATCTAAAACGTCGGTTGGGCTTAGGCAACAGTCAAGGGTGAACGCTGCGCGGCCTGCCGCTCGCCACACGCGTGAGTTAGATAGAGCGCGTAGGATGACATGTTTCTCTCTTAGACACAGCGAAACCTTAGGTATTTATTTATTACTAAATAACTTTAGATCGTCGATCTAACTCTCGCAAATTAATAATAATATAATTAAAGCAAATATGTACACATCTTAAAAATGAAGTGTTTCAAGTTAAAGTATATCTTTATATATATATAATTCTTCTGTGAGTGTGTATGTCACTGAACTTCTCTTAAACGACTGGACCGATTTTGATGAAATTTTTTGTGTGTGTTCAAGGGGATCTGAGAATGGTTTAGATTCACAATTTTGTCCGCTGGACAACCCCTATTTTTTAGGGCGGTACGAAGTTCGCTGGGTAAGCTAGTTTATTATGAAGCATATAGGTTTGTTAGTACATATTTGATATTGTACTGTTTATTGTATTTTTAATTTATATTATTAGTTCGACTATGTTTACGCCTGTTAGGCATATCTATCAGAACAAACCCTTTTTTCAATGTTATTAAGATTTACGACTAAATTTAGTTTTATGCTTTTGGCATTCCCTGACATTAAATAAATAAAAGTTTATTTTGAAGTATTCTTAGGTGCAAATTTCATCAAAATCGGTTAAGTAGTTTTTGAAATAGAGAGGCAAGTGCATCAATAATGGCGTGCGTAGACAAGACTTTTGACAACGGAGGACACAAGTCCTCAATCGTGAAAAAAATGCCCGTTGAGTACTTGTCATTGTCACAGGTTCAACAGACACTGTGCGAATATTTGCTGCCCCAAAATTTTGAGATGTCGCACGCTATGGAAGTAAATATTCTCAATGTTGAAATTAATACAAAGTTTAAGATTAAACAGAATATTTGGTCCATCCCTTTAATCGGATCGAGCGTGCAACATGGACTAAATGTTCATTGTGTGCGTTGCTGCAGGTAGCCCGCTTCTTTTGTCTAGTTCGGTTCCTCCGTTGTCCTTGGTTGTTCGTGGGACTTATCCGTCGTGTTCGTTACTTCATGCAGCTGTTGTAAGCGATCTATTTTAGCCGACAAAAAGGTCCGCGAATAAAAGTCCCTCGTCTGCGCAGGCTTTAATAACTAAAACAACGTGTTATTGATGTAATCTGTTTATGAAAACTACTCGAATTCTCGGGCTACTACCGGGCGTAGGCGTACTACTCGACTTGGTTCATTTACACTCAGTCGTTTAGCCGAATTCCATTGGCACTACCAAGTGTAAGTATAAACACCTCCACTACACTACTCGTGAAGTTTTTAGTGTTCTTTCAGAGTAAAGGCGAGAGCGGGCGCGGGTACGGGTAGATCAAATGTATCTAGCTAGACGCTTTTCGCTTTCAAGTTGCGCGCGTATGCGCGTCTGCATAGGCGCGGGGGCGGGTGCGGGTAGCGTGACTATCGCGAGGGTGATTCTATTGGCTCAATCCGCCTGTGTCTTTCACAGTGCTCTAGCGTCTTTCTGTGGCTAACGCGTCTGATTCCAAACCTTTTTGATTCACCCGCGGCAACATGGAAATCGATACAGAAGGATTTATACAGTGCAACCTTAATATAACGTACCTCAATATAACGACTTCTTTGATTTAACAAATTCTTCGTAATCCCCTTGAATTTTCCATATGAGTCAATGTTAAATATACCTTTACATTGCGAACATTTCATTTAAATACCTCTAATTAACGAATTTTGTCAAACAAAAACCTCTATATAACGATTACATCAACATATGGCCCTTAATCCCATATTACGTGATTCATGTCACGCCAGGAAACTATTTTTTTACCTCTTTATAACAAATTTTAGACCAACCTAACCTCAATATAACAAACCTCAGTTTAAAGAATTACTCGACATAACGAATATTTACTTGTTCCCTTCCGGTTTGTTACATCGAGGTTGCACTGTATTATTTTATTAATTATCAAATGTGTTGAGATCTAATTTAATTTATAATCAAATGTATTTATTGTCTTTCTAGTGTATTCGAAGAAGTTGTCTGGGTTACTCCGTAAATCGGCGTATGGTACATCAAATTCTCCCAATTCTTCTCGTCCTTTATTCATTTTATGTATAGCGTATTTTTTTCATATAATTTTCTTCCCAGTTTTAAAATGAATTTACCATTAATAAAATCAAATATTCATCCTAGTAGGAAGCGCGAAGTTTTAGAACACGCGTACGTTCAGTTTCTCAGCCGCTCTACCATTGCGAATATGAAGACGCCAAGATACGCGCGCCCGCGCCCGTTCCCGCTCTGGCACTCTGAATAAGCACTTACGTCGAGAACTGAAGTAAGCCGAATAGTGTACTGAGACACTTCGTAATAGAACTTTTGACGCTTTGACCTTTGACTCGGGCGCAAAACCTACAATTATTGACAGTGGTCCAAGACGAGCTTAAGTTGCACGAAGCGACTAGAAGTACCTCTCTACAGTGTTGTATTCACATAACCTCGGCTAACCTCTCGATTAGTGTAGTAACCCTAAGAACAAACCATTATCGAATTAGAATAGTTGAATTCTATCTACATATAAGTCAAATGTGTACTGATTGTTAGTTCTCGTTACGTCCTTTGCGGCGCCGCTGTTAAAGTTTCCATACAAACTTTGACATTGACATTTCGCACTCGCAAACTATTCGAATTCAATAATGGTTCGTGCTAGGGGTACTGTATGCTGATCTGTCAGTAACGGTTACTTTCTATGTATACAGATGACAAAACCCACAACTAAATCGTCATTTTTTCATGCTAAGGCGCTTAGCAGACGACGGGGCGGGGCGGGCATTTTGTCCGCGAAGCAATAAAGACCGCGTCTGCCCGTCGATGTCTGCGGCTGCCCGCGCCGCGTACACAAAGCACACGCGGAGTGAGCTAGCCGCCCCGCGCCGCCGTCTGCGTTACTGCATATAAACTGGTTTGTATGATCCACGGCGGGCAGCCGCGGACATGCCGCGCCGCCAGTGCCCGCCGGGCACCCAAGGCGCGGTCTTTTTACCCTCTGTGTGCGTTTGAAATATAGGATTCACTTTGTGCTATTATTCGCGGCGAAATTGACCGGCCCGCCCCGCCCCGTCGTCTGCAAAGCGCCTAAAGGTATAAGTCGCGGCAAGAAACTCTAGCGCTGACCGTTATAGCGCAGAAGTAAAAATGAAGAAGTCTTGGGGGGATATGAGGTGCACGGGTGGGCGTTGCGCGGATTGTCTGTCCTGTCGTGCCCATGCGCAGCTATCTCTGACGCATTTTGTTCAGCGCTAAATTTACGTGCCGCTATCTGTAATAAGGGATCGTCAATCGAATTGGAATTCAATTTAGGTACCTGCCACATAAGCACCGCGATGTGATATATATAACGCGTTTTTATCACACTCTTCGTCAAATTACTACGGAGTTTGACAGTTAGACGTGATAAATAAATAAATAGTAAATATTTCCAACACTCACACCAATTAGCCTAGCCCCAAAGTAAGCACTGTAAAGGCTTTTCTTATAGGATACTAGGGTAATGGATAGAATACATATACAGTACATATATAAGTATATTTATATAGAATTACATATTAAACATCCATGACTGGAGTACAAATGCTCGTATTCATCACACAAACATCTGCTCCCACCGGGATTCGAACCCGGGACCTCTCGAGTCGGCGTCACCATGAAACTCGGCGTACAAACCACTCGGCCACGGAGGTCGTCAATGCAAATGATGATACAGTGCAAATTGTGGTGATCACGCTACGGTACTGGTACTAGTTTATCATTTCTAACTCGTCGAGGGTGAAAAAACCAGTGCTTTGCTCTCAGAGCAAAGGAATCGCTGAGTTTTTGCCTTTTTCTGTCGTTGCGGCACACAGTTACATATTAACCATTATGCTACCGCGGCCCTGATGGCCGTGTCGAATTTTCTCTAGTCTTAGGCTGCCAGACTACCTACCTACAAAGAAATGAGATGGCGCTACCTTGCAGCCTATATCTAGAGAAAATTCGACACTGTCATCAGGGCCGCGGTATCATAATCGTCATTGCATTCGTCCGGATAGCGATCGATGGAATTTCAAACTTAACAAAAGTGAACCACAAGACATTAAACCTAAATATAAACGTCAGCGGGCCGTCAGTGGTTATGTAATTAATTGTTCTATTTAGTACAGTCAATCTGTCGAAAAAAATATCGTTTCAGTGAAAAAAAACCTAAAGGGTAAGTCTTGTTTTTTCTGTTGCCAAATGACGTCAGTAAGCCACCTTGGCGATGGGCATGTTCAACTCGTAGGCGTTTTTTGAAAAACTCAAAAAAACCGTCAAAATTTTTTTGAAACGAATTTTTCTTGTTTTGTATGCATTTTAGAAACTTTTTTTTTTGACCATAATTGTAGAGGGCATTGAGTGCTACAATTTATGTCATTGTTGCAATCTCGTACAACAAAAAATGCGCATTGTAGGTGGCGCTAAAGTCTCAAAAAAGTGTTTTTTCACTTTTTCACCCTGAAAATATCATTTTAATGGAAAACTTTAAATGGCAAAGTTGTTTCGTACATGATTACCAACAACTTTTGTATAAACAATTTTTTTGTATTACTTACCGTTTTCAAGTTATAAATTGCGCAGGTATGAAAAATCCAATAGAACGGTTTTGGGCAGTTCACGTACACATTTGCAGTGCACATTTCAATGTACGTTTTACTATATTTTATTTTTTTTCATGATTGAAAAACAAAAAAAATAAAAAAAAAAATATAAAATAGTTTTATTTTTATTTTTTTTCATGATTGAAAAAAAAATAGTAAAAACGTACATTGAAATGTGCACTGCAAATGTGTACTTGAACTGCCCAAAACCGCTCTATTGGATTTTTCATACCTGCGCAATTTATAACTTGAAAACGGTAAGTAATACAAAAAAATTGTTTATACAAAAGTTGTTGGTATGAAATATGTATAATAATAATAATTAATATATATAATAATTATGTACGAAACAACTTTGCCATTTAAAGTTTTCCATTAAAATGATATTTTCAGGGTGAAAAAGTGAAAAAACACTTTTTGAGACTTTAGCGCCACCTACAATGCGCATTTTTGGTTGTACGAGATTGCAACAATGACATAAATTGTAATACTCAACGCCCTCTACAATTATGGTCAAATAAAAAAGTTTCTAAAATGCATACAAAACAAGAAAAATGCGTTTCAAAAAATTTTTGACGGTTTTTTTGAGTTTTTCAAAAAACGCCTACGAGTTGAACATGCCCATCGCCAAGGTGGCTTACTGACGTCATTTGGCAACAGAAAAAACAAGACTTACCCTTTAGGTTTTTTTTTCACCACTCAACCTACAGATTGACTGTACTAATTCGTTTACTTGAATTTGTATGCTGTACTGTACCCTTAGTACGAGTTTGAGCTCACTAAAACTATCATAGTTTTCGTAATTGTAAATTATGTTTCTATGTCCATTTTGGTGAAAAGTAACCAATTATACTTAAAATTTAATAAGAAACAAATGATTTAATGATAAAATTTAAACACTGTTTATTTGTATTGAAACGAAAACAATAAAATCGGTACTCTTAATACGGTGCGAGCTCACGAAAACTATCATAGTATTCGTAATTGTAAAACTGGTACTAAGGTAGGGCTGCCATCTCTAAAATGTGGCAACCAGGATCAGAGGCGTGATAACCCGGGATTTTGGAGCCCAGAACCCGGACAGACCAATAAAAAAAACAGTTAAAAATGTCACAAACCAACTTTTTTTTGTTGATGTAGCCAAAAGAGCTAGCGGTCTACTCTCATAATAAGTGGTCACTGCTGCCCATGGACACTTGCAGTACCAAGGAAAGCTGATCTTTGTTGGAAGTCTGCATTTATGGTTACAGTGTTAGAATAGATTTATTCATTTTCAAAGACATTTAAATTGACGGATTAATTGGCAACCCAAAACAGGAATTTTTTAAACCCGGACGACAAATGAAACTCCGCCCGGACGCTCCCCGGACGCCCCGTAAACTAGGACAAATCCGGGGAAAGCCGGACGGATGGCAGCTCTATACTAAGGGTACTGGGGGCCAATCGCCTAACGGAAATGCTTTAGGAAACGCTAACGCTTACGATTTTATATTGTTATTTCTAGCCGCCTGAGGTTTTCGAATACCTCACGCTCATTTTTTTTAATATTGTTATTACCAATGCAAAAGAAAAAGAGAGAGCGCGAGGTATTTGAATACCTTAGGCGGCTAGAAATTACAAAATAAAATCGTAAGCGTTAGCGTTTCCCTAAGCATTTCCGTTAGGCGATTGGCCCCCTGATGGGAATAAATGATTTATCTATCTATAAATAAAATAAATAAATATAAATATTTCCAACACTCACACCAATTAGCCTAGCCCCAAAAAAAGCACTGTAAGGCTTGTGTTATGGGATGCTAGGGTAACGGATAGAATACATATACGGTACATATATAAGTATATTTATATAGAAATACATATTTAACATCCATGACTGGAGTACAAATGCTCATATTCATCACACAAACGGGGAAATGCGGGAAAATATCCCTAATAAACGGCAACCGCGGGTAATACCGCGGGGCACAGCTAGTAAAGTAAATATTTCCAACACACACCAATTAGCCTAGCCCTAAAATAAGAACTGTAAGTCTTGTGTTATGGGATACTAGGGTAACGGATAGAATACATATACAGTACATATATAAGGATATTTATACAGAAATACATATGAAACATCCATGACTGGAGTAAAAATGCTTGTATTCATCACACAAACATCTGCCCCCACCGGGATTCGAACCCGGGACCTCCCGAGTCGGCGACACCATGAAACCCGGCGTACAAACCACTCGACCACGGAGGTCGTCAAATGTAATATATGTATGTAATAAAACTTCCGATTTTGATTTGAAAAGATTTAAATATATTTAATGGTAGGAATTGCGTCGCTCAGGTGAGCAGCGTGTAGTCGAGGTCCTCGTCGCGCGCGTGCTCGGTGTGTGAGCGGCGCAGCACGCGCGCCACCACGTCGCCCAGCGCCTCGCGGGCGCCCTCCTCGAGCAGTTCCATGCATTCCTGGACAACAAACCTTGTTAAAATCTAAACAAAAGTTTACTAGAAAAAAATCCACGCGGACCAGGCAGCGGACGGGACTCGAACCTTTCGCAATCCGGGCGAATGCACTGACCATTATGCTACCACGGCCCTATTCGCCGCGTCGAAATTTTCCTAGCCTTAAGCTGCAAGGCAGCGCCAGCGCCAAGGCAGCGCAGCCTGGTCCGCGTGGATTTTTTTCTAGTAAACTTTTCTTTAGATTTAAACATCTAGCAGTTAAATGCTTAAAAATAAATAAAAACATAAACCTTGTTAATATACTACGTGAGGCATGTATTAAAGAAAGATTCTCAGTAATAGGGATGATGACTAATTTTTTTTTCTTCCTTTATCAGGTAGATTATCAAAAAGTATTGGACACGTATTTTTTCTTTTTTCACATAATATAAACATTGCAGAGATATATTGATTTGAAAAGTCGCATGACGTCACGTTTGAGTACACTTATAAGGGAAAATTCACTCAAAAGTGACGTCACGAGCCCCTACTCCCAAACTTTGACGCGCTATAACTTTATAATTTTTTGGTTGATTGCCCAAAGAAACAATACGGGTCCATTATTTTTTGATCATCTAACTGACGGACTAAATAGAATTTCGTTTACTGTACCCCGTCATCATCCCTATTAATCTAGTCTTGAACATAGTTAGAAAGGGAAGTCGCTTTCTAACTGTACTCAAGTAAAGATCAACACTAAGGCCCGAATGACAACTAAGTGTCGCCGCACAGGGGCCACCGACCACAACCACAAAACGCCGCCACCGGCATATTTCTTGTAGTTTTCATACATTTTATATGGACTCGCCACACACGGTACGCCGGTGGCCGCCACACGCTACAAATCGTCGTTGCTCGCTTCTTGTGGCCCACACCGGCCACTTAATGCGCCGATACAAAACGCCGCCACACGTCACTCGCGCGATTCCCCATCCCTCTCTCCCTTACCTTAGTCGGCCTTCAGCCACTTTACGTTACCGCTTCTAGTTTCTCGTGGCCGCGTGTGGCAGTGGCGTGTGGCCCGTGTGCGGCGACACTAAGTGTTGATCTCTACTTGAGTACAGTTAGAAAGGGATGTCGCTATGTACTATATATAGCGACATCCCTTTCTGACTATCACTGAGAATCTTTCTATAATGCGGTCCTTAGTTGTCATTCTGTAATACGGGCCTAATAGTATCAAAAAAAGCGACACCACCCAATACCATCTATACGCGTTTTTTAGTTTCTTGTCTCTCAACCGACAAACATTGTCTTAAACGTGGCATAATGGCGTAAAGTCGTACGCGGCAATGAGATTCTAATGAGATTGAAAACTTGTTTCTTTAAATACGTGATACGTGGCACTACAGACAGAATTATTTTTCAACAATTGTCAGTGCCTCAAAAAAATTGGACACCGCCGAACATTTATACCTACACGATATTTAGTTTCTTGTCTCTCAAACGACAAACATTGTCCTAAACGTGGCTTAATGGTGTTCCATCGTACGTGGCAATGAGATTCAAATGACATTGAAAACGTGTATCTTTAAATACGTGATACGTGGCACTACAGAGAGAATTATTTTTCAACGACTGTCAGTGTCAATGTCAAGCTGGGTCGGCGTGGTTGCGTTTTCGGACTACACTCCGTGCGCGGTTTTTGCAGGATGGGCGAGGAGCAAGTCCCACCCGCCCTAGGGCGCTCGCTATTTTTCACGAAAAAGAAGACTGTTTGTTTTTGACATCTGTAAGTCACCTGCGGGAATGGATCCTCGTGCGACAGTCGCAGCAAGGCCCGCAGTACTAGTTCAGGCTTGGCGCGCACGTATGTGTTTTTCTCCTTATAACATGGACCGTATTAGCACAGCCCCTCGGGGGGCGGTACGGTGGGCACTAGGCCGCGTACTCAGCCCCCACGCGCGGGCCATCCTGCGCGCGTCTGCGGGGTCCCCGCGATACCCCGGGAGACCCTTGCCGCGGAGCCCCGGCAAGGCAAGAATCCCTAAACGGGGATCCCGCAGCTTCGCGCTAAGCAGCTTAGAGAGTGTTCGCAGGGTTTTTTAGCGGATATTATGCCGTAAAGCGCCCGTAAGAGTGACGGGGTCCTCAGTGGGCGGCCACTGCTGGGGCTCGTAAGGCTTGCGGGAGCCAGGTGTGAGGTCCGTTCGGCGGTGCCTCTTAAAGGCGCCGTAAATAGTATTTTTTGCCTGCGAATGAAGAATAAAAAGGTCAGCTCAGCTCCTGACCCGTTTGCAGAGGCCGGCCGTCCGCTCGAGCGTCCGTAGTAAGTCAGCCACCTCCTAATTGGCGCTCGTTAAGTTTTTGTTCAATGGCATCTATAGGTTACCTGCGGGAATGGGTCATCGTGCGGAAGTTGCAGCAGGGCCCGCACGTAGATGTTTTTCTCCTTGATGTCGTTAAAAAGAGCGGCCCGTTATAGGTTAGCCCCGCCCCAATGGCGTTCGTTTTTTATTACGATAGAAAAAAACTGTTCTTTTTGAAGTGAAACTTCTTTATCGGCGTTGGAAAAAAATTTACCGTCACATTTTTATTCGGTTACGCGTCACGTTTTTTGGTTACGCGCCATCTTTTTTTTAAAAGAGCACTATTTACCTCATCCGAACAATTGCTTTTTCTGTCAACTTTAAAAAAAAAAAGTATCGACAGCAAATATTCGTGTTTCACACAAGGTAAGGTAAGGTAAGGTAAGGTAAGGTAAGGTAAGGTAAGGTAAGGTAAGGTAAGGTAAGGTAAGGTAAGGTAAGGTGTAGTTATACCCCTTTAGTGGGTGAGTTTTTGAAAAATATTAGCGCACGCCTATATATATATTTCTGGAAAGTTGCATGTAGATTTTTCGAAAAAAATAAGGCCATAAAGAAGTTTCACTTCTTACGTGTGTACACTAGTACACGCACACATTTTTTTTTAATTTCTAGGTCACCTGCGGGAATGCGTCATCGTGCGGCAGTCGCAGCAGGGCCCCCAGTGCTAGTTCAGAATTGGCGTGTACGTAGGTGTTTTTCTCCATAAAACATGGACCGTAATACCTCAGCCCCGTTTGCGGAGGCCCGCCGCCCGCCCAAGCGTCCGTAGTAAGTCAGCCACCTCCTAATTGGCGGGCGCTCGTTAAGTTTTTGGAGTTTACTCCTTAAGAATCGATTTGCATATATAAGGGGCCCGGTATGAGAAAAATGTGAGGAGTAAAATCTATCGATGAATGACCTCGTTACGTTTTTGGTGCGCATCCTATGTCGCGCAACTTTGACAAACAAAGATGACGAATTGACATTAATAAAAATTTTAAAATCTGAACTGAATTTAGATATTGTTTCTGATAGAGCAATGGGGACAACGAGGTATGGTACAACCATTGATGCGGTATTTTCAAGATTCGTGAACCACGTATCTACGAACGTCCATGTGTCTTATTTTAGTTACCATAAACCACTTGTCACTGTAATTAATAATGCAGACAATGTTGATTTAATTAATATTTAAAAAAATTATAATAGTCTGATAATAATAATCACATAATTTATCAACATTCCTAATGATATATTTATGCACATCTGAAATTGACTATTGTAAAAAGTTTAATGTAAAATATTTCGTCGATTAGTTATAATAAATGTATATGAAATGAATAAATTATTATTTTCATTAATTTGTCAATTTACCCTTTCATACAGTATCAATCTTTTTTAAGTTAAATAAACTCTTTTTGCGTCTGGTTAGACTATCGAACTTAAGGAGTAAACTCCAGTCGTGCGTCGGAGCTGACACACACAATTTTTTTTAATGGCATCAATAGGTTACCTGCGGGAATGCGTCGTCGTGCGGCCGTTGCAGCAGGGCCCTCACGTCTACGTTCCTCTTCTTGATGCTGTTGAAGAGCGGATAGTTGGACCCGTAATAGGTCTGCTCCACGGCGCTTGTTTCCTTATTACGATAGAAAAAACCTATTATTTTTTGGACTTTTAGGTCACCTGGGGGAATGCGTCGTCGTGCGGCAGTCGCAGCAGGGCCCTCAGCGCTAGCTCGGAGTTGGCGCGCACGTATGTGTTCTTCTCCTTGGTGCCGTTGACGAGGGCGGGTAACAAGGCCCGTAATAGGTCCGCCCCGCCCCTACGGCGTTTGCTTACTTTCACGATATTAAAAAAATACTGTTTCTTTTAGCTTGGATAGGTCACCTGCGGGAACGCGCCCGCCCGCACGTAGAGTGAGAGAGAGAATCATTTTTATTGACCACATTAATAAATTTACAAAACAACATACAAACGTAGGTGTTCTTCTCCTTGGTGCCGTTGAAGAGAGCGGGTAGAGGGGTCCTTAGTAAGTCCCACCCTCCCTTGCCGCTTGCTTATTTTCAAGATGGTAAAAAAATCAATCTATTTTAGCATGTACAGGTTACCTGCGGGAATGCGTCGTCGTGCGGCAGTCGCAGTAGGGCCCTCAGCGCTAGCTCGGAGTTGGCGCGCACGTATGTGTTCTTCTCCTTGGTGCCGTTGACGAGGGCGGGTAACAAGGCCCGTAATAGGTCCGCCCCGCCCCTACGGCGTTTGCTTACTTTCACGATATTAAAAAAATACTGTTTCTTTTAGCTTGGATAGGTCACCTGCGGGAACGCGCCGTCGTGCTGCAGTCGCAGCAGGGCCCGCACGTAGAGAGAGAGAGAGAGAGAGAGAGAGAGAGAGAGAGAGAGAGAGAGAGAGAGAGAGAGAGAGAGAATCATTTTTATTGACCACATTAATAAATTTACAAAACAACATACAAACGTAGGTGTTCTTCTCCTTGGTGCCGTTGAAGAGAGCGGGTAGAGGGGTCTTTAGTAAGTCCCACAACGCTTGCTTATTTTCAAGATAGTAAAAAATTCTGTCTATTTCAGCATGTACAGTATACCTGGGGGAATGCGTCGTCGTGCGGCAGTCGCAGCAGGGCCCTCAGCGCTAGCTCGGAGTTGGCGCGCACGTATGTGTTCTTCTCCTTGGTGCCGTTGACGAGGGCGGGTAACAAGGCCCGCAGGAGGTCGGCCCCGGGCCCGCTGGCGGAGGCCCCGCCGGCCCCCACGGCGCTAGCGCTCGCCATTAGCTGCTTCACCTCGTTGCTGGAGTGGTTCATGCTCTGCACCGGACAAACCCATAATTATTAGTGACCAGAGGTCGCCCGCGACTACGTCTGCGTTAACTTAGTTTCTTGAAAATCCCTCTGGAACCTAACATTTTTTCGGGATAAAAGTAGCCTATGTGTTATTCTAGGGTGTCAGCTAACTCCATACCAAATTTTATTAAAATCGCTCCAGCCGTTTAGACGTGAAGAAGTAACAAACATACATACTCACAAACTTTCGCCTTTATAATATTAGTGTGATTATCTTTATATATATAATTCTTCTGTGAGTGTGTATGTCACTGAACTTCTCTTAAATGACTGGACCGATTTTGATGAAATTTTTTGTGTGTGTTCAAGGGGATCTGAGAATGGTTTAGATTCACAATTTTGTCCGCTGGATAACCCCTATTTTTTTAGAGCGGTACGAAGTTCGCTGGGTCAGCTAGTTTTTATCTAAAGAAAATATAACTACATAAAATTCCACGCGGACCAGGCAGCAGACGGGACTTAGATTTAAACATCAAGCAGTTACATGCTTTATAAAAAAAAATATAATTATTTTTAGTTAAAAAGAGAAGAGCGATCAATGTTTTTGGAACAAAACATACGAATATCATACTTTTATAATTTTTTTTTCAACAGGTTTAAAATGCATTTTCAATACTTTTTGACAGAACTCCACGTTTTGCATCCTTTTCCGGATGCTTCGTCTAAGGAAGGTACGCCTTACATTTTAAACTCGTTGGAAAAAAAATACATTCTTACTGTGCGTGGAAAGTTAAGAAACAAATATCATAATTTTATACTAATTAGCGGTTCTTCAGTTGGCCTATGGTGATTCATTCCTTTCTTTTCAGCCATAGTAATAACAATTTTAGTTAATTTATAACTAAACATTCGAAGTCTGAATCTCTATCTGTTGATTTTGAAAAATAAAAGAGTCGTAAAGAAGCTAAATTCGAAATCGTAAGAAGGGTTCCAGTACCATAATTCATGGTTTGTTATAAATAAATGTTTATATATATAATAAATATCGTTTGATAGCTACTCTTGTAGCCTAGCCATTCAATTAAAAATTTCGATCGTAGTTTATTTTAAAAAATAGTGAAACGTTACCCTGACGAACTGCGAGAGTAGATTCGGCGGGGTGGGGCGGCCTTCTTTGAGCAGATATTGCATGAGGTACGCAATGCCACGGATACCGCTGCATACCACCATTACGTGTTCACTGCTAAGATATGATAGCAGTGTTTTCTCTATCCGTTCCTGTTGAAGAAATTAACTCATTTAAAATGTTTTTCCTGAAAATTGTATTGTTTATGATTTAACCTTTCAATGCAGGAAGTGAAATTTGATACTCGTCATCACGTCGTCATTCGTCAACAAAATGGCGTCGCAAATCAAAATGGCTCCGGCTCCGATAAAAAAATATATTACGCTGTAGCCTAACCATTAATTATCATTGCGTAAACGAGAGTTTACTAATTGATAAATTTTCTTTCAGTCAGGTACAAAAATTAAGGCAATTATCAATACATATTTTTAACTAATCGGCCGCCATGGCTCACGTACAATAATCCTTTTGGTCTTTCGCGTTGTTTTATCGATGGTGAAAATTTTATTATTATAAGAAAGCCAAAGGGGAAGACCTGCTTCTGATCTGGGTGATGTTAGCTCGGAGGCCGCGGCCCCACTCATGTTGGTCAGGCATTGTATATATGGAGTGTTTGCCTCCGAATTTCTCTTGCGCGATGTAGGCTTCCATACGTTGTGAGCGCAGCGCCGGTAGCGCCATCTTTTGAGGAGGCGGGTGAGTATTTCCTCCATGTTGATTATATGTGGGGCATGTAGATGTCGCCGCCTCACTATAGTAAATGCCACTTTAAATACATAGTAAATATGTCAAATGGTTAGTTTTTTTGAGCGCCACGTAGAGCGCGCAGGAGCGTGTGTGCAGCAGGGCGGCGTTGTTGCGTCACCTGGAAGGGCTCGGTGTACACGAGGGCGGGCGCCTCCTTGAGCGCCACGTAGAGCGCGCAGGAGCGTGTGTGCAGCAGGGCGGCGTTGTTGCGTCACCTGGAAGGGCTCGGTGTACACGAGGGCGGGCGCCTCCTTGAGCGCCACGTAGAGCGCGCAGGAGCGTGTGTGCAGCAGGGCGGCGTTGTTGCGTCACCTGGAAGGGCTCGGTGTACACGAGGGCGGGCGCCTCCTTGAGCGCCACGTAGAGCGCGCAGGAGCGTGTGTGCAGCAGGGCGGCGTTGTTGCGTCACCTGGAAGGGCTCGGTGTACACGAGGGCGGGCGCCTCCTTGAGCGCCACGTAGAGCGCGCAGGAGCGTGTGTGCAGCAGGGCGGCGTTGTTGCGTCACCTGGAAGGGCTCGGTGTACACGAGGGCGGGCGCCTCCTTGAGCGCCACGTAGAGCGCGCAGGAGCGTGTGTGCAGCAGGGCGGCGTTGTTGCGTCACCTGGAAGGGCTCGGTGTACACGAGGGCGGGCGCCTCCTTGAGCGCCACGTAGAGCGCGCAGGAGCGTGTGTGCAGCAGGGCGGCGTTGTTGCGTCACCTGGAAGGGCTCGGTGTACACGAGGGCGGGCGCCTCCTTGAGCGCGACGTAGAGCGCGCAGGAGCGGCCGTGCAGCAGGGCGGCGTTGTCCGTGGGGGCGCCCAGCACGTGGTGCTGCAGGGCGGCGGGCCGGTGGGCGGGCGGCAGGCGGGCCAGCAGGGCGCCCAGGCACCCGCCCACGCCGGCGCGAGCGCTCTCTTCCGGTTGCGCCAGTAACGGCCCGCTCAGAGTCGTCAGCACGCTCAACGCCAACGGCTCGGACATCTTGTCGCCGCCGCCGGATATTATGCCGCGTAACGCTTGCAACATCGTCTCCCTATTACAGATTTAAGTAAATACATATTAGGGATTTAATATTTGAAAATAAAATTACTCAGAAATAAATGTAGCTTCTTGAAAAACAATTTGAGTACGTGGTAGGAGGTTAACAGGATACGAAATAAGTTATTAGGTTACATACTTTCGCTACGTTAAAATTGATTTCCTATACAACCACCTCAAGTAGAGCACAAAACCCGCTGCGCCTAAACTTCTACTGCATCAAGCCTCACTTTTATGATTTACTAGTGAGTACCCGTGACTTCGACTGTGTGAAAATATTGGTATACCAAACGAACTCCACCCCCCTTTTCACCCCCTTAAAGGATGATTTCTAAGATATAAATTATCCAATATCCTTTCCCGGGACTCAAACTATCTCTATACCAAATAAGCGGTTAAAGCGTAAAGAGGTAACAGACGGACAGACATGTTCATGCTATATTTTTAATAATAGCGGAGCGTCAACATGGATTTTAAATCTAATAGACGTAGAGCTCACAATTTACAGTCAAACTAACGCGTGTTACGCACACATACTCCACCGCATCTACTGACACAAGACAGCTTTGCACACGGCACTATTGTTAGTATGGAATGATCGCAAAATTGCACAATTGATGTAAACTGCTGATGCAGCGGCACGTGGAGCATCGCCGGGCGTGAAGCGATGGAGGTCGTCGAGGCGTCACTTTTGCATCAAACTTCGATCGGGTCACTAGATAGATTAGGTTAATATAATTTTATTCTAATTCTTTTATTCTTATTAAATTTGTTATAAAATATTTTTGTATTTTTTTTGCTATCTTCGGTTGCAGCTTCTATATTTCGGACCGAATATAAATAAATAATTCGGTCATAAATATTACTTAGGAACATTTGTTTATAAAATTTAAATATCAATAAACAATGCTTTTGTTATCAAGCGACACACTGGCTATTTGATTTCACATATCTCGTCTTTAGGAGCCAAATAGGGTATTTGACAAGTTTTAGAAAACGATCTCACGTTATTTACTAATGTTTATGAAGTCCATAAAAAGTGGATATTCATCAATATGTAAAAAAACTAAATCAAAAACTATATTTTCAAGTTGCCGCGAAAAACGTATCTCTGGACAATATGGCGTCTCACTGGTGTGTGACGTCACACGACTGTCATTAAAACGTCAAACCATACAATCTAATGTCACTTTAACAGGAAGTTTACTTGCGTGTGACGTCATTTTAAGCTCCACCAATCCCAAGCGTTTTGGGTCACGTGACAATAGATAAGAAAACATAATCTTTATCGTGGGTTTTTTAGTAAAATCATGAATATTTTTCTGTAAAAATAGTAAAAACTCCTGCCAATATTCATTCTAAATACAGATGCTAACAATAGGGATGATGACTAATTTTTTTTCTTCGTTTATCAGGTAGATTATCAAAAAGTATTGGACACTTATTTTTTCTTTTTTCACATAATATGAACATTGCAGAGATATATTGATTTGAAAAGTCGCATGACGTCACGTTTGACTACACTTATAAGTGAAAATTCACTCAAAAGTGACGTCACGAGCCCCTACTCCCAAACTTTGACGCGCTATAACTTTGTCATTTTTTGGTTTATTGCCCAAAGAAAAAATACGTGTCCATTATTTTTTGATCATCTAACTGGACGGACTAAATAGAATTTCGTTTACTGTACCCCGTCATCACCCCTATTGGCACTTTATTTTTAATACTGTCAAATACCCTATTAGTATAGATTCGCTCACCGTATAGCCGGGTCGTCCGTATTCTTGATCCCGTTATGCAGCTCCACAAACAGCGGGTCTGCGCGCGTGTGAATCAACACCAGCTGCGATAGCGCGAGGCCGGCCTTCATGCGGACGGCTCGGTTCGGGTCGTTCAATGCCTTCAGGAATGTCGTCTGAAGCTGCGGTAGGAACTGCTTCAGCATCGCTCCCACCTAAGAGTTTAAAGTGCAAATTGTTGGAGTTTACTCCTTAAGAATCGATTTGCATATATAAGGGCCCCGGTATGAGAAAAATGTGAGGAGTAAAATCTATCGATGAATGACATTAATGACCTAGTTACGTTTTTGTGCGCAACCTCATCTGCGCACCTTTCACTTTTAGCCATGGCAACGGATAAAAAACATTAAGTTGTCACAAATGTCAATAAAATAAATAAACTAAAAATAGATAAAATCGGAGCAAAATTAATGAAAACAAATAAATAACAGAATATAGAGAAATGCTGGTAAGTGTCCAGCACTCTGGAATAGTGATTTTCAGTACAGATGGAATTATAATACATATTTACAAAATGATGACTAGTGTGTGATATTTTTGAAATTGTGTATTTCCAGAAACACATAATAAAATATATGATGTATAATTGCTGCTGATGTTAGATGATAAAATGTGTGACATGGAACCTATGATAGTCGAAACCATGGGACGATTCCTGAGGTATCTCTACTTGTAACCGACTTCTTCGGACTTGATTTTGTTTTGTGTCTGTTCAAAGACAATCGTTTTTAGAGTGTAAACTCCGGTCGTGCGTCGGAGCTGACACACACAATTTTTTTTGTACAGTGAACGCTTGTATGAGGAAGGAAACTGCCAATTTATCCCGCCAGAGGGATAGCTGTCGAATGGCTCTTAACGACATATCAAGACAGCTGTCAAAATCACAAGAAAAAAATCATGATAATTGTGCTTTTCAGTAATTTTCAAAAAAAAATTTAAAATAAAACTACTTTTTTTGAGTTAGATGTAATGAATTTATTTATTAAATGACGTTTCGCATCCTTTTCAGGAATGTGTAGTCTGAATAATATTTTTTTATTTACTTTGCCGAGCTACCTTCGAAAGACTTTTATTGAGCGTTCGGTTCATTGGAATATTTTTAAAGCTTTATTGTCTATGCTTGAATTTATTAGCTAATTTAATTAACCCGTAAAAACTAGGTTTATTTAATGAGCGATGTGCGTGAAAACCTAAGAAACAAATAAAATAATAATAGTTAAAATAGATTTGTTAGTAGTTCATTAGCATTTTTTTTATTAATATTGTTGTTTTTACATATTTCCGAGACACGTGGACCGATTTTGATTAATTTTTTTCTTTATACAGCTTTATACGCTCCTTCAGTAACATTTCTATGATATTATAAGTTACCTTGGACAGCAGCGAGGCCAGAGTCTCGAGCACGGCTGCCTTCACGCTGGAGTTGAACCGGTCGCCGAGGATACGGATGAGCGGACCCGTGATGTGCACCACGGAGGGCTGGATGGCAGCCGGTGACGTCAGCTTGATCACTTCGCCCAGCATCAGTGCCGCATTCTCCTTGTCTTCGGGTAAGCCGTTCAGGATCGACTCGCGGAATAGGGGCAGGATCGGCGCTATACCCTGCACGAGAATGGTTGGTTGTCAGTTTTTTATTAATATCGCAAATTCTTCAGTAGGGCAACGAGTTAAAGAATTGTATGGTATACAATGCATACTACATACAGTGTCGTTTTAAGTGTCGAGCAGTTTATATTTTTCAGTAAGGCAACGAGTTAAAGAATTGTATGGTATACAGTATAGTTTAGTCGAGCAGTTTATAATGGACTACACTACATGTTTTCCATATTGGTGATGTCCAGGAGTAACTTTTAGCTGTAATATGATCTGTATTTTTTTCAATGCATAATTTATTTAATAGCAGCATTTTACCTGAAATAAAATGCATATTAAAATACTTACCTCACTGAAAGCTTTATATTGAGATAGCACTTCCGTTTCCCGTCGAATTACCATCAGTTTCCGTACTTTTATTCACCTTGTATCCGGTCCAGTGGCGACACCTGGCAGAAGCGCGGCCATTTTTGTTTTCCTATGTTTTAACAGCGCCATATTAACTCATTGGCTCAATTATTTCACCAGGCAGAATTTAAAGTGAAAGCTTTCAGTGAGGTAAGTATTTTAATATGCATTTTATTTCAGGTAAAATGCTGCTATTAAACTACTTGACCGTCACTGAAAGCTTTATATTGAGACCTGTTTGTTATCGCCTGGTGATCGCCACGTACATAGATATATACGCCAATGTGACAATTTATGATAAATTTAAATATTAACATTTATCAGATTATATGAAACTGTATAAAGAAACGAGTAAGCTTAAAAGTGAATCAAATAATATTATTTGAATCACGCCTTTAATTTCTTCAAGCTTACGAAGCTGCTTTAACATATGTATTAGCTGATCGCTATATTCCTTTGCTTAAAACTCGCGAAATATATATATATATATATATATACATATATATATATATACTTCTACATATATTTGCTTTGTTAATGACCGGACGCTTCCTTGTGTAGCATTCATTTGTATCTTTGTATATCACAAATAAGGCGTTCGAACGCGAGAAAAAGATGTAAAGTTGTTCGATACTGAGTCTTACATTTTACAAGACTGTACTTTTTACTTAAGTACCAAAAATCAGGATCCCACTTACGATTACCATTATTCGGTACAAGTCACCAATCGGATTGTCTTTAACTACTTTCACCTGTTTTGAACCAAAACAAGGCTAAACTAATCTTCGTCGGTACAAATACAATGCAGCAATGAAACAAATACAATGAACCAAATAATACGCAGCATAATTACTGTATGACGTTCAGAACAACATATATGACGAAGTATTTGAAACAGATCATTATGATGTAACGAGTACATTATTGAAGAAAAGGAAATAAGTTAACTTATAGACACAGAATAGTAGGTTACGGACTGATTCTTTAAAAACAATCGACTTCAATATATATGTGTTTGCCAAGACAGGTGAGCTTAGGTAATTAGACTTATCATCCATTGGCATATCATGTAAAAACTACTGTTAAAAATAAGTCTCTCAAAAATCGTGTTAGTTCAGAGCCGAGTCCACAACTTGCGGGATTATTCCGATAAACATTCTTGTTCCTAGACCAATGTAACCACGCAAGCCAGCGTTTCCGAGCCATCTCATAGCTGTTTAAGACAGAGCTGTCGCTCTTTGTAGAATATGTTGAAAAGCGTAGTGCTAGCATATCTATTTGATTGGAGTGAAGATTGAAGTTAAGTGGTAGAGCCGTGTTCTTCAACTATACTTCCCAAGCTTTCATATTAGATTGGCGGGAAGTGATTGCAAGGTCGATTGCAGTGAATTCATAATTATTGTTAGAAGTAGGGAGTGGTTGATACAACCCCACGGAATGACAAAAATGTTGAAACCGATCAACTTCTGAAGTTTACGTTTTTACAACGAAATTCTCAGGTATAGTTTTTATATTGTTGCTGGGTTGCCGTGATAAATTATGCTATTACGAAGTTCAGACCAGATTTTATGAAATTCATTTGCCATCCTGGAATCTATAATTGATTGTAATTTTTCCTTTTGTTTTTCAGTTCTTAGATCTCAGTCATTTATATGTGTTACTTAATACTAAATAAAGATTTAGTTATTTACAAGATTTACACAGCTTACATTAGGTGTGCACTGTGCATGTAGTATGCATAGGGTTTGAAGTATATTTATTCCAGACAGTCGTGGCAAGGTTAGAAAGCGTAAGTTTAATATTAAGAACAGTTTTCAGTAATTTTTACTAAAATAACATGAAGTGGATAATTGCATACAATGATCTTCAAAACCTTTCAAGAATTAGGTAGATCGTGCAATTTTTCTTCAGTACATAGCACCACTTATATATCAAAATGATCATGTTGGCCACCTCAGACACCACATACACGACATTTTTAATATTGCAAGTTTCTCTCATTACGCGATCAAAAGAGTGAGCAACCCATTTGGTTTACTTTTGTTATTTTCAAGAGAAAATATGTTATCATCTATTTATCTGGCAGATAGTCCTTAAATTGCAGAAAACTTAGAATTCTTTACATATTTATAGTGTACTGCACTTGAGATTGGAGTTTGATATATATTGGATTTAGATAAACAAGCTTCTGAATGGCATGCGATACCATTAAATTTATTTAAGAATTATTTATGGAGCTCCCAATTTATCAACTTACCTGCACAAATTTTTTTTTTCAAACATTAATTGTTTCGATATTCCTTTTTCTTTTGAAATGTATTATGTATTACCGTAGAACAACCGTAGTGATCGAGTCAACACTTCACACCAATTAGCCTAGCCTTATAATGGGCATTGAAAGGCTTGTGTTATGGGCTAACGCCTAGAAATGCATAATGATGATACATAGATTAGTATGATTTTGAATTCATATTTGTTAACAACCAAAACTTAGGCACATATACTCGTTTTTATCATACAATGATTTGCCCCACCGGGGTGAACCCAAGACCTCAGAGTATGCGACACCTTAAAAACCACGTACATTGCACTTCCCAACGGGGTACGTTAACATTCGATGTTCGATCTTTATAGTCTATTAAGAGGGTAGTTTATAGCCGATACTTATGTGTGTACGCAAGCCATGAGCGGGTATGTTGCGTTGCGTTGCGTTGATGTATGGATTTCCACGCGATGGAAGTAATGAATTATGTCAAGCGACATTTATTATATTTTCAATTTACTTATTTTTAATGTTTCGAATCGTTTACACTTTTACAGACCCCATGGTCACAAAAATAAGTTATGAATCACGAATAGACTACATGTTAAATTATGCATAATTTGCTCCACTTGAGTGTCGTATGTTACCGGTGCTTCCATAATAGTACGAACTCCATAAGCTAACATGTTCTAAGGAGAACATATATTGATATTCACGTAATGGAAATAATATATTATGTGTGATATGACCCCACAAGGGCGATTATAAGATTGATGAGGATATTTCTCTATCAACGATGTTTTGTTACTGATACTTGTATGTGTAGGCAAGCCATGGAAGGCAAGTCCTTATTCATAATGAGTTCCATACGGAGGAAGCAAATTATACATAATATGCCCCCGCGAGGGGCGGTCATCAGAGTTTTGGTAATATGCACGCCGCGAAGGTGGTTTGCTACCGGTACTCGTATATGTAAGCAAGGCATTAGAGGTATTTCATAAGGTTTCACGTAGTGGAAACAAATTGTATATAATATGCACCCCGCGAGGGTGATTTGCTACCGGTACTCGTATATGTAGGCAAGGCATTAGAGGCATTTCATAAGGTTCCACGTAGTGGAAACTAATTGTACATAATATTCACCCCGCGAGGGTGATTTGCCACCGGTACTCGTATATGTAGGCAAGGCATTAGAGGCATTTAATAAAATTCCACGTAGTGGAAACAAATTATATATAATATGCACCCCGCGAGGGTGATTTGCCACCGGTATTCATATGTGTAGGTACGCCATGGGAGGGCATGTCCTGACACGCCTTGGGCTTCATGAGATGAAGCTTATGAATATCACTTGCCTCTGCGCGAGTTGCTCATTAGGTTGATGAAATGTCAATCACTTAAATCCATGACAAATACTTACTTAATACGAGAAAAACAACCTCATAGATGGTATCTTATTAAGTGGTGCTTCATCACAGAGATCACTAACTTCTTAAGCAGTGCTTTAGTTTTTACTTTTTAGCTTTGTGCTAGCTGTAAAAGACCTAAGAAACGATTCTGTTATCTTATCACTTTCGTTATTAAAATTAACTGAGCAGGTGCCTTCCCGCAATGATTCATTTTTATTTTAGAAATATGCAATTGCTGAAAGAAAATTAATGTCAGGAACGTGATATATCATAAATTATCATCATACTTCTTTACCTCGTTGTTTGTTTCCAGGTTGATAAAGCCTGGACTATGATTATAATTTTTAATTTACATCAGCATATCATTTAAAATAAACGTTGAATGTCTTTCGAACAGAGCGTTCCTTTATCCTAGTTTAGTCACACGACTCATATGAGAATTTTTATTACGTGTATTGGTCAGTAAAAATGTTAGAACATTTTATTCATAAGCCTTTAGATATTGATAGCTGGCCATGTTCAGAAAACGGCATATCGACATTAGACATATCTTATTAAGATTGTACATAGTTCACTTACCCCTCGAACAATCTTTTAATAAAAGGGCTGGAATATCAAGCTCGCTTATTTTTCTTGAGGCAGCGATGCCGCTTTCGTTATACCAGAAGACGACAAATTCTACCAATTATTACTGCAGCTGTTCGAGGAACAATAATGACACATCTTGCTGTTTTTGCCAATAATGCCAGTCAGTCGGCGGCTGAAACGTCAATATTGACCGATATTCATTCACTCTAAACTGTAAAACAATTTAATTAAGTATTTTGTAATACATTTACCAATTTACTTTCACATTTACTTATACGGAAACATTAATTGAGTACCAAGAGAAAACACTCTTAAAATAGTTTTTATGATAAACGACCAAGACAGACGTAAAGTATTGCAAAATTTACATTAATGTAGGTACTTTAATTTTTTAAACAAAACGCACCTTGAATTGCCGTCAAGTTTTACTCACGGCTTATTATTACTTTTTCAAACAAGCGTATTGCACAATTTAACATATTTGTTTTAAATATCCCTTATCACAAGGGCTGCAAAAACTATCAAAAGGAATAATAGTTTTACTTACGGTTCCTTCACTTTTAACACGTAAAGTACCTATTTGGAATAACACGAACGGCAAAAACCGTTAAAATAAAATAGTTTTACTTACAGTTTTATCACTTAATAATAATAAAACCTTTAAAATCTCACAACGATCGCTCAGATTGAGGACGTGTTGCTTCGACGGGAGTCAGAACGCCAATGCGTTAATATGGCGCTGTTAAAACATAGGAAAACAAAAATGGCCGCGCTTCTGCCAGGTGTCGCCACTGGACAGGATACAAGGTGAATAAAAGTACGGAAACTGATGGTAATTCGACGGGAAACGGAAGTGCTATCTCAATATAAAGCTTTCAGTGACGGTCAAGTAGTTTAATGTTTATTACCATAAAAACAGTAAATGGTGTACTTAATGCCATAGACATTCTCTACCAGTCAACCAGTAAAGGTGTAAGAGATGAAATGTTATGGCGATAGAATATGAGCTGCGAAGTGAGGATATTAATCTTATTATAAATGTCGTCTGAGCCCGCAGTGTTCACCTTGGGCAGACAGAAGCCGGGCAGCAGACGGGGCGGCGGCAGGTCCGCGGCGGCCACACGCAGCGCGTGCCGCACGTCGCTCACGTGCGGCACCATCCGCTCCGCGTCCAGCGAGCGCGTCACGGCCGCCAGCGAGGATATTACCTTGGGCAGACAGAAGCCGGGCAGCAGACGGGGCGGCGGCAGGTCCGCGGCGGCCACACGCAGCGCGTGCCGCACGTCGCTCACGTGCGCCACCATCCGCTCCGCGTCCAGCGAGCGCGTCACGGCCGCCAGCGAGGATATTACCTTGGGCAGACAGAAGCCGGGCAGCAGACGGGGCGGCGGCAGGTCCGCGGCGGCCACACGCAGCGCGTGCCGCACGTCGCTCACGTGCGCCACCATCCGCTCCGCGTCCAGCGAGCGCGTCACGGCCGCCAGCGAGGATATTACCTTGGGCAGACAGAAGCCGGGCAGCAGACGGGGCGGCGGCAGGTCCGCGGCGGCCACACGCAGCGCGTGCCGCACGTCGCTCACGTGCGCCACCATCCGCTCCGCGTCCAGCGAGCGCGTCACGGCCGCCAGCGAGGATATTACCTTGGGCAGACAGAAGCCGGGCAGCAGACGGGGCGGCGGCAGGTCCGCGGCGGCCACACGCAGCGCGTGCCGCACGTCGCTCACGTGCGCCACCATCCGCTCCGCGTCCAGCGAGCGCGTCACGGCCGCCAGCGAGGATATTACCTTGGGCAGACAGAAGCCGGGCAGCAGACGGGGCGGCGGCAGGTCCGCGGCGGCCACACGCAGCGCGTGCCGCACGTCGCTCACGTGCGCCACCATCCGCTCCGCGTCCAGCGAGCGCGTCACGGCCGCCAGCGAGGATATTACCTTGGGCAGACAGAAGCCGGGCAGCAGACGGGGCGGCGGCAGGTCCGCGGCGGCCACACGCAGCGCGTGCCGCACGTCGCTCACGTGCGCCACCATCCGCTCCGCGTCCAGCGAGCGCGTCACGGCCGCCAGCGAGGATATTACCTTGGGCAGACAGAAGCCGGGCAGCAGACGGGGCGGCGGCAGGTCCGCGGCGGCCACACGCAGCGCGTGCCGCACGTCGCTCACGTGCGCCACCATCCGCTCCGCGTCCAGCGAGCGCGTCACGGCCGCCAGCGAGGATATTACCTTGGGCAGACAGAAGCCGGGCAGCAGACGGGGCGGCGGCAGGTCCGCGGCGGCCACACGCAGCGCGTGCCGCACGTCGCTCACGTGCGCCACCATCCGCTCCGCGTCCAGCGAGCGCGTCACGGCCGCCAGCGAGGATATTACCTTGGGCAGACAGAAGCCGGGCAGCAGACGGGGCGGCGGCAGGTCCGCGGCGGCCACACGCAGCGCGTGCCGCACGTCGCTCACGTGCGCCACCATCCGCTCCGCGTCCAGCGAGCGCGTCACGGCCGCCAGCGAGGATATTACCTTGGGCAGACAGAAGCCGGGCAGCAGACGGGGCGGCGGCAGGTCCGCGGCGGCCACACGCAGCGCGTGCCGCACGTCGCTCACGTGCGCCACCATCCGCTCCGCGTCCAGCGAGCGCGTCACGGCCGCCAGCGAGGATATTACCTTGGGCAGACAGAAGCCGGGCAGCAGACGGGGCGGCGGCAGGTCCGCGGCGGCCACACGCAGCGCGTGCCGCACGTCGCTCACGTGCGCCACCATCCGCTCCGCGTCCAGCGAGCGCGTCACGGCCGCCAGCGCCTCCCACGCCATCTGCAGCACGTCGCGCTCGTCGCCGGCCAGCAGTAGGATCAGGCCGCGGATGAGCGCCGGCACGTGCGGCGATAGGTCCGCGCGCGTGTGCGTCACGAACGCGCACAGCAGCGCTGCGCCCGCGCGACGCTTCTCCTCATCCATCGTGCGCACCCACTCCAGCAGCGTGTCGATTATGCTGCGCAAGCGTTTGTTTGTTAATATTGATATCGATACAAATTGGCAATAACAAAAAAGTGGTGTCGATTCTGGTGTGATTGAAAAAAAGAAAATGAAAAAATGAACAATATTTATTCTGTAACCAAATTAAATTAACATAAAAGTTATTGAAGCACTCTTTTAGGTAAACATATACCTATTAGATATACGGGCATAAATTCTCTAAACTTAAAACTAAATTTAATATCAGTCTCACCTTTTCATTCTGTATAGAGAAGGACAAGGATGCACTGTTGTCAAATTTCAGTTTAGCTTTAGAGAATCATGCCAGAATCGACGTCATAGTTTTATTAAAAGATAACAAAAAGGTAAAAATGAAAAGGAAGGACAATAAAAATACTTATTCACGAGAATTTTTTTTACAAATTACAAAAATAACAGTATCTAAAAATACGGTGGAGTGTATAAGTGAGTGTGAATAGATAATAGAATGTAAAAAAGTGGCGTTTAGACGGGTATGAATCAACGGCATTCTTGGGCTGTATCGAGACTGAGAGGTGTATAATTGTTGGTGAGTGAGCGTGAATAGGTAGCAGAATGAAAATGAATGAATGAGACGGGTGTGAGTCACAGTCTTGGGTTGCTTGGGTTGGAAAATTTTGAAGTGATAATTTTTTATGTAAGGGTAAACTGCTTCGGGATTCGTGAGGAGCTCGATGGCGCAAGTGATTAGCGCGTTCGGCTGCGATCGTTGAACTAAAGCAACTTTCGCAGTGGTCGGTCATTGGATGGGTGACCAAAAATTACTACTTCGAGCTCCTCCGCGCTTCGGAAGGCACATTAAGCCATTGGTCCCGGCTGCATCTGCAGTCGTTAGCACCCACCAATCCGCACTGGGCCCGCGTGGTGGGTCATGGCCCAATCTCCCTATTCCATCCATAGGGAAGGCCTGTGCCCCAGCAGTGGGGACATTAATAGGCTGATGATGATGACGATGAAACTGCTTCGTTAAGTGAAGCGTTACGGCGCCAGTCTGTCTGGCTTCCCTTCCTTTCACGCATACGGCAGCGGTACTCAGGCTCCTCCTCTCTCACTCAAACCAGCAGCGCCACTTAGATTATCACTTCTGTCGTGCGTCCCGCTTTTATTATTTTTCCTATTTAAAGCTTGCATAGGTTGTGTACGTACCAGCGCACTCCGGCGGGGTCGGCGACGGGCAGCAGCGCGTCGCGGCAGTGGTCGAGCTCGCGCGCCTCGTGCGGGGAGTGGCGCGCGGCCACGAGCGCGGCCAGCAGCGCGGGCAGCACGCGCGGCAGATGTCGGCCCAGCGCGTGTGTGTACGTACCAGCGCACGCCGGCGGGGTCGGCGACGGGCAGCAGCGCGTCGCGGCAGTGGTCGAGCTCGCGCGCCTCGTGCGGGGAGTGGCGCGCGGCCACGAGCGCGGCCAGCAGCGCGGGCAGCACGCGCGGCAGATGTCGGCCCAGCGCGTGTGTGTACGTACCAGCGCACGCCGGCGGGGTCGGCGACGGGCAGCAGCGCGTCGCGGCAGTGGTCGAGCTCGCGCGCCTCGTGCGGGGAGTGGCGCGCGGCCACGAGCGCGGCCAGCAGCGCGGGCAGCACGCGCGGCAGATGTCGGCCCAGCGCGTGTGTGTACGTACCAGCGCACGCCGGCGGGGTCGGCGACGGGCAGCAGCGCGTCGCGGCAGTGGTCGAGCTCGCGCGCCTCGTGCGGGGAGTGGCGCGCGGCCACGAGCGCGGCCAGCAGCGCGGGCAGCACGCGCGGCAGATGTCGGCCCAGCGCGTGTGTGTACGTACCAGCGCACGCCGGCGGGGTCGGCGACGGGCAGCAGCGCGTCGCGGCAGTGGTCGAGCTCGCGCGCCTCGTGCGGGGAGTGGCGCGCGGCCACGAGCGCGGCCAGCAGCGCGGGCAGCACGCGCGGCAGATGTCGGCCCAGCGCGTGTGTGTACGTACCAGCGCACGCCGGCGGGGTCGGCGACGGGCAGCAGCGCGTCGCGGCAGTGGTCGAGCTCGCGCGCCTCGTGCGGGGAGTGGCGCGCGGCCACGAGCGCGGCCAGCAGCGCGGGCAGCACGCGCGGCAGATGTCGGCCCAGCGCGTGTGTGTACGTACCAGCGCACGCCGGCGGGGTCGGCGACGGGCAGCAGCGCGTCGCGGCAGTGGTCGAGCTCGCGCGCCTCGTGCGGGGAGTGGCGCGCGGCCACGAGCGCGGCCAGCAGCGCGGGCAGCACGCGCGGCAGATGTCGGCCCAGCGCGTGTGTGTACGTACCAGCGCACGCCGGCGGGGTCGGCGACGGGCAGCAGCGCGTCGCGGCAGTGGTCGAGCTCGCGCGCCTCGTGCGGGGAGTGGCGCGCGGCCACGAGCGCGGCCAGCAGCGCGGGCAGCACGCGCGTAAGATGTCGGCCCAGCGCGTGTGTGTACGTACCAGCGCACGCCGGCGGGGTCGGCGACGGGCAGCAGCGCGTCGCGGCAGTGGTCGAGCTCGCGCGCCTCGTGCGGGGAGTGGCGCGCGGCCACGAGCGCGGCCAGCAGCGCGGGCAGCACGCGCGGCAGATGTCGGCCCAGCGCGTGTGTGTACGTACCAGCGCACGCCGGCGGGGTCGGCGACGGGCAGCAGCGCGTCGCGGCAGTGGTCGAGCTCGCGCGCCTCGTGCGGGGAGTGGCGCGCGGCCACGAGCGCGGCCAGCAGCGCGGGCAGCACGCGCGGCAGATGTCGGCCCAGCGCGTGTGTGTACGTACCAGCGCACGCCGGCGGGGTCGGCGACGGGCAGCAGCGCGTCGCGGCAGTGGTCGAGCTCGCGCGCCTCGTGCGGGGAGTGGCGCGCGGCCACGAGCGCGGCCAGCAGCGCGGGCAGCACGCGCGGCAGATGTCGGCCCAGCGCGGCGCCCGCGGCGGCCGCCAGCGCGGAGAGCGCGCGCGTGTCCACCGCGCCCTCGCCGCCGCCGCCCGCGGTCAGCACCGGCACCAGGTACGGCAGCACCGCGCGCGACTTTATCGCCATTATCTGCACACGACACAACTGACTATTTCAGGGAGTTGCTTTATTTTATGGAAATAACTCGAAATTTATGAAAAAACTTTCATAAATTTCGAGAACTGTATTCTTAGCACGAACGATTATCGAATTCGAATAGTTAAACTCGATCTATTTGGTACGTCAAATGTGTACTGATTTTTAGTTCTCGTTACCACTGTTATGGCGCTGCTGTTTTCATTCAAATTTCGATTTCAAAATTTCCATTCAAAATATGACGTTGACAATTCGCATTCATTTGCGGATGCTTGAACAGGAGCGCCACAACGGCCGTAACGTAAACTAAAAATCAGTACACATTTCACAATGAAATTTCACACTCGCAAATTATTTGATTAACCAGAACGCAAGCTTCTACCTTATGAAGCTCTTAATCCATATTCACAAATAAACACGATACCATTAAATGGTAGTTGTGCGGTCTAATTACCGCACATGTTTCCGTGTCAGCGAAATAGTTTACTTATTTAATATTATTTAATTGTATAGTCAGTCGTGTGTGTATCAAGTAATTGTAAGCTCGTATACCTATCAAGAAAATAAACATTCTATAATCGTCAAGGAGTTTTTATTATCAAGTTATCAAGATCTATCAAATAGGTCGTTCGGCAGCATCACGGCACCGTCCGACATTGTGGTCCTTCGAGAAGTGGTTTAGTGATCCTTTTGTTATTTTCGAGTGTTAGCGAATCGGTACAGCCGGCCTCCCACAAGCGGGTCTCACCGGCTGGATTGAGAAGGCGCATATAGCACTCGCGAATACATTGGACACTGAACTATCAAGAACCAGCAAGTTTCAAGTGACAAGAGCAAGTTTTATCGTGGAAGTTTTGTTGTGAAATACAAATCCACACCAACAAGTTTGTGCGCACCAAAATATTAATATCAAATAAGGTACCTTATCTATCAAGTAATTATTTACGAGATTGCAAACAAATATTTTTCTCACATAATCAAGCTCACGACTCACGACTCACTCAAGACTCAAAATGGACGTAAATGACTTATTATACCAGCAAGCTTTATTAGCAGAAGAAATCAAGAAAACAATTATCAATTTCAAAAAGGATGGTCCATCGCGTAGAACCCCAGAGCATATCAAGAGACGACTCGAATCTCTGGAGAAATATTGGAATGAATACAGGATAAATCATGAGAAGCTTTCAGAATGCCTGCCAGTTAGTGAAGAATATTTTGTCGGCGATTACTACCAACAAACAAGACAATGCTATTTGGATGCTAAACTTTACATTGAGAAGTCAAGTATCAGTGCTACACCTCAAAAGCCTCCTTTAATGCAACCCAACCCATCATGTGTTAACAAGAACCTTGATCAAGAGAAGCCAAGTCAGCCAAGTGTAAGTAACGAAGTGTCTAGATCCAAGGAACAAGTTGAAGAGGAAAAAATAAATTTCAGAGGAACTGCTCAAGAGCAAACAACGGAGCCAGCAATAATACAAGACTGGAACACAATGATGAACACGTCAAACTCGGGCAACTACAGCAAGCTCGATGAGATGTTCAAAAGGCAGTTAAGCAATTTCAAGGCGTTTTCAAGAACGGTGTCTAATATCAACATAGGCACCATGCAAGAGCGTTGGGAATTCGAAGATACATTAAAAGCACTTCAAGCGCGCTGGAAAGCAATAGACTTACTTCACTGGGAGATAGATAGCGAAACTAACGGATCAAACCTACAGTACGAATCAAGATTCACAGAACACGAACAAAAATATTACGACATCAAGAAGGCCATAAACAGCAAGCTATGGTCCGTCTCACATAGGGAAAAGTCGACACCACAACTAGACATTCCGATCTTTAATGGCAACTACCAACAATGGGTCTCATTTAAAGATCTTTTCAGCGAGGCTATACACAATAATCCCAGCTTGTCAAACGCTCAAAGAATGCAGTTCCTTAAGAGCAAGCTTAAAGGTGAAGCTGAGCGTTTGGTACAGCACTTACAAATTAGCTCTGAAAATTATACAGCCTGCTGGGAAATATTAAACCATCGCTACAACAATAAAAAGTTAATTTTTACGACCCACATGAACACCATGATGAGCCTTCCCATCACGCAACAAGCAAATGCGAATCACATAAAACGCCTTCATGACACCACCACGGAATGTCTAAACGCCATCAAAAACTTAGGTGTCAATATTGACACTTGGGATCCGATTTTAGTCTATATCTTAGTTCAGAAAATAGATGCTGAAACTCACAGTGACTATCTAGAATCATTAAAGGAACCACGTGAGTTACCAAATTTGAACGAGTTCCTTAAATTCCTGGAAAACAAGTTCACGACAATGGAATCAGCTCGTCGAAAACAAGAAAATTATCAACAAAGGTTATCTACAGCATCAGCATCAAACAGACAAGGCAATTCATACTATTTCAAGAACTTCTCTAGCAACAAGGCTATTTCACAATCTAATTCAAGAAACAAAGTAAATTGCCCAATATGCAATAGCACCGAACATGGAATTTATTTTTGTAAGCAATTCCTTGAAATGTTTCCGACACAGAAAAAACAGGCGATTGCGAAATTAAACCTCTGCTTCAATTGCCTTTATAATCACAATGGGAAAACGTGTATGTCTACTAAACGATGCCGCGAGTGCAACGGAAATCATAATACACTACTGCACTCGGCATATGCGATAAATAATTTGACACCGCTCGACATGACGTCAAGGTCGGCAGCAAATAACGCAGAATCGAACCGGCGAGTCGAACGGTCTAGCAACAATACGCACGTGACACAGCAATGCAACGCCCCTGAAATCCTACTGGCTACGGCTTTGATAAAAGTACAAGGAGCAGACGGAAAATTCAAAATCATGCGAGCACTTATAGATCAAGGCTCACAAGTGTCCCTGATCACGTCAAAGGCGGCCAAGCTTTTAAGTTTGGACATGGTTAGCCAAACAAGAAAGCTTTATGCAAGAAAAGCTTATTTATAGCACTAACGAAGAAGCAAGGACATTATTACAAGCAAATGTTATTACGCAAGACGAAAATAGTATCATCAAAGAAATGATAGAAAAATATAGTTCTTTGACTAAACTTTTGAGAGTACTGACATGGGTGTACAGATTTATGACGAGAAAACAAGATAAAAATTTATCGTCATGGCTCTCTATATCAGAATTAAGAAAAACAAGAAACAGAATAATAAGACATGTTCAAGAAGAAATATTTGGTGAAGAAATAGACAAACTGAAACAGAAAAAACTTATTTCTACCAAAAGCAAAATTCTAAATTTAAATCCGTTTCTAGACAGTGATGGGATCCTTCGCGTGGGAGGGAGGCTGCGAAACGCCTGTATCAGCCCGGATATGAAGAATCCAATTATTTTACCTCAAAATCATCGCTTTACGGAACTTATAATAAACAATGCTCACGAGCTCACATTACACGGCGGGGCTCGACTAACATTAGCATTTACGCGTCAGAAGTATTGGATAATTAGTGGCACTAGAACCACTAAGAAGTATATTCACCGATGTGTTACCTGTAAAAAGCAAAAACCAAGCATGCAAGAGCAAATAATGGGGGACTTACCTGAAGCAAGAGTCCGTCCTTCTCGTCCTTTCCAGTACACAGGAGTAGATTTCACCGGGCATGTCTTCTTGAAGGCCAACAAGGGTCGTGGTATAAAAACCACCAAGGGATATGTCTCCGTTTTTGTTTGTATGGCTACTAAGGCCGTACATCTTGAATTAGTCTCCGATCTGACCACTTCTTCGTTTATTGCGGCTCTACGCAGGATGGCCGCCCGGAGAGGAACACCCAGCGATATTTACTGCGACAACGGACGCAATTTCGTCGGAGCCAGTAGATCCTTACAAGAAGAGTATGAAGACATTCTACATACTTTTAACGATGATCTCCAGCAAGAGTTAACTAACATGGAAATAACGTTCCACTTCAATGCACCTGCATGGCCATCAGCTGGAGGCCTCTGGGAAGCGGCAGTGAAAAGCTTTAAGTTCCACTTAAAGCGTGTAATAGGAGAGCAGAAGTTAACGTATGAAGAGTTCTCCACTATGCTGACCCAGATTGAAGCGTGCCTAAATTCAAGACCGCTGTGTGCCCTGACAGACGATCCTGAGGACCTCAACTATTTAACGCCATCTCACTTCCTCACAAGCGGACCATTACTAACATTAATACCGACGGAGAGAGATTTAAGAACTCGCTGGTGCCTCACACAGAAAATAACACAAGATCTATGGAAAAGATGGAATGCAGAATATCTATCCCAACTGACGTCAAGGTCTAAATGGAAGAAACCGAAAGAAAATATCAAGATAAATGATGTAGTTGTCATTCACGAAGAGAACCTGCCACCCGGCAAGTGGGTCATGGGGCGAGTGATGGAGCTACATCCCGGAAAAGACGGCTACGTCCGTGTGGTCACCCTCAAAACCAAGAGCGGTTACGTAAAACGCCCAGTAATCAAATTATCGAAGCTAATTGATCAAGATGAAAATTTTACAAATACAAAACAAGACTTATGTAATAATACAATTAACTCTGACCAAGCAAAAAGTAAGCAATCAAGGGAGATCGGTACAAGAAAAACAAAAATGAATTTTTTCACGACGATGATAACTACATTTTTACTATTTTTATCACTTTTTACAAATTCCGAAGCCAATGTCAATGTTACGAAATTCAGAAAAAACCAGGGATTATACTTCGATAAATTGTCAAATATGTTCCTAATTAAAAATGAATGGAAGATCATCGTGTATTACGAAATGGAACCTTATCTACAAGGAAGTAAGGCACTCGACTCGTACATACAAACACTCGATGAAACATGCAAAACAATGCAAGGACAATCTCATTGCGCTGCGATAGTACTCCAGTTACGTCATGGCCACGATGAACTTGAACATTATAATCAGCTGCTACTGCATCAGCAATTTGACGCCGTGCAAGCGCCGGACAGACAGCGTCGTATCAAGAGGGGCCTTATCGACGGAGTCGGAAATCTCGCCAACTCACTGTTCGGTATATTAGACAGCAGATTTGCAGAACAATATAAAAAGGACATTGACCTGCTACAACAAAATCAACATCATATTATCAATCTATGGAAAAACCAAACAACTATAGTAGAAGCAGAAAATAATTTATTAAAACGCATGGAGTCCGCTATGAACAAACAACATAAAATTATAAATCAACACATGATATCATTAGACAAGGCCTTAGTTGAATTGAGGAATGCGGCGAAAATAAGTAACATAAACAATGACTTTACTATTGGATCTATAATAGCAATAAACTTACAAAATAATTTAAAGGAATTACAAAATACGTTATTGGACACGATAATGGATGTATATCAAGGCCGCTTCAACTTACACTTAGTCGCTCCAAACCAATTGATTAAGGAGTTGAACATTATCTCAAGCAAAGTACCTAAAGATGTTTCTCTGCCAATAGACAATCTGAATTCAGATATACGTAAGTTGTACCACCTTATCAAGGTCAAAGCAAGAATGATGCAAGAGTACCTACTTTTCGAAATGAGCATGCCACTTATTAGCAGAGAAACTTACGAGATCTTCAAACTAGTGCCAGTACCTACACACCATGAAAGGAAGACCTTCACGATACTTCCAGTGTCTGATTACGTGGCCCTGAACATTAGAAAAGATACTTTTATACCTATGAGTGAAGCAGACATCAAGGCCTGTTACGTTCAAGACACTTATTTATGTCATAGTCAGAGGCCCATTTATCATATGAAAAATGACAAAAATTTGTGTATACAAGAAAACGAAGAATGTGTATCGAGAGTAACTTTATGCAAAAATACTTGGCAAGAAAGTTATATTGCAAACACATACATTTACACTTGTTGCGAACAGTGCAACGTGCGAACAATGTGCTACGATCAGATTACGGCACACCAGCTGATGGGGACTGGACTGATAAGTATAGGTCACGGTTGCATAATCAAAACCGAACAATTTATGATCTATCCTCATATGCCGCACAGAAGCGAAATTAAATTGGCGCCAAATCTATATACGCCCACTATCGCGCCTATCAATCATATCATCAACATTTCTATTCCACAATACAACTTAACAAATCAAGCACACTCGAAATTTCAAGAAGAGGCATCAGCAATTCAAGGTCGTATCGAAAAACTCAAGGACACAGAATTGCCACTGAACAGTGTAACATATCATGACATACACCATTATGCCATGATTTATATTATACTGGCGATATTAGCTGTGATCGCTTTAGCGATAGTCGCCAAGCGCATACGGTGCATATGGAGTCGCCCGCGTCGGCGGGAAGGGCAAACAAGTGCCGAAGAAACACAACACGAAGCGGCGGCGGGGACAACGCCAGCACCTGCACCGGTGCCACGCCCTACTGGGGGCTCACGTCGCCCACCTCAAACCACGCGTGACAGACAAGAGTCGGAAATCACCATACGACCCATCCAACTACGAAATAGATCAACGAGTCCCGTTTTGCGAAAATTTAACGAAATGTTTCAAGATGACGCTGTTTAATTATCCTTTGTTTTCAAGTTTTACGTTTTGTCATACTTACCTGTGCAATCATGTAATAATGTGTGTTATGCAATCTCTTTTTCTCCCAGCATCCCACTCTCTGCGGCCCGGGAATATGTGCGGTCTAATTACCGCACATGTTTCCGTGTCAGCGAAATAGTTTACTTATTTAATATTATTTAATTGTATAGTCAGTCGTGTGTGTATCAAGTAATTGTAAGCTCGTATACCTATCAAGAAAATAAACATTCTATAATCGTCAAGGAGTTTTTATTATCAAGTTATCAAGATCTATCAAATAGGTCGTTCGGCAGCATCACGGCACCGTCCGACAGTAGTGTTATTTTATTGCAATCATCTGTGCGGCGACAGCAAAATCCAAATTAAAAATCTGCAATGATCTTAAATTTTTTTGCATGTCGCGAATAATGAGCTCTAATAACAGTAGGCAATGACAGTCACGGCAATTATCACTTGTACGACAGAAGTACCTGTTTGAGTCCGTCTAAGGTAGCATCGGCCACCAACGGGTCCGGATGGTGCAGATTCCGCAGCATGTGCGGTAAGATGTCGTCGAGAGCCTAGTTGTCTATAGTGATCTACCTTTGTTTTGTATGCCGCGAATAATGAGTTCTAATTTATTTATTTATGATCAGGCTACATAGGCCCATAGATAAATACCTAATCCTTTAACATATATATAGATATAAAACATAAGTGTTAATAAAATTAGTAACTGCTAGCGCCCCGCCCTCGCTTCGCTTCGGTGTAGAGCTGAAGTATAGACTACAGTTTTTGTTCTCGGGTTTGTATTATACACAATGACATTCATCTATGATTCTTCTTATACCTGCATGCAAAGTCTCAGCCCGATCGGTTTAAAATTGCCAAAGTTTCATACAAACTTTCATTCCCTATTTTATCCCCTTGGGGGTTGAATTGATCAAAATCCTTTCTTAGCGGATGCCTACGTCATAACATCTACCTGCATGCTTAATTTCAGCCCGATCCGTCCGGTGGTTTGGGCTGCGCGTTGATAGATCACTATGTCAGTCAGTCCCCTTTGAGTTTTATATATATAGATGTTAGTAAACACCTAATTACAGTAGACGTGAATAAACAGAGAAGAGATGAAACGGATATTAGGCAATCACAGTACGACACAAGTACCTGTTTGAGTCCGTCTAAGGTAGCATCGGCCACCAAAGGGTCCGGGTGGTGCAGATTCCGCAGCATGTGCGGTAAGATGTCGTCGAGGGCCTTGTTGCCTATAGTGGCGTGCAGGCTGTCGAATGTACGCGCCGCTGCTAACCGCACTTCGGGCAGAGGGTCGCATAACGCCGTGCGGACTGTCGGTACCTACAAAATAGAATTTTAGTAAAATTGTGATGTGAGTAATCGCGCGCTAGCCTTAGTTGTCACCGTCTTACTGTGGCCACAATTCCAACGCGTACAAAAATAATTGGTGACTCATTTCTTAGTCGCACTATCCGTAAATGGAATGCTTTGCCTGCTCACGTGTTCCCTCCTTCTTACAACCTGGGATCCTTTAAAAGAGGCGTGAAGAATCATCATGCAAGCCGGCAAAGTGAGGATGGGGTGGTGTGGCAGGTAGAACTGCTGTACCAGCTATCTTCACGCCTGGACTTCACCAACACTTAACATCAGGTGGGGTGGAGTCATTTGTCGGAACTATCTATAAAAAAAGGTACAGAAAAAAAGTATAACTTTTAAATGTTCCTTTAACTTTCACCGCCTTATTCCAGAACGCAGGCTAAAATTAGTCTTGGTTTAAACCTAATGTTGTCTCTGTCTTCTTAAAAGCAACAAACAAAAGTGACAGCATAAGTTTTAAACCAGGCTTAACTTTAATCAAGATTTTGTAATAAGGTATGTTTTTCTTGTATTAAGTATCATAAAAATGACGGTAACATATGTTACAATAGAACAAAAAAAAACTAACTTTTTCGAGTAAAATTTTGCTAACAGGTAAAAATCTGTGAATATAACAATTGTAACAGCTATCATGTACTCTAAAGTGGTATGTACAAATAATTAGTAATTCATCAAATTCTGTTGAAACCGGCACAATTCCATACACACAGCCTGCGATCTAAGATCACAGGACACGTACCAATCCGTCGGCGAAGCTGAGCACCGCATCCCTGGAAGTGGAGGCGAGGATCTCTCCCAATCCGATGCAGACTCCCTGCCGCTGGTCAGCTCTTTCCGACCGCAGCCCGCGCTCCAAGATCGGCACTATCTCCGGTAAGACGCGTTCGCCCAACTGATACAAAAATTACAAATAGAAAATGCCTTTTTTCTTTCTTTTGTCACGTGACCAAACACGCTTTGGATTGGCAGCCTTTATCTCATATATGCCCCTTGATTCAAAAACGAACAGTACCCCCTTATGCCCGGAACTATTTTGGACTTTCAATTTTTGTAAATTTTGGTTATGTTAATGCTAATAAGTATTTTTTTTTAATTGTGCGAAAACGAAACATCAGACACTTCCCTTACATTTACTGTGGGTAAATAAACAACGGCATTTGTTCTATATATTTATTTTTAATCTGAGAGATCATATTAAAAGTAATATTAATTGAATGACTTAAAATAAAATGAAAGAATTTATTGCAATAAAAATTTAACTTCTCGATCATACGGTCAGTACCCTTAGTACGAGTGCGAGCTCACGTAAACTGTCATAGTTTTCGTAATTGTAAAACTCGTACTAAGGGTACAGTATTATAATTTCGGATTGAAGGAACAAATAGTTTTAAACACGTGTAAATGAATTAATGACCATCAACGAAAACGCTTTTTTTGTTGCGTTTTCGAATCAGGGGATATTTCTGGAACCAAAACAAAAGATTGGTGTTGACACATATGGGTTAAACACACATACGTGATCCAGTCCAGATGGAAGCCGTGTGATTCACACATCTGTCTCCATATTACCCAGAGAAACGATTAAACGGAATAGATGGAAATAAAAATTCTGAAAAATGATTTATTTTATGAACCAAAAAACAGGATTAAAAATAACCACTTATCATGGACACGATACAAGAGAGAAAACAAAAGATCATTCTTAAAAAAGTTGCAATGCGAAGTGATAGCGTTACCTTGCAGCTTAAGAAAGGCTAGAAAGAATTTGACCCGGCCATCAGGGCCGCGGCAGCATAATGGTCAGTGCATTCGCCCGGACAGCGAAGGGTGCGGGTTCGAAACCCGTCTGTTGCCTGGTCCACGTGTTTTTTTTCTATTTATATTTTATTTAGATTTAAACATGGAGAAAATGTTGTCAAATATCCTATTGATTGCTCTATTCCATTGATTCCCAAAGTGGTCTATATCGACCCCTTGGGGTCTATGATGACCTGCAAGGCGTCTACGTCAGCAAAAAAAAAATTTGGGGGTCCACGATAATGGATCTCAACATACACTGATAGTACTTATTTAATTACATTATTCTATCTTCTATTAAAAAGACATATACATTATTTATAAAAGTACCTATCAAATAATAAAAAAATATTATACATGTTTATAAAATTCTGTAAGTTGTAAGATGTAGGCATTCGCTTTGTGGTCGCAATACATTTTGAAGTTGTATAAATCTGCACATAATGATAAACCAGTGTCATCTTGTTACACTAACTTCCCTCCAGATAGAAATTTACAAAAAATCAATAGTAGGGGTCTACCCAAAACCTAAAAACATGCAAAGGGTCTACAACACAAAAAAGTATGGGAACCTCTGCTCTATTCGAACTTACTATGCCAAGAGTAAACTTACCTTCCTGACGAGATCGCCGAGCGTTCGCGCAGCCACCTGTCTCTTGTCGTAGCTGGTGGAGGCGAGGCATCCCAGCAGCAGCCCGAATAGAGTCGGCAGAATCTCGCGTAAGGTCTTAGGAGTGTTCGTCACTACAACCTATATCACACACAACATTTGTTTTATTATGCTTATTTTTTTTAAAGAAAGCTGCTTATGGGTCTAGATGAATATTAAGAACAGTACCCCTAGCACGAATCAATATCGAATTTGTATCGTTTGCGAGTCCGAAATATCATTATCAAATGTGTACTGATTTTTAGTTCTTGTTACGTACTGTGTGCCGCTGCTGTTCAAGTTTCCATACAAAATTTGACATTGACATTTCGGTTTGCAAACTATTCGAATTCGATAATGGTTCGTGCTAGGGGTACTGTTATGAAAAAAAAAACTTTGTTTTGAGATCATTCCTGAGCGTCGTTATTAAATGTGTGTTACTGAAAGTCATATTGAGGCTGAGTGAAAGAATTTAACGATATCCGTGGCCGAGTACTTTATACGCCGGGGTTCATGGTGTCGCCGACTCGAGAGGGTTCGAATCCCGGTGGGGGCAGATGCTTGTGTGATGAATACAAGCATTTTTACTCCAGTCATGGATGTTCCATATGTATTTCTATATAAATATACTTATATATGTACAGTATATGTATTCTATCCGTTACCCTAGTATCCTATAACACAAGCCTTACAGTTCTTATTTTAGGGCTAGGCTAATTGGTGTGTGTTGGAAATATTAATTAATTATTTACTAGCTGTGCCCCGCGGTATTACCCGCGGTTGCCGTTTATTAGGGATATTTTCCCGCAGTAAAACGTAGCCTATGTTAATCCAGGGTGTCAGCTAAGTCGATACCAAATTTTATTAAAATCTCTCCAGCCGTTTTGACGTGAAGAAGTAACAAACATACACACTCACAAAGTTTCGCCTTTAAAATATCAGTGAAATTGATTTGAATTATAAAAAAAAAATGATGTGGTGTCGTGGGACACCAGGTAGGAACGAAGTTTCTTCGGCTAATGTAGAATCGACACAAATTGCAAACACGCTTGTGTATGCGACTGTCGCGCCTGCGCACGTCTCATTTAACGGTTTTATTCCACGCACTTTTTTCCACGGATTTTTTCTTACGGTTTTACTATCACATTTTTTTCAGTTCGGTCGCGCAGCAAAATCCCTATCCCCTCCAAGCCTGCCGTAAGGAACTTCGTTCCAAAAAAAATATATAAACAATTAAACTCACCTTCCATACGTGAAGTGCCGCCTGTCGTACCATGAGCGCTACATCGCTGCGGCCCATATAAAGTCCGGCCAACACGCGATTCCGGCGCTCAGCACCGAGCGCGCTCATTATAGCCTTGTGCGAGTGTTCAGTACCGAAGTTGTCGTCCTCCGACGCCGTTTCCGTGCTCATTTTACCGGAAACCCCCGAGATACGGTAGAGGAGATCTCCTAATAGTTGTACGGAGGAATATCTGATACGCCAGTTGTCGTCGAAAAGGCCGCGTTCCAACTCTGGTAGGAGAAGTGTTATCGCGGATTCTGCGTACAGGGTTACTATGCGTTGGCCCGCTTTGAGTGCGGTCTCGCGCACGTATTCGTTCTCGTCGGCGAGCGCTTTGAGGATGGGGTTGATGATTTGGCCGATGTAAGGAGTGAACTCGTCGGTGAAAGCGCCCGGCATGTATATGAACATCATTATGTAGCCGTCCTTCACGTGCGGCGCGATGTCGGTGCGTTCCGCTGTGGCGATTATATCTGTTGGAGAATACTATTATTATTGTTTTTTCTTCTTATTGTTATGTGGTTTTTCTGCTACAGTATGCTGGCGATACTAAGTAAATGTTGACGTAAATAGAGTAATTTGTCGTCTATGTAGACCTTAGCACGTGACTTGATATCTATTTCTGTGTGTGGATGTAGATGTACAGATAGCCACAGTCAAGTAACCCAAAAATTACATATTTACTAAATAATTTTTACTTTATATTGCTTGAAATACGATTCACAATCTACTTAAAAAATTGACAATTTGAGGTCTCTTGATGTGTGCCTGTCTGTGTGCTCGGGTTGCCCGCCCTGGCCTTTTCGTACGTTATGCGTAATAATTCCAACAGTCTTTTCATTTCATTTGACTATACATTAGGTTTTTTATTTCATTTCATTTGACTATACGTGTGACAGGATCATTGAAGAGCTCGATTTTCATGGTCGGTTATCGGATGGGTGATTAAAAATTTATTATATCGAGCTCCTTCGTGCTTTTAAGCCATTAAGGCACGTTGGTCCCGGCTGCATCTGCAGTCGTTAGCATCCAGCGATTCGCATTAGGTCCGCATGGTGGGTCATGGTGAAATCTCCCTATTTCATCAATAGGGAAGGCCTGTGCTCCAGCAGTAGGGTTGCCACCCGTACTTTATTATAAAGTATTGAACGTTATTTCGAGTAATTGTACTTTATACTTTATGCCAACAATAAAGTACACGAAAATACTTTATTTAATGTGATTTGATTACTTGGGGATTAATTTTACATAAAACATACAAAAAGAGGATAAGAAGATTTTTTGCGTAAAACGGAACCACAGAATGTATAATATGCCACCCTTAGCTCGTTCCTGCAACATTGTCGCGGCTTTGTACAATGGCCTTTCCCATTGCGGATAAGGACTACAGATTTTTAGTAGCCACAAATTATTCATTAAAAGTTGCTATTCGTAACGTAAAATATATTTTTAAGCTTACTAATAAGGTGGAATAAAAAGTACTTTATTGTGGATACAATGTACTTTTTCTTCTACCTTTTATCTCCAATGTACTTTATTTGGACATAAAAAATGTGGCAAGCCTATCCAGCAGTGATGACCTTAATAGGCTGACGATGATAGATAGTGACAGTCACCTGGCATTATCTTGTGCAGCTTGTGCACCCCCAGGCCGGCCACCACCTCGGACAGCCCCTGCGCAGCCCCGGAGCGGTCCACGGAGCTGGACTCCGATGTTAAAGTGTGCATCAACCACGGCAGCAACTCTTCGAAGCTGCTCTCCCCCATGCCTTTTACCATCGCGCCCAAAGCTCGCGCCGATACAGAACGCACCTGTGACAAAACCAAGCATTTACCATATTGACGATTACAACAACAAAAAGAGTACGATTCAGCAGCTTCAAAACGTTTATTGTTACTACTGCGAGTTCTCTTCAAGTTCGCTGCTCCCATCTCATGGAGGTTAGAGAGAAGGAGAACGATCGCTGTAGCAAATAGTGTCCCAGGAATAAGGAATATGGACAGGAGGCGCTGCGATTGCTAAGTTGTCTCAATATAAGCGGGCTGTTGTGCACTAATTTGAAATGAGCAATGCCGCGAACCAAAATTTGTAAACTATTCAACTAACTTCATCTACTTGTACTCATAAACAGCTAACTTCACAGATACAACTTACCGACGGCAGCGCGGCTGGTGGCTGAAAAATGAACTATAAATTCTACAAATTTTCAGGGATAGGCGGGCTAATGCTTTAGCACGTAGCGATCGTTCTCCTTCTCTCTAACCTCCATGTCCCAGCTTCTCCTAGACAGACCCAGGTCGACGCTATTGGTCGACGGTACCAGTTGATATGCCTATAATTAGTCTGTTTTATAATCTTCATCAACGGCAAACTCGAAGCGAACGAGTAGTATGTACAATACAATTTTGTGATAAGGAAAATGGAGGATGAAAGACTGCAAACCATTAAGTTTGTCCCTAAAAAAACGTAATAATTAATATTCTCAAAGATGTACCATTTTCAAAACAAAAAAAAATATGCAGTCTATAGATTATTTAATAACAAATGAGAATTAAAAAGCTACCCAATCAAACCGGTTAGAAAATAGAAAATATTGAGTGAGAATAAATGTATTCAAAAATAAAAACCATATTCGATACTGACCTCTGGCACAGGATCTAGAAGCGAGCTCTTCAATCCAGGAATGATGTTAGGCAGATAAGGCATCAGATCCTTTTGATCAGTAAGCGAATACATGTTGCCTATGATCTGCGCGGCCATCTTGCGCGTCTCCGTACTGCGGTCCAAGAACGCGCGTTGCACTACGGGCATTATGAGCGCGAGTGACGGTGCATCGATGAAGTGCACGAACTTCGTGTCTAACAGAGTTTGGAGGCATGCCGAAGTCTTATTAGAGGGGTCTTGTAGTGCTTGCAGTAGCACTGGCACGATGGCTGTAGGGAAAATGACAAATGTTAACAAAAAACAGTGCAAAAAAGACATCTCAATAATATTCTCTTTGTAAAAAGATGATAATATATAAAGTTACTAGTAAAAAGCTTAAATTTATAACCTCAATGCGAAGCGTTAGATTAAACAAGGCGTCGATCTCAAGTTACAGCAACTGTGTATCATAGTTAACAGATACAATCAAACCACAATTTCAATGCAATGTAAATATAAATAGTTTTCTACGTTAACTAAGCCTATATCCGGATTTAAGTTATTTTTATAATTTTCCGGTGACTTAAATTTCGAACATTTCCTTAATAGCGAAGAGATTAGTGTTTACTGAAGTTCTTACCCTGAATCTCGGGGTTCCTGATGACGGAGCCGATGACCTTGAGCGCTTCGGCCCCCGCTTCTTGTACACGCATGTGAGAATCGCTCAGAACCTCGATCAGTTTGGGCACGATGGATGGTAAGCAAGACGATAGCTGCTTGGGAGCGCAGTAAGCCATCGCACCCAACAACTCGATCGAACCTGCATACGATCACATATCATTATTTACAGAAAGAATAGTATTATTAATAAAAATCATGTTTGTATTTAATCCAATAATGGTACAATTTCTTAATGCTAGCATTTGAAAATTTTACTTCGATTTATTTCTATATACTAAATGTATACTCAAATTACTACCTCATATTTTGATTCTGTTTGGTGTAAACAGAATCAAAACAATCAAGTTGCATGTGATGATCTGATATATGTATATGTGACATTGTGCATTCATGAATAGTGATCTGTGTCGTGTCTTATTCTTTTCATGCTGAGCTATGCTATATGTCGAAAGGATATTAACATTTTAAAGGTTGGACAGAATGTTAGTGTAGCTGCTGGATATAGGAATTGGGACATTTAATTTATTTTATACGTCAAATGTTAACTAACTGATTTTTAGTTCTCGTCACGTCCGTTGTGGCACTGCTGTTCAAGTTTACATACAACATTTGACAACGACATTTCGCATTCACAAACTATTCGAATTAGATATTAGTTCGTGCTAAGGGTAATAGTCTGCAGCGAGGCTTTTCATCAATTGAAAACTATAGATGTCTTTGAAAAAAACAGAAATTAAATTGATGTCCTAATTCATTAATCTAGCAACTAAACTAAAAACATTAATATCCTTTCGACATATAGCATAGCTCAGCATGAACAGAATAAGGCAAGGCACAGATCACTATTCATGAATGCACATTGTCACATATATATCAGAACATAACATGCAACTAAGGCCTTAGATTAAAACAAAAAGGGTAGATACGGCACTAGCCTCACAAAAGTGATCCGCATAAATTGTGGTCCACGACCCTAATCGCTTTAGTCACAACTCAACATACAAACGACGTACATGTGAACGCCAAAAAGAAATATTGCTAATATTTTGTGTTTATATGATAAAACAATGCCTAAGTGTGTTTTTAAAAACTGCTCAAATTGCTCAAAAACTAAAAATAAAACCCACGGCATCACTTTTCATTCTTAAGTACTATAAAATATATTTTTTCATAAAAATTGCTGATTGTTTTGAATCTTATTCGGTAGCGATGTCGAGTACTGGTCGCGTGATTGGTCGGTAGTGCAGTGACGCGGATCTCGCCGTCTCGTTCGCGCTGCCGTTGAAACTTAACGTGCTGTTTCGTTCGGGTCGGTAATGCAGTGACGCGGATCTCGCCGTCCTGTTCACGCTGCCGTGGGATCAGTTTTTGTTTGATGCAAGTATGAGCGTACCTTATCTACCTTTATACAAAAGTTGTTGGTAATTATGTACGGAACAACTTTTCAATTTAAAGTTTTCCATTAAAATGATATTTTCAGGGTGAAAAAGTGAAAAAACACTTTTTTTGAGACTTTAGCGCCACCTACAATGCGCATTTTTTGTTGTACGAGATTGCAACAATGACATAAATTGTAGTACTCAACGCCCTCTACAATTATGGTCGAAAAAAAAGTTTTTAAAATGCATACAAAACAATAAAAATTCGTTTCAAAAATTTTTTGAGGGTATTTTTGAGTTTTTCAAAAAACGCCTACGAGTTGAACATGCCCATCGCCAAGGTGGCTTACTGACGTCATTTGGCAACAGAAAAAACAAGACTTACCCTTTAGGTTTTTTTTCACCACTCAACCTACAGATTGACTGTACTAATTATATACAACGTTAAAGGGTACGCACCGGCCTTAGTGCGCCAGTTGTCGTCCTGGAGTGCCTGCAGCAGTGAAGGCAGTACGAGCTTGACTCCGTGCGCGCTAAGCTTGCTCATGATGAGCTTGGCGGTGTCGTCTGCTGCAGCGCGCACGTACTGCGAGCTGTCCCCGAAGCAGAGCAGCAGGTGGGGCAGCACGTGCACAATGTACGGCTCGAATAGACGGCCCAGTTTGTAGCACAACATTTCGAAGCCGAAGAGTGCGCCTGCACAAAAATATGAACGTTATTACCATTCTAAACAGTAAACTTTTCTTTAGATTTAAACATTTAACAGTTAAATGCTTAAAAATAAATAAAAATATAACTAAAATTGCTATTTCTTCTTTCAAATGTTTAATACTTGAAAAAGTATTCATTTGACATTGTGGGTTACCTACAATGCGAAGAGATGGCACTGCCTTGCAGCTTAAGGCTAGGAAAATTTCGACGCGGCCAATAGAGCTGTGGTAGCATAATGGTCAGTGCATTCGCCCAGATTGCGAAAGGGGCGGGTTCGAGTCCCGTCCGCTGCCTGGTCCGCGTGGATTTTTTCTAGTAAACAATTCTTTAGATTTAAACATCTAGTAGTTAAATCCTTAAAAATAAATAAAAACATAACATGTGCGTAAACATGTTATGAAATTTAAGATTTAATTAAGACCTATATATGAGCATAATTTCCATATTGTTTAAAAAAAAGACAAATAAGCAAATATCTGAGTTGGTTAGTTTACACTTTGTAGCTCAAAAGCAACTTTACTTATGTACAGTTTCGCAACCAAACAATAACGTTGTTGGGCAAATTACTATTTCTTGCCAGACAGTATTTTCAACAATAATTCATTTTATTCGCAATTAGAGTCAGGTAACCAATAGCCATTAACTAGTTTACGTCTATTTGTATTGTTCTATTATAAACTAATAACTTTTGTGAAAACTAAATAAACAGATTGACTTTGTTTTCCTCAAGCTAACAATTTAAGAGTGTATGGATAACCCTACAAATTAATGGCATAAAAATGAAACTACAATACATACAATGTTGCAGCTATATTGTTTACTATTTGGCTCTTATGATTAGTAAGAACTGAAAAAGTTTTCGAGCACAAATTTGGAGTGAATGTTAAAAACAATCTACGAGTATACATAATTAAATGCATTATTTACCTTCTCGATACTTATAGTTCTTCTTCTCTTGTATAGCTTCGGTGAGTTTTCCCATAACGTCTAGCTGCTTCAGTGACAGGATGCCTAGTCCTTTGATTATACCAGCTATACCATATGCAGCACCCTGCAAATATTTTTCTTTTATAATCATACACTCGACGGTCCTTTTTACCTTTAGTCGAAAAATACTGGTCATGAATGAATGACCACAATATTAAATTTAACTAACATAGGACTTGTCAAACTTAAAACGTAAGTTGATTGTCGATATTATCCGGCTCGAAGGACCACAGTATGGTGTGTTAAGGTTGTACATAACTAGACACAACAAATTAGATTTCGATAAGGTAGTTACAGTGACAACTAATATGAGTGAGTGAAAGACACAAATCATTAACTTCAATAGGGATGAAAATTGCCAATTTATCCCGCCAGAGGCGCAGGTGTCGAATGGCCCATAACTGCAAATCGAGAGAGCTGTCAAAGTCATAAGGAAATCCGACAAATTCCGATATACCTGGGCTGCGTTCCAAACCCAAGCTCCAGGTGCAACGAATGTCAAATTTGTCATAAGTTTCACACATTTTATGTCAAAATTGAAACGACAGTAAAAAGTTGCACTCACAAGTTTTACAACACAGCCTTGAAGAGGCATGTTGCTTGTTATGGGCCAAACGGCCAAAGCACCATCTCTATACTAACAAGGTAAATTGCCTGTGTAATCATAGAAAAAACCCACAAGAAATACTCATCGTTACCTTCCTGTCGCCGTACTTCTCGGCGGTGAGCAGCTGCTTCATGAGTTTGTTCATGATGGCGGGGATCTCGTCTTCGAGAGCGGGCGAGCTCACCAAGTGCGGCAAACAGTTGCTTACGGCTTCTTGCACCTGTGCATGTCATATTTTAAAGGTATTAATTTATTGTAACCTATTGTGAGGAAGTATCATTGGTTGGTTTATAATGTTTAGTAAGTAATCCGAACTTTACAGAAGTCTACTATTCAATTAATGAACCATTTTTGGGAGGTCCGTATCTCTTGAAACAGCGGTGAAGATCAGACGTCTCTTCCTTAGTATTTTGAAATCTTCTCAATGACGTCTGCGTGTTTTTCTTCAGAGCAATAAAGCTGTCTGATGCTGCGATGTTAAATGTTAGAATGGTATACCGATAGTGTGCATAATATATTCATATAGAAACAGCTCGGATCTATGAAGAAACGGCCAATATATCTCTAATCCAGGTGCCGCACCAGGGACCCGAGCAACCCCTAGCACAGTCACCTGCTGGCTGGGCGTGGAGAGTGCAGCCACCAGCCTCAATGATGCTTGCGTCGCCGGGCTCCACGTGCCACGTCAGGACCGCAGCAGCCCCCAGTACAGTCACCTGCTGGCTGGCCGTGGAGAGCGTGGCCACCAGCCTCAGTGATGCGCGCGTCGCCGGGCTCCAGGTGCCGCGTCAGGACCCCAGCAGCCCCCAGTACAGTCACCTGCTAGCTGGGCGTGTTGAGTGCAGCCACCAGCCTCAGCGTGATGGGCTTGATGCAAGCGACGCCGGGCTCTAAGTGCCGCGTCAGGCCACCCAGAAGCCCCCAGTACACTCACCTGCTGGCTGGGCGTGGAGAGTGCAGCCACCAGCCTCAGCGTGATGGGCTTGATGCGCGCGTCGCCGGGCTCCACCAGGTGCCGTGGCAGAGACCCCAGCAGCCCCTAGTACAGTCACCTGCTGGCTGGGCGTGGAGAGTCTAGCCACCAGCCTCAGCGTGATGGGCTTGATGCGCGCGTCGCCGGGCTCCACCAGGTGCCGCGCCAGAGACCCAGCAGCCCCTAGTACAGTCACCTGCTGGCTGGGCGGGGAGAGTGCAGCCACCAGCCTCAGCGTGATGGGCTTGATGCGCGCGTCGCCGGGCTCCACCAGGTGCCGTGGCAGAGACCCCAGCAGCCCCTAGTACAGTCACCTGCTGGCTGGGCGTGGAGAGTCTAGCCACCAGCCTCAGCGTGATGGGCTTGATGCGCGCGTCGCCGGGCTCCACCAGGTGCCGCGCCAGAGACCCCAGCAGCCCCTAGTACACTCACCTGCTGGCTGGGCGTGGAGAGTGCAGCCACCAGCCTCAGCGTGATGGGCTTGATGCGCGCGTCGCCGGGCTCCACCAGGTGCCGTGGCAGAGACCCCAGCAGCCCCTAGTACAGTCACCTGCTGGCTGGGCGTGGAGAGTCTAGCCACCAGCCTCAGCGTGATGGGCTTGATGCGCGCGTCGCCGGGCTCCACCAGGTGCCGCGCCAGAGACCCAGCAGCCCCTAGTACAGTCACCTGCTGGCTGGGCGGGGAGAGTGCAGCCACCAGCCTCAGCGTGATGGGCTTGATGCGCGCGTCGCCGGGCTCCACCAGGTGCCGCGCCAGAGACCCCAGCAGCCCCTAGTACACTCACCTGCTGGCTGGGCGTGGAGAGTGCAGCCACCAGCCTCAGCGTGATGGGCTTGATGCGCGCGTCGCCGGGCTCCACCAGGTGCCGTGGCAGAGACCCCAGCAGCCCCTAGTACAGTCACCTGCTGGCTGGGCGTGGAGAGTCTAGCCACCAGCCTCAGCGTGATGGGCTTGATGCGCGCGTCGCCGGGCTCCACCAGGTGCCGCGCCAGAGACCCCAGCAGCCCCTAGTACACTCACCTGCTGGCTGGGCGTGGAGAGTGCAGCCACCAGCCTCAGCGTGATGGGCTTGATGCGCGCGTCGCCGGGCTCCACCAGGTGCCGCGCCAGAGACCCCAGCAGCCCCTAGTACACTCACCTGCTGGCTGGGTGTGGAGAGTGCAGCCACCAGCCTCAGCGTGATGGGCTTGATGCGCGCGTCGCCGGGCTCCACCAGGTGCCGCGCCAGAGACCCCAGCAGCCCCTAGTACAGTCACCTGCTGGCTGGGCGTGGAGAGTGCAGCCACCAGCCTCAGCGTGATGGGCTTGATGCGCGCGACGCCAGGCTCTAAGTGCCGCGTCAGGCCACCCAGAAGCCCCCAGTACACTCACCTGCTGGCTGGGCGTGGAGAGTGCAGCCACCAGCCTCAGCGTGATGGGCTTGATGCACGCGACGCCGGGCTCTAAGTGCCGCGTCAGGCCACCCAGAAGCCCCCAGTACACTCACCTGCTGGCTGGGCGTGGAGAGTGCAGCCACCAGCCTCAGCGTGATGGGCTTGATGCGCGCGTCGCCGGGCTCCACCAGGTGCCGCGCCAGAGACCCCAGCAGCCCCTAGTACAGTCACCTGCTGGCTGGGCGTGGAGAGTGCAGCCACCAGCCTCAGCGTGATGGGCTTGATGCGCGCGACGCCGGGCTCTAAGTGCCGCGTCAGGCCACCCAGAAGCCCCCAGTACACTCACCTGCTGGCTGGGCGTGGAGAGTGCAGCCACCAGCCTCAGCGTGATGGGCTTGATGCGCGCGTCGCCGGGCTCCACCAGGTGCCGCGCCAGAGACCCCAGCAGCCCCTAGTACAGTCACCTGCTGGCTGGGCGTGGAGAGTGCAGCCACCAGCCTCAGCGTGATGGGCTTGATGCGCGCGACGCCAGGCTCTAAGTGCCGCGTCAGGCCACCCAGAAGCCCCCAGTACACTCACCTGCTGGCTGGGCGTGGAGAGTGCAGCCACCAGCCTCAGCGTGATGGGCTTGATGCACGCGACGCCGGGCTCTAAGTGCCGCGTCAGGCCACCCAGAAGCCCCCAGTACACTCACCTGCTGGCTGGGCGTGGAGAGTGCAGCCACCAGCCTCAGCGTGATGGGCTTGATGCGCGCGACGCCGGGCTCTAAGTGCCGCGTCAGGCCACCCAGAAGCCCCCAGTACACTCACCTGCTGGCTGGGCGTGGAGAGTGCAGCCACCAGCCTCAGCGTGATGGGCTTGATGCACGCGACGCCGGGCTCTAAGTGCCGCGTCAGGCCACCCAGAAGCCCCCAGTACACTCACCTGCTGGCTGGGCGTGGAGAGTGCAGCCACCAGCCTCAGCGTGATGGGCTTGATGCACGCGACGCCGGGCTCTAAGTGCCGCGTCAGGCCACCCAGAAGCCCCCAGTACACTCACCTGCTGGCTGGGCGTGGAGAGTGCAGCCACCAGCCTCAGCGTGATGGGCTTGATGCGCGCGTCGCCGGGCTCCACCAGGTGCCGCGCCAGAGACCCCAGCAGCCCCTAGTACAGTCACCTGCTGGCTGGGCGTGGAGAGTGCAGCCACCAGCCTCAGCGTGATGGGCTTGATGCGCGCGACGCCAGGCTCTAAGTGCCGCGTCAGGCCACCCAGAAGCCCCCAGTACACTCACCTGCTGGCTGGGCGTGGAGAGTGCAGCCACCAGCCTCAGCGTGATGGGCTTGATGCACGCGACGCCGGGCTCTAAGTGCCGCGTCAGGCCACCCAGAAGCCCCCAGTACACTCACCTGCTGGCTGGGCGTGGAGAGTGCAGCCACCAGCCTCAGCGTGATGGGCTTGATGCACGCGACGCCGGGCTCTAAGTGCCGCGTCAGGCCACCCAGAAGCCCCCAGTACACTCACCTGCTGGCTGGGCGTGGAGAGTGCAGCCACCAGCCTCAGCGTGATGGGCTTGATGCACGCGACGCCGGGCTCTAAGTGCCGCGTCAGGCCACCCAGAAGCCCCCAGTACACTCACCTGCTGGCTGGGCGTGGAGAGTGCAGCCACCAGCCTCAGCGTGATGGGCTTGATGCACGCGACGCCGGGCTCTAAGTGCCGCGTCAGGCCACCCAGAAGCCCCCAGTACACTCACCTGCTGGCTGGGCGTGGAGAGTGCAGCCACCAGCCTCAGCGTGATGGGCTTGATGCGCGCGTCGCCGGGCTCCAGGTGCCGCGCCAGAGACCCCACTAACAGCACCACACTCTGCCGCACGGCATCGTAGCCGCCGGACTTGGGCGCCTTGTCGAGGAAGTTCTCGAATACCGGCAACTGGCTGCTTAGCGTTTCCTGTTTAATCATCGAACGCTTGTATTAATTTATGCAGTGCTAGCTACTAGGTTTAGATAATTTATAGGCCAAAGTGTATAGACCAAATCTGGCATTTTCGGTTATAGTATAACGAAAAACGGCAGATTTTCAATGAGAATTCAATAAATAATTAAATTAAAAACTTTCTTTCATATTCTTCTTCAATATCATTAGTTTAACTCGTCAGTACCCTTAGCACGAACTAATATCGAATTGGAATAGTTGAATTAGATTTCGACACGCGTCAAATATCAAGAAGTTTTCTATCTAACAGCGCCACAACGGACGTAATGAGAATATAAAAATTTCCATATAAAACTTCTTGACATTTGATGCGTATCTAGATTGAATACAGATACAGTTTATAGATAAAAGAAATTACTTGAACTATCTGTCAAATTAATTATTACACGTTATTACTTGTGAGTGTTGACTCGTGCTTGCTAGCCTGACACACTGGTTGTGTTTGTAGTTTATAAGATGTAATGCAAGATATGGCATTAGTTATAAAGTTAATTGGAATTACTGTGTATACCTTTTATTTAAATCATACAAAGTATTTTCAATAATAACTTTGTTAAAATTATGTAATGTATATATTTTGTTGGTGTACCATAATTTAAAAAAAAAAATTGGTCCTTCGAGTCGTATTTTGTAAGTACCTTCCCGTGTAGTTCAACGACGGCCATGGCGGCAGTAAGCATCTCCGCCCGCACGGCTTCATGCCTGTCAGCCAGCCCGCGCTCCACGTAGAAGGTGATGGCGTCAGGCACATGGTGAGGGGCCAGTAGTTCAGCCAAAGCCCCCAGGGCTACGCCGGCCCCCCGTCGGGCCCCCCATTCGTCTACGGCACCCTCCACTACGTGACCGAACTGGTCCAGCTTCGCCGGGATTAACTGTCGTAAAACAAGACCGTTGTAAGCATTGATTTAGGATGGTATTGTATCGCAAGTGTTCCAAAAATTCCTTCTAATACCTGGGTTCCGAACCCGGGGGTAATTACCCCTCCAGGGGTAAATCAGCCATACTTCGGGGGTAACAAAGTACCTAATTATTTGGTCAAATCTAAATAATAAGAAAATACTATATAATAATACTACTAAATAGAGCATCCTCTCCTTCTTGCTAGCGAGCCCGCGGGGTGCTGAGTGTGGGAAGCGGGCCGAGATTTTCTCCTGATGATGACATTATTAGAGACGATGATGTAGCGGCCAAATTGGAATTTATAATAAAATTTTAAAGACGGGATAAAATCTGTTTTCCTAATAGGTTACAGGGGTAGCAGTATTGGAAAGGTTAGGAAACACTGTTCTAATAGCTCGGCCGATCGAAAACTAAAGAGCCGGAGAGACGCCAGTGAATGGGAAAATCTAGTTGGCCTCTAGTTGTCTATTTGGAGTGGCGCCGAGGTTTTACGTGTAGATTGACGCGAAAAACTGACCGTCAATGCCCAGCTTAACAAATTCTCATCCAAATCGTAAGAATATTTCAACCCTGTTCGATCGAAGTAAAAAAATGGCAATGCGATCTCACGGGCAGCTTTTCGGAGTACATCCTTTGCAGTTGTTGCGCAGCCCTCGCAGGCGCCGCGGGGTCAGGGTCCCGTTTCACTAACGCGGCGAGTGCCTTCGCAGCCGCTCTTTGAATAGGTTCCGCGGGATGCTGTACGTCATGTAACACTAGCCCCATGAGCTCGGGCTCGCGACTCCATTGCTGGGCGAGTGGCAGGCGAGACCAGAGGTCTTCAGCTAACTTCCTGTTGAAGAAAAGGTATGGTATGGTTTTAGAGGTCCAAGCATGAACTTTGATAGATCCGAAATCAGTTTACTGGACTGTGACGTCATTGTAGACTTCGCCAGTCCCAGGCGTTTTCAGTCATGTGAATAATAAATGTTTTTATTTAATGATTGAAAAGTTATTAATTATTTATCCTCTCAAAATAGTAAAAGCTAAGCAGCTATTTTACTATTTTGAGAGGATAAATAATGTATCTGTATTAATATGAATATTAGCATATTCATATTAAATACAGATGCTAACAATTGATACTTAATTTTTCATAATTTCAATTAGTCTATTAGATGATAAGACAATAGTGTTAATAAAAAATAAATTACAAAATCACAAATTCTTGCTCAAGTATTACATCCGCCATCATAATAAAGAAATATCGAATTTAATCTATTATAAACTTTGATTGAACAATAGTAAACTACAAAGAGAACCAGTAAATACAATAATTATAACGTAAGGTTCGTTGAGGAGCTCCATGATGCAATTGGATAGTGCCTTCGGCTGCGATCGTTGAAAATAAGCAACTTTCGCAGTGGTCAGTCATTGGATAAGTGATCAAAAATCTACTATCTCGAGCTCCTCCGTGCTTCGGAAGGCTCGTTAAGCCATTGGTCTCGGCCGTATTCATTAATAGCCACCAATCCGCACTGAGCCAGCGTGGTTGGTCACCAGTCTCAGTCTCCATAGGGAAGGTCTAAGCCCCAGCAGTGGGGACGGGAAGATGATGATGAAACATCCTTACTTGTTATCTTCTGCGACATCGAAGGTAGCGACTAGTAATCGTTCCGTGACTTCCAACGCGCATTCCGGGTCCTCGAGCACGCTCGGCAATCCGTCTACTACCCGAAGCAAAGCACGCAGCGCTGCATCGCGGACCACCTGATAAATAGGTTTGAGTTCAATAAATCACTTTCTAGTAGATTTTTTCATAGTTCTGACGTTGTAAATGTTTTTTCATCCCACCACCTCGGAAAGTGTAATTTTGCGCTTCGAAATCTGGCTGGAAAATTCTATTTTATTCGCTTGAGCGGCAAAGTAGATTTGAATTTAGAACATCACATATAATGAGTACTCAATATAATTGTAAATTCAAAACGTCATTAAACCTATTTAATGTAACCTCTATGGTGCCAAATTTATGATTAGAACTTTTTAAATTGTGAAAAAATTTAAATTTGGAACCTTCTTGGTTTCTTTGTTTTATTTGCGTGCTTCGCGCCATTCTAGTTTTTCACGTTTTATTGCTTAATATAATTAACATAACCTAAAAACTGTACAAAAAAATCAACTAAAATGAGTGACATTAGCGACGATGAAGTTTATCTAACGCCAACTGAGTTAACTGAAACAGTTAATAATGCGCAAATGAGCCTTCTCCCTCAGCAATCACGAGAGAAGTATTTGAAACAGTACGATATATTTAACATGTGGCGACTAGCTAAAGGAGCAAAAACTTTCTCCGAAAACGTTTTGCTGGCATATTTTATAGAATTATCTGAGACCAAGAAAGCAAGCACGCTATGGAGTACGTATTCAATGCTAAAATTAACAATTAAGATGAAGAAAGACGTTCATATCGACACCTATCATAAATTAGTGGCATTTTTAAAAAGAGCCTCATCTGGTTATAAACCAAAAAAATCGAAGGTTTTCACAGCATCTGAAATTGCAAAGTTTATTAATGAAGCACCTGATTCCGTATATTTAGCGGCAAAAGTAAGTCAATACGTGTAATTTTTTGTTGTTGATAAAATTGTACATAGTACTTACAATATTTTTAATTTGATTAATTTATTTACGATTATAAATACTTCTTTTGTTACAGGTTGTTCTTATTATTGGTATAACCGGAGCATGTCGAACAAATGAACTTACACTACTTAATGTCAATAACGTATCAAAATATTCTCATAATTCTGATGAATTGCTATTAATTAATGTACTAAATACCAAGACAAAAAAAGACCGCAACTTCGTTATTCGCAAGGAATATGTAAACATTGTTCAGAAATATCAAGCTTTACGTCCTTCTAACACCCCAATTGAACGATTTTTTCTACAATATCGCAACGGAAAGTGTATCCGACAACCTATGGGTCAGAATAAAATTGGCAGTATTCCACGAGAAATAGCAACTTTTCTCGGACTTTTAGAACCCCCGTTATACACCGGTCACTGTTTTAGAAGAACCTCAGCCACACTTTTGGCCGAATCAGGGGCTGATCTTCTATCGCTTAAGCGCCATGGAGGCTGGAAGTCTAATTCGGTTGTAGAGGGATACATAGAGGATTCAATCCAAAGTAAATCAAAAATTTGTAATAGTATCGTGGAGGCCATAACGCTGAAAGAAACTCTGTCAGATTCTTGGTCTCGCCCTTCTACATCTAAAATGAGCCCCCATAAGATTGGAAACAATAGCCCTCTCTCGCCAACATTTACGCCAATAGAATCCAATGAATCGGCACAACTATTTAAAATTACTGATACGAGTAGTTTACCACAAAACAGCGCACAATTCACAAACACCAACATAACATTACCTAACAAAAATATTAAACTTAACATAAGTAACTGTAGCAACGTTACATTTAATATTTCTTAATTATTTTCTACTTCTTATTATTTTCTTCAATTTATAGATTATCTTAATGTGTTTTAATTGAAATAAAAATATTTTGTCATTATAAATTGTTTTCTTTTTCATTTTGTCATTTCCTCGCTGAGGTGGGATGAAAAGTTACGTATTGCACTCGAGTGGAAAGATTTTTCACCTTGTGCTCGTTTGTTTCCCTCGCTGACGCTCAGGATTCTAATTTAGAATCACTCGCTGCGCTCGTGATTCAACTTTAGAATCCTTCGCTTGCTCGGTCATCCAAATCGAGCACGCGGTTAAAAAGGAACTTTCCACTCTTGTATAATAAATAACTATTCTGGTCTCCTGATCATGTGACGTTGTTTTAATAAAGTTCCGATGTGTGAAAGACAATTAAATTGGTTTATCCCTAATCTATGTAGTTTTGGATTAAATCAAAGTACTTACTGGTTAGCAAGATTGAAATATCGAAATTTATTCAAGTCCAACTAGTTTAACTAAAATATTGTCTTTTACTCTTAAGACCAAGGCAGGGGAAACTTGACATCAGTACATGTTTTCACATTGACGACACTGTATGAAATAAAAAAGGGAGAAAAAATAGCCCTTGCTAAATATTTGGCGGTTTCATACTCAGTACAAGGTCTCTTGCCGTAGATTTACTAACCGATGGCTTAGAGTAGACGTTCACAAGAGCTTTTAACAACCTAGACTAAATAAATAATTTGAATATTTTACCGAGTTCCTCATATGAGGAACTATATACTATACAGAGGTACTATATAGTAGGAAATATAATCATTTCTTTGTCGCACTTTCCGTAAATGGAATGCTCCGCCTGCTCACGTGTTCCCTCCTTAGAACCTGTGGGCCAATCGCCTAACCAGATTGCTTTGGAAACGCTATCGCTTACGATTTCATTTTGTTATTTCTAACCGCCGAAATACCTCACGCTCATTTTCTTTAACATTGTTATTACCAATGCAAAAGAAAAAAAAAGAGCGCGATGCATTTGAAAACCTCAGGGGGCTAGAAATAACAAAATGAAATCGTAAGCGATAGCGTTTTCCAAAGCAATCCAGTTAGGCGATTGGCCCCCTGGGATCCTTAAAGAGGCGTGAAGAAGCAACGTGCAGGCCGGCATGGTGAGGATGGCTGGTGTGGCAGGTAGAACTGCTGTACCAGCTATCTTCACGTCTGGACTTCACCGTCACTTAACATCAGGTGAGGTGGAGTCATTTGTCGGACCTATCTACAAAAAAAAAACGAGCGAGCCTTCCAGTAGTCGTGTATGATGTGTAACATTTGAAACCTCAAATTATATTAGTAAAAAAGAAATAAAACCTACTACAAAAGGAATAAGCTGTTTGAACGTTATGTTCTAAAATCAAATCAAATAGCGCGTGCTTTGCTACTTCCTGTTACACACTTCCGTCCCATTTCACGAAATCACTCCAACAAATTGCAGGAAAGCGAGAAGATGTTAGACTTCAAATATATATATATATATATACACAGTCAGGTCATAAGTATTGTCACAGAGTAAAAACTTTTCTTTTACAATGCTGGCCACAAAAAAGTTTAACAGAGTTACATTTTTGTGAGAAAGGTGTAAAAACGAATGCAGTCCTGACGAACCTTGTGGAACCTGTTTCTCATACCATGTTCAATAACAGGCACTGGGTATTCCAACAAGATTCAGCGCCAGCTCATAGAGCGAAGAGCACACAAGACCGAAAATCGACTGTGAAATCGACTTCATCCGGCACGAAGACTGGCCCTCCTCCAATCCAGATTTCAGTCCGTTAGATTTCAAGATATGGCAACACTTGGAGAAAAAGGCGTGCTCAAAGCCTCATCCTAATTTGAAGTCACTCAAGAGATCCTTGATTAAGGCAGCCGCCGATATTGACATGGACCTCATTCGTGCTGCGATAGACGACTGGCCGCGCAGATTGCAGGCCTGTATTCAAAATCACGGAGGTCATTTTGAATCTCTTATCTATTAGACAAGTCCGTCCGTCCGTCCGTGGTGCTGTTTCAGCGGCCAAACCGTAAGAGATAGATAAAGAGAATGTTTAAGTTATAAGTTAAGAATAGTCTGATAAGACTACAAACCGGATTTGAGTAACGTAGCACTTCCGGTTTTCGAGAAATCACGTGATTTATATTTCAAACGAAACTACACAAAATCTCCGAAGTTCTCAATTAATTAAATACATTTTTTTTTTTGGTGAACATTTGGTTCACTGGTTTGCTAGTAAACTTTATTGTCATAAGAATCTATGTTTTATTAAGTTCATTTTGATATATAAATGGTTACATAATGAATAAACTTGTTTCAATTATTTTATATTAAACATGTGACAGAATTTATGGCCTGACTAGGTTTATTAAACAGAATACAAATGTATCTAACCTCAAGTGGGTTCTGTAAGCCGGCCAACAGACACGCGACGTCTTCTCGCGAGACTCCGCCGCGTGACGCGCACGACGCAGCTTCCAGCAGGGCCACGGTGCACGCTGCCTGCACGCGACCACTTGTACTGCCTGCGATATCAACCAAAACAAATAATACAGGTGGTAGCGGCAAACTTCTAGGGGAACAACCACAGACAAATAAATAAATAAAACGAGTGTGCTCATGACCACACGACTGAAGTGAAACTTCTTTAGTTCCATCTGTATGGATATATATACAGGGCGTCCCACGGCTACCTCACACGGAGGGAAAGTATATTAAATTTTGAAGATACGATATTTTACTGAAAGGAGACATAGTTTTATTTTTAATAATAACTAGAACTGCATTCACAGATTTTTTAAAAATCGCCTGCTACGACTGAGAATCAAACTCGTGAAATTTCGAAAAAATAAACACAACATATTTTATGATAACAATCGAAAAGGTTAATCATAAGTATTATTTTTTGCTAAATAACATAGCATTTTAAATGAAAGGAATGTCTTATTACGTGATAAAAATAATAAAGTGATACACAAACTGTAGTAAGTATGCATTTCTTGTTGAACTCATAGTGACAATGCGATGGGCTGAAATTTGTAAAAATAATAATTTAAAAATGGAACACATAAATTTTCAAGCGTCTGTTCTTTTGTTTTTTGTGAGTTTCATTTTCGTTTTTTTGCATTTTTCTGTTAATTTACTTACTATGGGGTATCAAAATAAAATGGATTTAATTGATGCTTACTTTATGAACCACAAAGACATATTAGCTTTGCGGCGGTACCGCGAAAGATACCCTGATAGAGACGTATCTTCTCGATATGTGTTTCAAAGGTTAGTGGATACTTTAAGAAATTTATGACGTTTTGATATGCGCTTACAGAACCACAGCAGCGGATGATAAACGTCAATGATGATGAACTCAACTTTTTAACTTACTTTGAGGCGTATCCGATTTTATATTAGTTAAATTAAATTACTTTTCTTTCATTTAAAATGCTATGTTATTGAGCATAAAATAATCCTTATGATTAACCCTTTCGATGGTTATTATAAAATATGTTATATATTTTTTTCGAAATTTCACGAGATTGATTTTTTTTAATCTGTGAATGCAGTTCTAGTTATTATTAAAAATAAAATGATGTCTTCTTTTAGTAAAATATCCTAACTTCAATATTTAATATACTTTCCCTCCGTGTGAGGTAGTCGTGGGACGCCCTGTTTATATATGTAGGTGCATATACATATTTCATTTACCAGCTACAAGAGAAAGAGAGAAAGAAAATGTGCGCGCGTACTGCTTTCGCTTGCTTATATCCCTCACTCAACTCCCGTTCGCCTCGCCCGAACACACATTTCGTATCGCTTAACGCATTCGCCAGCTTCGCAGCAGAAGTTTCACTTCAAAATGGCGCAATAGATTTTTTTTGTATGTAAAATTGCTACTGCGCAGTCGGTTGCCCAATGGTGATGCTCAAGAAGTTTGACGGGGTCCATGACACATGTATATGAAAACACAATCGGTTTCAGGAGTCAATGACGTAATTTTTTTATATAAAATTATTGAAAATCATTATATAATAAGTGAGTATGACCGAGGAGGAGGTAGTAGAGTTTTGAAAATTACATTTTAATTATTTGCCTCAAATTGTTTGAAGAACTTTTTGTGTGTGCGTTGTTAATCTAAATGACCTGTAATAAATTCCAAATCAAGCTTTGAACTGCTGCATTGCCTCGGTTTGTTCCTTGTTCCGAAGTCAAATTATAACTCAACGCAGCGTATCAGATGCGTTTGTGTTGGCATCCCTTTCATCATCATACCAAAATTCAGACAAATCAGTTAATAATTTTAGGAACGTCAAGGCAACAAACAGGTACTTACTATTGCGTCGGTTACATAAGTATAATAGGGATGATGACTATTTTTTTTTTCTTCCTTTATCAGGTAGATTATCAAAAAGTATTGGACACGTATTTTTTCTTTTTTCACATAACATAAACATTGCAGAGATATATTGATTTGAAAAGTTGCATGACGTCACGTTTGAGTACACTTATAAGGGAAAATTCACTCAAAAGTGACGTCACGAGCCCCTACTCCCAAACTTTGATGCGCTATAACTTTGTCATTTTTTGGTTGATTGCCCAAAGAAAAAATACGTGTCCATTATTTTTTAATCATCTAACTGACGGACCACGGAGGAAAACAAAGAGGAGCTGGCCTAAGCAACTGTGCACTGTGATTTTCAATTAGGTCCTGACGTCATCATTGTGGGCGGGGCCTAAGTCAGTATGCTTTCAGCGTTCGTCAGGTGCACACTTAACGAGACTCGCATTATAAGTGTTTTTTTTGCGTTTTTAACAAGAAAAGGATGAAGTTTTGTGTTTTACTATGTCAAAGTTACTCAGACAGACGTTCTGATAATATGGATGGCATCACATTTCATTTGTAAGTAATTTTATACGTAATTAAATATATAAGTTCTAGAACATTCACAGCCTCAGCTATCAGCGTTAAAATTCTACTACTTGACACCAGATGGCGACACTTTTAGGAAGAAAATACACAAGTTTACGTATAATTTTGCAGTAGTATATTGTAATAATCATACGTAAATACTGAAAACTGTTATACACTTATTCCTAAATAACTTTTAGTATCTAAAACAGTAATTTTATCAATATATAACTAACTGGCCGCCATCTGTCGTCATATAGAATAACTTTTTAAACGTTACAAATATCCAGGGCCGTAATACGTATTAAATTATTTTACCAAGTAAATAATTTTTTTATTATTTTTATGTTCGTTTTAGATTTCCATCCAACGATAATTTAAAACAGCAATGGATTTCAAAACTTAATAGACCGGATTGGACACCATAGAAGAAGAAAATATTTCCATTTTAAATGAATCTTCTGTGCAAAAAATTAATATTACATCAGAACGTTATCGCATTTTAAATAAAATGAGTTTCGAGTCTTCGGATAGCACGGATGTCGAGCCTATGCCTGACGATATGTTATTGGAATTTGATGAACAATTAAATACAACTATAGGTGACTATTTGCGCCGTCAAATAGTAGCATATATTTCTGGGTATGTGGTCAAATTTTACATTCCAAGATCAAATGTGAGAGCTGTCTCAAAGAATTATATGCTGATAACTACGACGATAGTGACCTTGATTTGATAAAAACTAAAAATAAGGGTGGTCTTACTTTCCCATCTAGAGATGTCATAAAAATATGTATACGGACCGAAGGCAGTATTCGTTGTGTTAAATCGCAATCTTTGAATACTCCTAACTTTCGTAAACATAAAATTGTATCGAATACATTAAAATCACTTATTGGACAAGATTGTTTCAAAAAATCGGCCAACCATATGTTTGACCAATCACCTACAGTTAATCATGTTGTATTTCTGATGAAATCGATTGCAGAAAAATATATTGATATTCGTTTTAAGCATTTTGCCACAATACAAAACGATAGGGCAACCAACCGACAACAACTAACCAAAACTATTATTTACAGGTAATTGATGTTTTTTAATAAAATTATGTTTGTAATAACATTTTGTCTATTATTTTTAAACTACCTTAAAATTTAAATCTAAAGAAAATATAACTAGAAAAATATCCACGCGGACCAGGCAGCAGACGGGAGCGGGTGCGGGTTCGAGTCCCGTCTGCTGCCTGGTCTGCCTGGATTTTTTTTCATCAAGCAGTTACATGTTTTAAAATAATAAAATTTATACCTTAAAAATTTTAAAATCGGTCAAATTTGTTAACGTTTATTTTATTTATTTACCTACATATTTTATTTTTTTGAAGCTTCAAGTTCTGAGTACCTCCCATTATATACAAAACTTTTGACATCTAGTGTTAGATAGCTGAACTACTACGTAGTAACATAAATATCAACCTAAGCTAGAAGTTTTGCTATTAGCCGATAGATGAAATATTGAGAAGTGGGCGGAGCTGAACACCCCGCATCCCGCAAATTATCACGCGTCGTTTCTTGAGGAAATTTAATCACCACACCTCCTCTTTGTTTTTCCTCCGTGTGACGGACTAAATAGAATTTCGTTTACTGTACCCCGTCATCACCCCTATTCTTATAAATATACTCACTAATAAGGTCGATGAGTAGTCGGAACATATGGTCGATGGGCATTAGCGCGGGCTGAGGCACTATAGCAGCATGATGCGCGATCACTTGCAGTCCGTACACCATAGTCACTTCGTCCACACGCGTCGATGAACGGGTCAAACCTGAGCCGTTACAGGGAAAAGATTGCATTAACCTATAAATCACCAGTTTTTTTTTCTAAATGGCTTCGTACGGCTTGTGCATTTAGCCAGTGTCAAGTGTTAAAATGTTTACAAATACTACAGCACTCGTGGTCAAAGTAATATATCAAGTCAAAGTAAGTGGCAGTCAAGTCAATCCCCCTTTCCCTATGTTTCAGTAAAAGTGTGGTGATTTACTGGAACCTCCCCATGGACTTCTTGAGGGAACGTCGAAAGACACTTTCCGCTATTTTGTTTCACTTGCCAATAGTTGTGCATGTTCCCGAACACTTAGTGGTTAACAATCCACCATTATTAGATACTAACATCCGCCACAACACAATTTTTAACAAGAAAAACAAAACTGCTAAAGTGACGCTTCCCGATCCCGCCAAAAGTCTTACCAGTGTTATTGACTTATGATAGAATTGCCACAAACTTTTATAAGGCTCGAAGGACCATAAGAAAAAAACGGCAATTTAATACTCTTCAATCAAATTAATATGAATTTTTCTTCCTAAGACTAAACGAGTGTATGAAAACTAATATTAATTCATGACGATCGTCATCTCTTATCTTGTTTGAGAGTAAAATTTTTGCATAAGTTGTACAAGTTCAATTCAGTTCAATTCAACTTAATTTTAACCTAAAGGTGATTATTTTTGTGGTATGTTTTTTTTTTGTGTAGAGAATTTCAAGTGCAGCTTTTATAAGAAAAAACCAATTTTAAGCAATGGAAAGTCCAGATCCTCCCAGTTTTTGAGTGAAGTAATTATTAAATTTTAGAAGACCTTACTGATTTTGCTCTTTGCGAGGGTGGGGGTTTGTCGAGGGTTCCTCCTCGTCGGGGTTTTTCAACGTGACAGTGGCCGCGTGCGTCATGTTGATGGTCCGTCCTATATCACTGTCAAGATCTTCCTCCTCCCAGTTCGAGTCTAGATCGCATTGAAGGCTGTGTAATTTAATAAGATCTTACCCATTTTAAGCAGCGGGAATAGCAGAACCCGGGCGCGGTAAAGTAGCTTTTCGGCGAAGGTTCCTCCTCGTCGGGGTTTTTCAACGTGACAGTGGCCGCGTGCGTCATGTTGATGGTCCGTCCTATATCACTGTCAAGATCTTCCTCCTCCCAGTTCGAGTCTAGATCGCATTGAAGGCTGTGTAATTTAATAAGATCTTACCCATTTTAAGCAGCGGGAATAGCAGAACCCGGGCGCGGTAAAGTAGCTTTTCGGCGAAGGTTCCTCCTCGTCGGGGTTTTTCAACGTGACAGTGGCCGCGTGCGTCATGTTGATGGTCCGTCCTATATCACTGTCAAGATCTTCCTCCTCCCAGTTCGAATCTAGATCGCATTGAAGGCTGTGTAATTTAATAAGATCTTACTCATTTTAAGCAGCGGGAATATGTAGCAGAAGCCGGGTGCGGTATAGTAGCTTTTCGGCGAAGGTTCCTCCGCGTCGGGGTCTTCCAACGAGACAGTGGCCGCGTGTGTTATGTTGATGGCCCGTATTGTATCACTGTCGAGATCTTTCTCCTCGCAATTCGGGTCTAGATAGCATTGAAGGCTGTGTTATTTAATAAGATCTTACCCATTTTAAGCAGCGGGAATATGTAGCAGAACCCGGGTGCGGTAAAGTAGCTTTTCGGCGAAGGTTCCTCCTCGTCGGGGTTTTTCAACGAGACAGTGGCCGCGTGCGTCATGTTAATGGTCCGTACTGTTGCGCTGTCTAGATCTTCCTCCTCCCAGCTCGGGTCCAGATCGCATTGTGGGTTGTGTAGTCTGCGAAATGGTTAAAGTTAATGTTAGCTTTATAATGTCGCGACTGCCCGAATATCGTATCGACTGCGGTATTACTTACAAACAGAATTACATAGAGACAATGTGCTGCTGTGTTGTTGCCTTAGGTTTTTATGTACATAAGACGCTAATGATTAAAATAATGCTCATTTTTATAAATAAACTATTACTTTTGAATAGGCTATTTGACCGTATGAAAAAGAAAGTACCAATTCTTGGCATCTGTATTCAATATGAATATAAGTAGCGATATTACTACTTCGAGAAAACCAATAAATAAGTAAGAACTTGCCTAAAAAAACATGTAATAGAACTGTTTTAAGGTTCTAAGATCACGTGACCGAAAAAGCCTGGAATTGGCGAAGATTAAAATGAAGTCACACCCTAGTGAACTTCCGGTCAGTGACATTACATTTGAAGCGTTTGACGTTTCAATGTGAGTCGCGGCCACTAGTACCTGATAGTGACGTGCGCCACAGTGTCGCCCAGCAGCGCGTGCGCGGGCAGCAGCGGCGCCCGCAGCTGCAGCACGGCGGGCACCAGCGCGGGCGCGGCCAGCGGACTGCGCGTGGCGGCCAGTAGTACCTGATAGTGACGCGCGCCACAGTGTCGCCCAGCAGCGCGTGCGCGGGTAGCAGCGGCGCCCGCAGCTGCAGCACGGCGGGCACCAGCGCGGGCGCGGCCAGCGGACTGCGCGTGGCGGCCAGTAGTACCTGATAGTGACGCGCGCCACAGTGTCGCCCAGCAGCGCGTGCGCGGGTAGCAGCGGCGCCCGCAGCTGCAGCACGGCGGGCACCAGCGCGGGCGCGGCCAGCGGACTGCGCGTGGCGGCCAGTAGTACCTGATAGTGACGCGCGCCACAGTGTCGCCCAGCAGCGCGTGCGCGGGTAGCAGCGGCGCCCGCAGCTGCAGCACGGCGGGCACCAGCGCGGGCGCGGCCAGCGGACTGCGCGTGGCGGCCAGTAGTACCTGATAGTGACGCGCGCCACAGTGTCGCCCAGCAGCGCGTGCGCGGGTAGCAGCGGCGCCCGCAGCTGCAGCACGGCGGGCACCAGCGCGGGCGCGGCCAGCGGACTGCGCGTGGCGGCCAGTAGTACCTGATAGTGACGCGCGCCACAGTGTCGCCCAGCAGCGCGTGCGCGGGCAGCAGCGGCGCCCGCAGCTGCAGCACGGCGGGCACCAGCGCGGGCGCGGCCAGCGGACTGCGCGTGGCGGCCAGTAGTACCTGATAGTGACGCGCGCCACAGTGTCGCCCAGCAGCGCGTGCGCGGGCAGCAGCGGCGCCCGCAGCTGCAGCACGGCGGGCACCAGCGCGGGCGCGGCCAGCGGGCTGCGTGTGGCGGCCAGTAGTACCTGATAGTGACGCGCGCCACAGTGTCGCCCAGCAGCGCGTGCGCGGGCAGCAGCGGCGCCCGCAGCTGCAGCACGGCGGGCACCAGCGCGGGCGCGGCCAGCGGGCTGCGTGTGGCGGCCAGTAGTACCTGATAGTGACGCGCGCCACAGTGTCGCCCAGCAGCGCGTGCGCGGGCAGCAGCGGCGCCCGCAGCTGCAGCACGGCGGGCACCAGCGCGGGCGCGGCCAGCGGGCTGCGCGTGGCGGCCAGTAGCGCGGGCAGCAGCGCCCGGGCCCGCGTCCCCACAGCGCGAGCGCTACCCGCCGACACTGCCCCCACTAGTTGCGTAGCCGCTACCACGCGCGAGTTCAACTGATACATAAAAACCACTTTATTACATCACAAAACTAAAGGGGCGAACGCTATAATCGCAAAAGCGAAATTATCACATACTTACGTATGGAATGTTAACATTTAAAAACTTCAGAAAAGTTATTTTGCATAATTTTGATTTTACAAAGAAAAATACTGCTGTAAATATTTTTACACAAAAAACAATTTCAAAATGTTTTATCGATAATCGTTCTTGAAATCTCTTATCTATTAGACAAGTCCGTCTGTCCGTGGTGCTGTTTCAGCGGCCAAACCGTAAGAGATAGATAAAGAGAATATTTAAGTTATAAGTTAAGAATAGTCTGATAAGACTACAAACCCGATTTGAGTAACGTAGCACTTCCGGTTTTCGAGAAATCACGAATTTCAAACGAAACCACACAAAATCTCCGAAGTTCTCAAATTTTTTTTTTTTTAAATCAGGTTTTGGTGAACATATGGTTCACTGGTTGGCTAGTACATAGTAATCGTATCGATACAAATCTGGTTACGGTCAAAAGCTATCAAAGTAGAGAACAGATACAACTATCGAGTATGTTATGGGATGAAAATGGCTATTCAGCGAATGCTGTTCAGCCTATTCAGGCTATTTGACAGTATACAAATTAAAGTACAAATTTTATTGGCATGTGTATTTAACATGAATATTGGAAGCGATTTCACTATTCCGACAAAAAGTACATGATAATATTATTCAAAATCATGAAAAAGAAAAGTATTCTTTTATCTATTGTCACGTGACCGAAAATGGCTAGGATCGGCGGAACTTAAAACGACATCACCTGCTTATAAACATGCTGTCAAGGTGACATACTGTTTGACGTTTTAATTAGAGCCGTGTGACGTCACCTGCATTTAAGACTCCATTTTTGCTAGAGAAAGGTTTCCGCGGCTTATTTTTTTTTATTTTCATTTTGTTACTGATATATGCAACAGAATTATAAATATGCACTTTTTATGGAGTGGAGTCATACACAAATAAATAATGTATGATCATTTTCAATAACTTGCTAAATGGCCTATTTTGCTGTATACTTACTGCACTTAATCTTTCCCGTATAGCACTCTCTTTGGCCAATTGAGCTTTTATGGCTTCTTTCTGTTTCGCTGATAACGGGACCTACGATTAAAGAAATTCAAAACATTAAAAAACTTTTATAATATTATCATTATTAGTAATAACTCTAAAAATCTCCAGTCCTTTGAATCTTACTTTAGAAAAAACGGACATTTGCTGTTCAGATGCCATAGAAGTTAAACCTGCAAAAATGTGAACACGTAAAAGTCCTTCATGACAAGGTACTTTAAAATACTTGGCAAAATTAAGTATTATATACTTCAATTGTTTCGAAAAAAAAAATTAAAAATAAATAACAGTTATATATTTTATATTTAAGTGTAAAGAAAATTTTACTAGAAAAAAATCCACACGGACCAGATAGCAGACGGGATAATAAGGCTAGAGAAAAATTCGACACGGCCATCAGGGCCGCGGTAGCATAATGGTCAATTAAAGAAAAAAAACAATTAATAAAATAACCGAGCTCAGGATTGAACCACCGATCGTTTGGTGTCAACCCGAAGACCGTTACCGTTCGGCTAACTGTCTCCTGCGGAGACTTACAAAATTACGGATACCTTGTGTCAAATACTGTTAAATTCTAGTTTCATTGAGTTTCAAATCACAACTAAAGAAGTTTTCACTTCAAAAATCTTGAAGTCTGAAGTCTTGGACTTACCTCTTTAACTTTGCCCTGTTTCTTTTTCTTCTCCTCAAGTTCTCGTCGTAGCTGCAACTCTTCAAGTTGCTCTTTATAACTGTACGCTTTGCTTTCTCGCTTCAAATTCATTTCTTTACTATCTTCATTTCTGTTAGACAATAATGTTTAGATTAAAACAAGGTGAAAAGGAAACATAAAATAACATGATTTATTACGCACTAAAGGCGCTTTTAACATAAAACTGTTACACAGAATACTTCATTGCTCTTTTTCTCTTTGTGTCGAGGTTCCCCTTATAGAGATGCTGCTCAGTAAGCAGCGATGTCAATAATTGTTGAGTCTCTCAAATCACGTTCGGAACAAAAGAAAGCGGGTACGCGGGGCAAGCTAACATTGAGTTGATATGTCGCGAAGCATTCCTCATCGGACCATGTTGTAGTATATATATATATATTTATGCTAGGCAAGGCGTTTGACCACAATCTCGCCTGATGGAGAGCGATGATGAAGCCAAAGATGGTACACGCCTGCCTAGAAGATGCCTGTATATGCAGCGATCAATATGATATCTAAACCTGTTTAGTGCCTTCCATATAGGCGACAGGTTCTTTGTGGCCGGGGGCCAGTCCTTCAAAGGGTTGCACATATTTTTCAGGTGGCCATACTTATGAACAGTGCCACAGTGAACGTAATGAGAATTAAATATTTTCGATACAAAACTTGTTGATATTTGACGTGTATAGACTTAGAGATCGAATTCACGGTTTGCTCACCCTGGCACGGTGCTCTTTTGCACAGTAAAGTACCTTTAGCACGAATCATTATCGAATTCCATTTGATATACGTCAAATGCGTACTGATTTTTCAGTTTTCGTTACGTCCGATGTGGCGCTGCTATTCAAGTTTCCATACAAAATTTGACATTGACATTTCGCACTCTCCAACTAATCGAATTCGATATTGGGTCGTGCTAAGGGTACAGTTCAGTTTAGTGATGTAAGTAATCGTCGCGCATGACTTCCAGTAGCGCCGGGTCGAGTAGCGCGTCCAACGCCACCTGAATTGTGGCGTTCGCTATCGCTTCCGGATTCGTAGGTGATGATAGGGACTTCTGGTCATAGTTTACTCACCCTGGCACGGTGCTCTTGTCGTAAAGATCCCCCGGCGGCGTGAGGTAGGTGAAGTATTCGTCGCGTGTGACTCGCAGTAGCGCCGGATCGAGAAGCGCGTCCAACGCCACCTGAATGGCGGCGCCTGCTATCGCTTCCGGATTCGCCTCCACTAATGTCCGGACCACGTTCCACGTTGTCTATATATATAATGCATTAAGATTGAATGGTACAGTTTTAACAACAAATGTCAAAAGGTAATTGAAACAGTTCACATTTCTAAGCACATTTTGGGTGTATTCCGAAATGTACATCAGTATACTGGCCAGTGGTAATGACGTCACGAATTCGACGCCATATTGTACTGGTATGCTACCATATTTTTACCGGGAAAACTAATAGTAGACGTATGACCGAGCGTGCATTCGAATTTTATTTCTTTTTTATTTAAATAACAATAATGGCATCCGAACAAAAAGAATTCCTTTTAATTGATGAGGTGAATAAAAAAATATTCTTTATTCGCACTATTTTTAATATTTCGTCGATTTATGACGTCAGTGCACTGGCCAATATATTTCTGAAGAATTCACCAGTATAGCGTCGATGCATGACGTCATTAGCACTGGCCAGTATACTGGTATATATTAAGGAATACACTCTTTCTGATATTTGAATTCAATAAGTAAAGCATCCAGTCCCTTTAGCATGAGCACCACAATTACCATTATATCACGTTTTTATTGTGTCTAACTGACAAACCCCATAGTAATTTGACAGTTCAGCGTGATAAAAAACTCGTTATATATCATATCGTGATGATCATGCTAGGGGGGCATGGTCTTAGGAGGCAGGTTAACCTCTAATAAATTAAGAGATATCATAAAAAAACACTTGTACCTAAAAGCTTATTACAAAGTGTCTGATTATATTACAGACAAAAATGCTTGTGTTTGACTGTTACTTACAATTATTCGCAGGATTTCTATATAAAATAAATCATGATTGTATTGACGTTGTAACAAATTAATGATTTGTAAATGTTGTTACATTTTCATTGTTAATTTAACGTTTTGGAGTTTTTTTCGCTCGTTTTTCATCGCTTCTAAAAATATGTACAATAACGAGTAGTAGAGAAAACAATTTTTGGATAATACAATAGAGTTGGGTACTATGCATTCAATTTGAATAACGATATTTTGACTTTTGATGTGTCCTTGAGATTGGCTTGGTAGTGTATACCATACCTGGCTGGGCGTATACGGGTCGAGGTATGCATCCTTTAGTGTGGAGGCGTACAGTCCGACCAGTTTCTGCGGGTCGAGTCGCAGGCGCGAGCACATCTTCTGCCACGCTCTCCTTTGGGTGCTCGCCACTAGCGGGTGATGGCAGCAAGACAACGCCGCTAGGGCCAAGTTCTGAGCGTCCAGGGTAGGATACTCTGGAAGATGGTAAGATAGCTTAATTACTAATTAGACTCACAAAAATTATTCAGGTATTTTAACATGATAAGAGACAAATATTTAATAATCTGACGACCTCCGTGGTCGAGTGGTTTGTACGCTGGGTTTCATGGTGTCGCCGACTCGGAGAGGTCCCGGGTTCGAATCCCGGTGGGGGCAGATGAATGTTTAATATGTATTTCTTTATAAATATACTTATATATGTATTCTATCTGTTACCCTAGTATCCCATAACACAAGCCTTACAGTGCTTACTTTGGGGGTGAGAGTGTGGCAAATATTTATTTATTATTATTTAATAAACATTCAATTGCTGTATAGGTGTAACTTTAGCATTAATTAATTTTTTTTGTCACTATCCCATATCTTTAATAGTTTTTAGAAGGTTCCATAATAATTTCTATCAGCAGAGGAAACTTAGTAGTTTGATTAATGTTTTTTAGGATTCTTTTATAAATTAACAATGCATAGCAAAAAAAAAAAAAAATGTGTGCGTGTACTAGTGTACACACGTAAGAAGTGAAACTTCTTTATGGCCTTATTTTTTTCGAAAAATGATCTACATGCAACTTTCCAGAAATATATATATAGGCGTGCGCTAAGATTTTTCAAAAACTCACCCACTAAAGGGGTATAACTACACCTTACCTTACCTTGTGTGAAACACGAATATTTGCTGTCGATACTTTTTTTTTTAAAGTTGACAGAAGAAGCAATTGTTCGGATGAGGTAAAAGATGGCGCGTAACCAAAAAACGTGACGCGTAACCGAAAAAAATGTGACGGTAAATTTTTTTCCAACGCCGATAAAGAAGTTTCACTTCAAAAACAATCATTTTGGCAATAGTACAAGAATAAAATCTTACCTTTATATGAACACAGCGCTTGAACACAATCTAGTATCATTTTCCCAGTGACATCTGACGTTTTCTCCTCTGGAGGCGTCTTCTCTTTTGACGTAAATATTTTTCCTTCTTCTAAGACTTCATTTAATTTTGTAACTAAATACTTTGCCAATAGGGCTCTTTCTTCATTAGCTAATAAAGATTTAACTTCTTCTAACGCCGCGTCGCGGACGGCTTTGATTGGCGACAATAAGACTAGTATAAATGCTTTATATACAGGCGAGTTCTGTTCACTGGCAACACATGGGTAGTTTTCCAACAATGTTCTGCATAGCAACACCACCTGTATTAGGACTATAAAGGGGTAAATGTTATAGTGCAACCCGGCAGTTTGCAGCAAATAAATGATCACACAATATCGGGGGACTTAGACAAGCAGGGGGACAATTAGAGGAATACTGCATGCATTATTTTACTCTAGAAACTGATAAAATTTCACTTTGTAGTTGAGTAATTCATTATATTTAGTTAAACTTAAAATGAAGTATTATTATTTCTGCAAATTAGATCAATAATAAAATAAAGATTTAATTTATATTCAACCTGACTGCAATTTTTATTATTACATCGATTGGTCCTTCGAGTCGGACTTGTGTAACCGTGTGTACACTTTCAAACTAAAATATTAGAGCATAAGAAAATTAATTATCTAATATGTTTCAGTTGTTCAGTATGTATCAGTTGTCTAATATGTTTAACCACCTGAAGCTAGAAAAAAGTTGGTCCTTCGAGCAGGACTCTTATAAGAAACTGATTTTCAAATAGACGTGGAACGCAAATTCGATACTTAAAGATAAATTACTTTTTGACGCAAATAAAAAAAAGCTATGTAAAAACATGAAGGTTTAAGCGTTGGCTGTGCAGGAGAGTTGTGCTGGTAATAAATACCGGGTTCACACAAGGCGATTTAAATTTATCAACTTTTATCGTTCAATAATTTACTTCAATTAGATTGAAAGTCTGTTTAGGCAGTTCACACCGTATGCGATTTAACAGTACCCTTAGTACGATTTTTACAATTACGAAAACTATGATAGTTTTCGCGAGCTCGCACTCGTACTAAGGGTACTGATTTTATAGTTTTCGTTTCAATACAAATAAAGAGTTTAAATTCTATAATTAAATAATTTACGTCTTTTTAAATTCTAAATATATTTGGTTACTTTTCACCAAAACGGACATAGTAACATAATTTACAATAACGAAAACTATGATAATTTTCGTGAGCCCAAACTCGTACTAAGGGTACAGTTGATCAACTATAATCGCCTCGCGTGAACACAGTATAAGGTTATAAGACTCACCGTCGTCGGGCGCCGCGGCGAGCGCTCGCTCGTGCAGTATCGTCGGGCGAGTGGGATGGGTCAGCGCTGCCCACGCCCCAGTAGTGGGCAGCGCGCGCTCAGAGTCCAAAGCTACGAGTCCCAGCATCGCGCTGATTCCCTCGCTCACCACTAGCGGCTGCCGAACGAGTGATATGATAGTTTTTTTTCTCTTTATTGAAAGGACTTTTATCTTTACAGACATGTCAGTCCCATCGTGTACTTATATAAATTAACAAATCATCTAAGCCAATTAACCTAATATGTTATTGTCTGAAGAAAGTCGCGGCAGACATATAAAGCGATACAGCATTCTGGCCTCTTCCGAGACCGATTGGGCCAGAACGCTGTGAAACACACCAATGTCTGATATATTCGATTTACATTTTTTAACAAACTCTTGTCTCTCATTCTGGTACCGGACACAATCCATCAACAAGTGCTGGAGATCTTCTAGATATGATAGTTAGGGGACGTACCTATATTACTACTTTGACGACCTCCGTGGCCGAGTGATATGTATGCCGGGTTTCATGGTGTCGTATCGCTAACTCGAGAGGTCCCGGGTTCGAATCCCGGTGTGGGCAGATGTTCGTGTGATGAATACGACCATTTGTACTTAAGTCATGGATGTTTAATATGTATTTCTATATAAATTTACTTATATATGTATTTTATCCGTTACCCTAGTATAACAAGCCTTATAATGCGATTCAACTAAGAATAGGACCGACTGGACGCCATATTGTAATGTCATAGCTGTCAATTCAAACCAAATAGGTAGAGTGAGCAAAAAGAAGTTTTTATTTAATAAAACTTATTAACTACCTAAGATTAAGTGAGAAAAAATATCAGATTTTTTAATCAATTGAATTTACTAAGATTGAGAAAAAACACAACCGATTTTTAATAATATTTCTTTAATAAGATTGTGTGAGAAAAAGCAATAATCAGAATGTAGCTCTTCAATTCCGCTCATCTCTGCATTACCGCCGGAGTAGTTATGAATAATCATGCAGGTCACATACGAACATGCATCCTTTATGTAAACGAAAGTTTTAAATCGAGTTTCTGAATGCAACATAAAGTGACATTTGGTTGACGATTTAGGTTATCAACCATTCATAGCCAAAGCTCAATAAAAGAAAAAAAATATCAACCATTATTAATTATCAATATTTGTTATTGTGTGTTTAAAAATGTTTGGTTTTTATTCTACAATTAGCTGAGTGCTAAAAAAGTGTTCCGAGATTTTTTTTGCAAGCCGTACTTTTCAAGCGACATGTGACAGATGGAGGTCATTGGTTTTCCTATCCTTATTTGAATCGCATTATGCAGTGCTTACTTTGGGATCTTTTCGGGGGCGAGGGAGTTTTTTGGGAGTTCAAAATATCACGCTTGGTCATGGGGGCGGGTGAGGTGCTTTGGTATACGCCACGTAAACAACGTCCTCTAAGGAAATTTTCTTCTTGTTATTATTTTTACTTGTATGTAAAAATATAGGTACTGCAGGCTACACAACAAATAACCTTATATCGCGTACGCTGCGGAAGTCATTGACAATAGAGCAAAATGATGTACTAAAGTTTTATAGAGTATATCAATACCTACAAAACAGTCTGCGATACTGTATGTCTAACTATTACAGCTACGTCACAATTAGAGATCCCCTGCGGTTTCACCCACGTAAATTTTAGGGAAAAGGTTATAGTGATTCAAACTTAAAAGATGGACATATGCTGCCGCGGACTTTTTTTATAGAACTTTTAATATAATAACATAACTTTTATGTCATACATGATTTTTAAGTAACTGTAACCGTTTACGCAACAGACGCAATGGAAGCTCACAATCTGCCCAGTGCGGATTGGTGGGTGCTAACGACTGCAGATGCAGCCGGGACCAACGGCTTAACGTGCCTTCCGAAGCACGGAGGAGCTCGAGATAGTAAATTTTTTGGTCACCCATCCAATGACCGACCGACTGCGAAAGTTGCTAAACTTCAACGCTTGCATTCGAACGCGCTAACCATTTGCGCCATCGAGCTCCTCTGATATAGATGAATAGTTTTAATGTTATATCCGAGGAAACTGGCATTGATTTGTTTTACACTAGCGTTCCATCACCGAAGCGGGTATTGAGCAGTGCATTTTTCGACGAATAGGCAATTGTACAATGTTCTCCTATAACTGGCTTTTTGTTATTATTTAAGTTTGTGGTACATCACTACGCGTCGTCGTGCCCTCATCACTAACAGCGGCTACGTCACGAACGCGTATGTGCCTTTCCACATGTACACGGACACGGCACGGTTGCCGTGCCGTGTAAAATAGTAATGTATGAGCAACAATGAGAGCTTTCACATTGCACGGCGACCGTGCCGTGACCGCGTGTCAGCCGTCCTTATCCACTATAAGCACGGTTTTGACGCGGCAACCGTCTTTATAGTCTTGTATGGACTTGTATAGATGTGTTCACATGAACACGGGCGCGGTACGGCCTTAGATTAAAACAAAAAGGGTAGATACGGCACTAGCCTCACAAAAGTGATCCGCATGAATTGTGGTCCACGACCCTAATCGCTTTAGTCACAAATTGACATGCAATCGACGTACATGTGAACGCCAAAAAGAAATATTGCTAATATTTTGTGTTTATATGATAAAACAATGCCTAAGTGTGTTTTTAAAAAGTGCTCAAATTGCTCAAGAACTAAAAATAAAACCCACGGCATCACTTTTCATTCGTAAGTACTATAAAATATAATTTTTCATAAAAATATGTGTTTGTTTTGAATCTTATTCGGTAGTGACGTCGAGTACTGGTCGCGTGATTGGTCGGTAATGCAGTGACGCGGATCTCGCCGTCTCGTTCGCGCTGCCGTTGAAATTTAACGTGCTGTTTCGTTCGGGTCGGTAATGCAGTGACGCGGATCTCGCCGTCCCGTTCGCGCTGCCGTGGGATCAGTTTTTGTTTGATGCAAGTATGAGCGTACCGTATCTACCCTTTTTGTTTTAATCTAAGGGTACGGCACGGCGAGCGCAAATACCATTAGACAGCTAAAGTCATAGGGGAACGGACGGACGATTGTTGCAGAATGTCTGTCGAAATCGATGTTGATGTGTTGATTTCGCTAGTTGAAGCGCGTCCTACTTTATGGGATAAAACCATCGCGTCTTATAAAAACAGGAACGAGACAAAAGAACCGTGGAAAGAAGTATGTATAGGATTAAATAGTAGTTTCAAGAAAAGAATCTTTTTTTGTTCCATGATAAAAGACGTCGTCGTTCCCCAAATTCTCGATAATACTGCAACATCCATAGCCGGCGACCGTGTGTAAGCCGTATACATGTGAAAGAGCTAGCACGGTTGCACGGCATGGCGGCCGTGCCGTGACCGGGTGCATGTGAAAAGGGCCTATGTCTCGGGGCTCGGTATGCGGGAGACGCGGCCCGGCCTGGAACCTGGAGGCCTACTCTAATTCAACGAAAAACGAAAATTCGATCGAAATTTCGCACTTCTCTTACTATATTTCTGGTTTGTTTTTAATTATAATGATATTCGTCGTCGGAATATAGATTGAGTTGTAGATTTTCTAAGCCTACTCAAAGAAAGCTTCAATTTGATAGTTTATCGTTCAAATTAAGTATAACCTTAAATTGACGAAATTAAATTTCGTTTGGTCCTCGATATCGAAAGTTCGTTTCGGAGAAAGAGAGTAGACCCCCTGCTCCCAGTCGCTTGGCCGGCAGCGCAGTGTGCTACGAATCGCCTCGCACACAACTCCACGTCACTCGTCCTTCCGTCTTTTCCAATACAATTATTTGTTAATATCTCGATAATTATTATGAGTATACGAATTGTATTTCTTCTACGGTGTTTCACTTCGCATCCGCTCGCTATTTGTAGGGATAGTAACATTACATCCTCAAGTTTTTATTATCTCTTATCTTTATCTATTAGACAAGTCCGTCCGTCCGTCCGTCTGTGGTGCTGTTTCAGCGGCCAAACCGTAAGAGATAGATAAGGAGAATGTTTAAGTTACAAGTTAAGAATAGTCTGATAAGACTACAAACCGGATTTGAGTAACGTAGCACTTCCGGTTTTCGAGAAATCACGAATTTCAAACGAAACCACACAAAATCTCCGAGGTTCTCAATTAATTAAATACATCTTTTTTTTTTGGTGAACTATTGGTTTACTGGTTTGCTAGTTTTTATTAATACCTGTTGGACTTCCAAATACTAAATCAATAAATAGATAGTTGTTAGTAACCTGCGTTGGTTGCTGCACCGCCTTGTCGACTGCTTTAGTGAGGAGCGGGCGTAGAGCGGCGCCGTCCCCCGGCTCGGCCCCGCCCGCGTGCAGCCCCAGCGCTATCAACGACGTGTACGCGATGCGGACCAGCTGCGTTGTGCTCTTCGCTGACAGGTTTTTCTAAACAAAATCATAAGCTCAATGAGGGCTACCGTTTTCTGCCGCACCAGATGGCGCCACTATTGAGTGAGGTCCTAAATTGTAACTTTTAAAGTTTATTAATACGCACATGAAATCAAAGGTTACATTTAGATCGTATTTTAACACAAAAGAACCATATCCTAAACATAATAGGCCATGCCACAGTGACGCGCAGTTCCGTTTTATTCGGAAAAAATGGGAACATAATCATTTTTCTAAGGTCAAATTTTTAATAACGACGACATTCATTGCCACATAACTCATATTTGCCATAATTAAGCCGAATTGTTACCAATTATTCACAACATTATTATTAATTAGAAATAAATCCGCGTAGTCAACCAACAAGCAATAACATTTGACATTTCGGAGACCTCACGCTACACTAGCGCCTCTAGCGGCGGATTCATACGCGATAGCCCTCATTGAGATAAATTAGGGGGCGTCCATAAATTACGTGAGGTGTTTTTTTGGATTTTCTGTCCCTCCCTCCCCCCCTGGTGAGATGTCGTGATATTTTATTCAACCCCCTCCCCCTTCCCCCAATCTCATGTGAGATTTTTCAAAATGTGGGTTTCTTTCGTAAACGCGTTGGAAAATGCTTCGTGCTTTTATTTACGACTAGTTAAGACTAATAATCAATATTGCTGGGAGTTATAAGTGTAATAAAAATTTAACAATAGAATACTTAATAGATACTACTGTGAAAAAAAAATTGCGTGATATTTGCCAAGACCCCCCCTCTCTCCAACGTAAGATTAGATGAGATTTGACTCGACCCCATCCTCCCCTTAAACATCTCACGTAATTTATGGACACCCTCTTAATCATCACTACATAGTATACAGCAAAGTCGCTTCCCGCTGGCTGTCCCTATGTCCCTATGTATGCTTAGATCTTTAAAACTACACAACGGATTTTAATGCGGTTTCTTTTTAATAGATAGTGATTCAAGAGGAAGGTTTATAAGTATAATACATGCATAATATAGTAGAGGAACACCGATAATGTCAGAGGTTTTCAATGTAAGGTCGTAAATAAACACATTTTTTTTGTGGTTACATTGCAAACGCTGGCTGAACCCTACGAGATAGATCAAAATAATGTGCTTCAGTATTGTACACCTTAAAAAGGTCTACAAAAAAGACTGCGATGGTATATGTTTATTTATTAGGGATAACCCACAATAACCATTTTTTATCCTATACTTTTTACGAGAAATAATACATTATTATTTACGAAGCGATTTTCAGCAAAATAACATTCATCCTTATGTAATTAAGTACCTTAAATACATTGTGCATTTAGATGTGCATATAGACCAATTTGTCCCTTTAACTTATAAAATTTAAATGAATATTTTCGAAGATATTACAGATTTAAAATACAGGGACAGCGGTTCCGAAGCTACCGGGCGGGGGGCTTGGCGGCGCGTGCCTATTATAATTAGGTATTAGAAGAATGTCATTGTGTATAATACAAGTCTGAGTACAAAAACTATACTCTACACCGAAGCGAAGCGAGGGCGGGCCACTAGTATTAAATAAGTCATTCGACGTTACGAGTGAAACTTTTATTTGTTGTATTAAGTTGAAGCCAAACGAGCGTTAGTTTTTGATTTGTGAGTCGATTTGTAGTCAGCTGCATTCGGTTTCAAAGAAAAGTCCTGTCTCATTTTGCGTCATGATGTGTATCAAACAATATTTTTCCATGGAACTAAAACAATACAAAAATCTACACCTTTAGAAATGGATCTGTTGGTTTTTGTCACACGCGGCGTGGTGGCCCAGTGGCGCAGCGCTTCGAGCGCGGCGTAAACGGTGCGCTCGTGCGATTCGCTGTCCAGTACTCCTAGCACGAACCATTATCGAATTCGAATAGTTTGCGAGTCCGCAATGCCATTGTCAAATTTTGTATGGAAACTTGAACAGCAGCGCCATAACGTACGTAACAAGAACTAAAAATTAGTACACATTTGACAATGACATTTCGCACTCGCAAACTATTTGCGAATTCGATATTGATTCGTACTAAGGATACAGTACCCTTAGTACGAGTTAAACAATTACAAAAACTATGATAGTTTTCGTGAGCTCGCACTCGTACTAAGGGTCAGTACCCTTGTTTTATTGTTATCGTTTCAATACAAATGAACAGTTTTTAAATTCTATCAATAAATCATCTGCGTCTTCTTAAATTTTAAGCATATTTGGTTACTCTTCACCAAAATGGACATAGAAACATAATTTACATTTACGAAAACTATGATAGTTTTCGTGAGCTCAAATTCGTACTAAGGGTACAGAACTAGCACAGTCTGACGTCACACTGACCTGGTACATGCGCGGGAGCGCGGCGCACAGTGGGACACGCGGCGTGGTGGCCCAGTGACGCAGCGCCTCGAGCGCAGCGCAGAGGGTGCGCTCGTGCGATTCGCTGTCCAAAACGCGCGCCGTTTGACTGACAGCTTCCTCCAGCAACTGCGTGCGTTCCGATCCGACGACGCAGAGTTCGCTAAGAGCGCTCACGCCCTGTCGAAAGAAATAAAAGTTACTGACTACATCTCATTCAATGGTGGCAATAAAAACAACGGTTTTTTCAATAAAATTTTACGACCTTGCAATTGGTTTGCATTCCAAACTGTCATAACTCCTTGACAAAACCATACTAATTAATACCGTATCACCTTTAAATAAGACCACACGCCCCGATCGGGGCGCGCTCGAAAAATACATCGCACGGTCAAACACCGCACGCCCCGATAGGGGCGCGCTACCCACGGGACTATAAGCCGTTTTTTGTGATAGAGCCTACTTTTGTATGAAGAAGTTTAACCATAGATTTACTTGGCGAAATGACCTATCTCTAGAGCCGTAAAGTTTTAAATAGCCTGCATAAATACTGCTTAAGCGGACCCTAAGCATGTCGACTTTCAAATGTTGAATATAGTCCGATATTATTTTAAATTACGCGTTGGTACGCGATCTTGCTATGTACCTTTAGGACAGTTTTCGGCAACGATTTTATACGTGATGGTGTATCTAGGGTATTTATTATCGTTGAATTGATCCTTTAGCGAATTAGGCATCAAGCGAAATAGTCCTTTAGCTAAGTCGTCGTCTTGCAAAGTAGTCCTTTCGAGACTCGGTGGGCATTTTTGTGCAACTAAACGTGAAAACATACTATTCATGATTTAAGCAACAATATGAAAGGGTCAGTAGTAGTCAGTACTTTGACTACACTTGGTCTAAGATCCGAATCTACATCGATCTTCACCAAGCTGATAATAGAAAGAAACATATTTTATCATGAATATATCTATATATATAAAACTCAAAGGTAACTGACTGACATAGTGATCTATCAATGCACAGCCCAAACCACTGGACGGTTCGGGCTGAAATTTAGCATGCAGGTAGATGTTATGACGTAGACATCCGCTAAGAAAGGATTTTGATCAATTCTACCCCCAAGGGGATAAAATAGGTAATGAAAGTTTGTATGAAACTTTTTCAATTTTAAACCGATCGGGCTGAGACTTTGCATAGAGGTATAAGAAGAATCATAGATGAATGTCATTGTGTATAATACAAGCCTGAGAACAAAAACTGTAGTCTACACTTCAGCTCTACACCGAAGCGAAGCGAGGGCGGGCCGCTAGTGGCTAGCCTACAAAAATATATAAATGTTGCAAAATCAAGATGATAAAAAATGTTGTCCCAAAAACGTATAGCACCCATTGGACTCACGTTAAGGACAGCTATCTTATCCTCGCTGGAGGTGAGCTTCCCACTAGCGCCGTTGTACTCGGCGAACACGTGCTTGAGCAGCGCTCGCGCTGTGGCCAGGTCGCTGCAGCGGTGCGCTAGACGACGCAGCGCTGCCAGCGCTTCCACTCGCACCCATTCGTCCTTGGAATGTAGATTCACTGGAAACCATATCCTTTGTCAGTTATATAGGCAAAGATAATGTAGCGGCGACATCTATATGCCCCACATATACAGGGTGTGACAAAAGTCCGAAATAAAACTTTAGGGTTTGGTTGTGTTCCTTATATAGAATTACCTACGAAAGTTTGACGACTTTCAGACCACTTTTATTTTCTAATTAAATTAATAAAAATATTGTTTTACACCTGCCTATGACAACCCTATAAATGCGTACGATTACTACTACCTAAACAGACCCCCCTCTCTCCCCCAGGCGCCCCTGCGCCCCACTCAGATACCTACAAATTTTTATTTCGGAATTCTGTAACACCCTGTATACGACGGATGTAGGCTTCCATACTATTAAGATCGCAGTGCAGGTAACGCCAACTCTTGAGGATGGTGAGTAATGATTTCCTCCATCCGTTGTATACATATATGTGGGGCATATAGATGTCGCCGCCACAATAACAAATGTATAGACAGAATTCCTACTTTATTAATGTAAATTAAAACTTTAAAACTAATTATTCAAGTGATGTAGACTTGTTTCTGGCGAGACAAAATAACTTCAAAAACTTTGTGGACAGTAAATTTTTTAATCATCATCAGCCTATTAATGTCCCCACTGCTGGGGCACAGGCCTTCCGGGTGGATGGAATAGGGAGATTGGGCCATGACCCACCACGCGGGCCCAGTGCGGATTGGTGGGTGCTAACGACTGCAGATGCAGCCGGGGCCAACGGCTTAATTTTTTAATAATAAAACTTAATTTATAAGATCATCATTTTCTATGTAGGTAAGGCTTTATGCTTAGTTTAATACTTTTGTTTTTATTTTGTTTTAAATTAATGTACGGCCTCATGAGTGGATTGGATAAAGTATATTGTGTTTGATTTGTACTTGTGAAAACTGTGTAAGGCTTGTCAATGCTGCATCTTTTTGTTTTATCCTTTGTTTTATCATGCCGTTTGTTTTCCATGAATAAATAAATAAATAAATAATACAGAGAGTTTTCTGGTTTTGGTTAATTCGCGCCAAAAATGTCATATAAAAGGCCTCATGTCACAGCGGCCCCAACTGGCGAATTCCTAAACATCCTCATTGATATAAGCCGTCTGACACAAAAGTAGGGTATTCCACAAAAATCAGTTCCCTTACAGTGTCTGTGGTCCTAAGACTGAACTATCAGTTCACAATAGAACATCGTTATTTGGTAACGTCAGGAATAATAAAAAAGGTACGTTAATAAATCGCGCTTTTCCATCCGTTTTTAGGGTTCCGTACCTCAAAAGGAAAAACGGAACCCTTATAGGATCACTTTGTTGTCCGTCTGTCCGTCCGTCCGTCTGTCAAGACCCTTTTTCTCAGGAACGCGTGGAGGTATGAAGCTGAAATTTATATCAATTACTCAGGTCTACTGTCCCTTGAAGCTGTGAAAAAATCAAACTTCTAAGCCAACGCAATCAAAAGATACAGCCGTTTATGCCGCAAATTTTCGACACTTGCAAGGGAATCAAAACCTACAGGGTGCTTCCCGTGAACTCAGAATCTTGAAATTTGGTACCAAGCAACGTCTTATAGCATAGATAAAGGAAAAATTACGAAAACCATAAATTTTTAGTTACATCACATAATATATTTTTTTTTAATAATTTTAACCTTACTACCCATTTCCTCATAAACGCGTAGAGGTATTAAATTGAAATTCATACCAAATACTCAGGTCTATAATACCTTTAAGCTGTAACAAAATCAAACTTCTATGTCAACGCAATCAAAAGAAACAGCAATTTAAGCTGCATATTTTGAAACTCGCAAGTACTCGCAAGGGAATCAAAACCTAAAGGGTACTTCCAGTCGACCTAGAATCTTGAAATTTGGCATGAAGCAACGTTTTATAGCACACATAAAGGAAAAATTCCGAAAACCTTAAATTTTTAGTTACATTACAAAATATATATTTTTTAATAAATATAAACTTATTACTTTTTTCCTCATGAACGCGTAGAGCTATCAAGTTGAAATTCATATCAAATACTTAGATCTAATTGCCTTTAACCCGTGAAAAAAAAAAAAATTCTAAGTCAACGCAAAAACGCAAAACGCAAAAATAACTTTAATAAAAGAACTTTCGCAAGTCTGCTGCAAGGCTAGTATAAGTGTTTCAGTTATATTATAGATAAATGATATGTGTTAATATAAAATAAAGGATTACTTAAACGATAAAGAGATCTTTGTCTTAAATTTATGCTCCTCCATATTTCCCCATTGTAATGTTATGAATTTCATTTTGCAATAAAAATACATAGTTATGACTCGATTTTCGTAATGAACGAAGTTTGTAAACCTTGTAGGTTTGTACGGAACCCTCGGTGCGCGAGTCCGACTCGCACTTGGCCGGTTTTTTTATTTTTATTTGGCTCACAATACTGGTTACAAAGAATATCCATGTAAATATACAAAGAAAATATCAGCTACTTTGCAACCTACTAGATGCAAGCACAACATGCATTTCTAATACTACCTAACTACCAAGGATTAATATAGTACATATAGGTTCAACTCAGTACCTAAAAAAAAAGTTAAAGTTAAGACTAAAAACTAATAGAACTTAATCAAAGAATATTGATTTTAAGCATTTTCTGGTTGAGGCTTTAGAACCCGTTCAAAAAGTTTGTATTAAATATTTAGTGCGCGTTTAAAGATAAATATAAATGCATAATCAAGAACAGTAAAAATACAGTAAACGGACCGCTTAGCAACAATAGCGATGATGACTAATTTTTTTTTTCTTCGTTTATCAGGTAGATTATCAAAAAGTAGTGGACACGTATTTTTTCTTTTTTCACATAATATAAACATGGCAGAGATATATTGATTTGAAAAGTCGCATGACGTCACGTTTGAGTACACTTATAAGTGAAAATTCACTCAAAAGTGACGTCACGAACCCCTACTCCCAAACTTTGACGCGCTACAACTTGGTATTTTTTTGGTTGATTGCCCAAAGAAAAAATACGTGTCCATTATTTTTTGATCATCTAACTGACGGACTAAATAGAATTTCGTTTACTGTACCCCGTCATCACGCCTATTCCACTTTTTAAATTTACATAACATATTAAAGTTGATATTGGTATATTCACCGATGAGCCCTTTCCCTATATCCAATGCTGGCGCAGCGAGGGGCAGATGCAGGGCTGCCATCACCTCGCCCACGGCCTGCGCAGCGGTCTCCGGGCTGCGCAACATGGCCTTTTGTAACGCCGGCACCAGAGTATCACATACCTGGCAACATATATACATATATATAGCACACATCATCTTCATCAGCCTATTAATGTCCCCAAGGCTGGGGCACAGGCCTTCCCTATGGATGGAATAGGGAGATTGTATTCCATATGGATGGAAAAAAGAAACAAGCACCCAAAGAGGGGCAAAAATAATATAAAAAAAAGAAAGAATAGAATGAAAAAGGAAGATTGCAGATGGAGCCAGGACCAGCGGCTTAACGTGCCTTCCGAAGCATGGAGGAACTCGAGATACGAGATTTTTGGTCACCCATCCAATGACCGACCACTGCGAAAGTTGCTTAACTTCAACGATCGTAGCCGAACGCGCTAACCAGCTGCGCCATCGAGCTCCTCTCCTCTATAATACACATGCATTCACGATATGTATCCCCCAAAAAGAGGAGCTCGACAGCGCAGGTGGTTATCGCGTTTGGCTTGCGATCGTGGAAGTTAAGCAACTTTTGTAATGGTCATTTTTTGGATGGGTGACCGAAAACTTAGTATCCAGCTCCTGCGTGGTTCGGAAAGCATGTTAAGCCGTTAGCTCAATCTGCAGTTGTTAGCATACTTTAGCCTACCCTAACCTTTATATCCATAATCTCAACATTACTTAAATAATGTTCTAAATATTTGGCCCTTTTGTGTAATTCTGGTTCAACACGTGTGTTGTCCTCTCAAGAAAATTTTACAAAAAAAAACACGCGGACCAGACAGCAGGCGGGACTCGAACCCGGACCCACCGCTATCCGGGCGGATGCACTGACCATTATGCTACCGCGGCCCTTATGGTAAATGGTGGTAACGGTGGTAATAATGGTCAGTGCATCAGCTTGTCCGCGTGGATTTTTTTCTAGTTAAAAGTTCTTTAGATTTTAACATCTAGCAATAGCAAATAAATGCTTATGAAAATAATATATACATACATATATATATATATATATATATATATATACCGGCGGTCCCAGCGAACGTCGTACCACCATAAAAAATAGGGGTTAGTGGTAGAATGGTGAAAATTTAGGGTTGTATGTATTATTGTACTATGTATCATAAAAAAAACAAAAAAATTTGTCCAGAAAAAAATATTTTAAGGGTTGACTACCACCACCCTTAACATTAAGGGGGATGAGAAAAAAGATAATGTCCTCAGACCTACTGAATATGCATATAAAATTTCACGAAAATCGGTCGAGCCGTTTCGGAGTAGTTCAATTACGCACACCGTGACATGAGAATTTTATATACAGTAAAACCCGTTTAAGACGATTTCACAGGGACTCAATCTAAAACGCGTCTTAAGCGGGATTGGGGGTTTGGGAAATTTCGAATGTTGGTATTGAGGTATTAAATGTACAATATTTAAGAATTATGTATGTTATAAAAAAAAGTGTTTTATTATTACGTTTGTATTAAATTAATTAAAAATTAATCACTTATTTTAGTTTGACAAAAAGATTTTGAGGCATTAGTCATTACAAAATTTTCACATAAATTAACTTTTGAAGTGCGTCTTCGCTTTGATTCAAAGAAAATACATAGCATCTTAAATCATTACCTACTAATAATGCCTGGGCGTGTGACAAAATCGGAGTTGACTCATCTCCTTCTTGATCATTATCACTTAGGGCCTCTTTTTGTGTCATCACATTCTCTCAATAAGATCTTGAATTGACTAAATTTGGTATGGTGCCACATTGTTATCAATGGAAGAATATCCAGGAAAACCCAGGGGTTCGCTTAGCGTGCGTCGCTCGACGGTCGTCACGTCGCTGGCCGCTGCCGCAAGAGGTAATATGTGTTGTACGTGTTTGCAATTTAAGCGTATTAAACGGGATGACGAATCGTATTAAGCGTGATCGTATTAAACGGGTTCTACTGTATTAGAATATATATATATATATATGTCTTACCTCTTTTTCGTCTAGAGTGTGTAAAAGCTCGGCGCATCCACGGATGTAATTGGCGTTTGGTCGACTTTTTACATTGATTAAGCTCTTTGTAAAACATTCCAGCATTTTTGCCTGCAAAAAGAAAAGGTATTCTATTTAAGGATATCTTTATTGAGCTTCCTATAATACGCCTTACAATTCCTATGTTACGCCAAAAAAGTGCGACGCATTTAAAACCTTGTTAAGGTAAAGGAGGTGGTTCGAAAGTCGTAGTCGGTTTCCGGCAGTGACGAAACATCTATTATTTAAAAGCTTGTTTTATATTATAACATGAACAATAGTACTTTTTATTTATCTCGGATTAATTTCAAATCGTGTTTCATATTTTTTTAAGGATGCTGGCCACCACGGGGTTTTACTTATAGTACCTATAAAATAGGATGATACATACATAGCTGACAGTAGATATTAAAGTACTTTGCACACCGATTCGTTAGTTCTTATTCCATTATTCTGTAAGTATGAAACAGTCTCGTTTCTATTACTCTCTAAGTTTTAAGATTACAACTGAATTATTTTTCCCGCGTCCGCCGGCTGCGACACCAGCGCCTCCACCCACTTGCCCCCCGGCCCGCCCCGATGGCGCCCCTTCTCATGACACGCACCTTGTGTGCAGTCAGCGTGCCTTCCTCGCCCCGCTGCCTGCAGTGTCGACACAGTGCGGACAGCGCCACGCACACGTGCGGGCCCGCGTCCGCCGGCTGCGACACCAGCGCCTCCACCCACTTGCCCCCCGGCCCGCCCCGATGGCGCCCCTTCTCATGACACGCACCTTGTGTGCAGTCAGCGTGCCTTCCTCGCCCCGCTGCCTGCAGTGTCGACACAGTGCGGACAGCGCCACGCACACGTGCGGGCCCGCGTCCGCCGGCTGCGACACCAGCGCCTCCACCCACTTGCCCCCCGGCCCGCCCCGATGGCGCCCCTTCTCATGACACGCACCTTGTGTGCAGTCAGCGTGCCTTCCTCGCCCCGCTGCCTGCAGTGTCGACACAGTGCGGACAGCGCCACGCACACGTGCGGGCCCGCGTCCGCCGGCTGCGACACCAGCGCCTCCACCCACTTGCCCCCCGGCCCGCCCCGATGGCGCCCCTTCTCATGACACGTACCTTGTGTGCAGTCAGCGTGCCTTCCTCGCCCCGCTGCCTGCAGTGTCGACACAGTGCGGACAGCGCCACGCACACGTGCGGACAGCGCCACGCACACGTGCGGGCCCGCGTCCGCCGGCTGCGACACCAGCGCCTCCACCCACTTGCCCCCCGGCCCGCCCCGATGGCGCCCCTTCTCATGACACGCACCTTGTGTGCAGTCAGCGTGCCTTCCTCGCCCCGCTGCCTGCAGTGTCGACACAGTGCGGACAGCGCCACGCACACGTGCGGGCCCGCGTCCGCCGGCTGCGACACCAGCGCCTCCACCCACTTGCCCCCCGGCCCGCCCCGATGGCGCCCCTTCTCATGACACGCACCTTGTGTGCAGTCAGCGTGCCTTCCTCGCCCCGCTGCCTGCAGTGTCGACACAGTGCGGACAGCGCCACGCACACGTGCGGACAGCGCCACGCACACGTGCGGGCCCGCGTCCGCCGGCTGCGACACCAGCGCCTCCACCCACTTGCCCCCCGGCCCGCCCCGATGGCGCCCCTTCTCATGACACGCACCTTGTGTGCAGTCAGCGTGCCTTCCTCGCCCCGCTGCCTGCAGTGTCGACACAGTGCGGACAGCGCCACGCACACGTGCGGGCCCGCGTCCGCCGGCTGCGACACCAGCGCCTCCACCCACTTGCCCCCCGGCCCGCCCCGATGGCGCCCCTTCTCATGACACGCACCTTGTGTGCAGTCAGCGTGCCTTCCTCGCCCCGCTGCCTGCAGTGTCGACACAGTGCGGACAGCGCCACGCACACGTGCGGGCCCGCGTCCGCCGGCTGCGACACCAGCGCCTCCACCCACTTGCCCCCCGGCCCGCCCCGATGGCGCCCCTTCTCATGACACGTACCTTGTGTGCAGTCAGCGTGCCTTCCTCGCCCCGCTGCCTGCAGTGTCGACACAGTGCGGACAGCGCCACGCACACGTGCGGGCCCGCGTCCGCCGGCTGCGACACCAGCGCCTCCACCCACTTGCCCAGACGGTCCGCCCCGATAGCACTCCATGAAGTGTGAAGCTTCACAAACAATTATAGTTGCTTATTACCTTAGGAACACATTTTATATAAAAAATAGTTATTTATTATACAAGAGTGGAAAGTTCCTTTTTAACCGCGTGCTCGATTTGGATGACCGAGCAAGCGAAGGATTCTAAAGTTGAATCACGAGCGCAGCGAGTGATTCTAAATTAGAATCCTGAGCGTCAGCGAGGGAAACAAACGAGCACAAGATGAAAAATCTTTCCACTCGAGTGCAATACGTAACTTTTCATCCCACCTCAGCGAGGAAATGACAAAATGAAAAAGAAAACAATTTATAATGACAAAATATTTAAGCAATAAAACGTGAAAAACTAGAATGGCGCGAAGCACGCAAATAAAACAAAGAAACCAAGAAGGTTCCAAATTTAAATTTTTTCACAATTTAAAAAGTTCTAATCATAAATTTGGCACCATAGAGGTTACATTAAATAGGTTTAATGACGTTTTGAATTTACAATTATATTGAGTACTCATTATATGTGATGTTCTAAATTCAAATCTACTTTGCCGCTCAAGCGAATAAAATAGAATTTTCCAGCCAGATTTCGAAGCGCAAAATTACACTTTCCGAGGTGGTGGGATGAAAAATATATTTAAGTTAGCCATTCACATGGCTATTCCAATTTGTTGTCTTACATGGGGGATAAAAAAAGACTTACTGCTGTCACATTTGCAAGTAGAAATATGATATAGACATGAAAAGTGCCAGCATTAAAAAAAATGGTTGCCTGTAAAGTCGGTTTTACGGGCGAAGATTTTACGTGACAACGTCTTTTTCTCGGTAGAATATTTATTGATATGAATATAATTAAATTGCACAATAGGAACAAGGAATTGAATGAAAATAAGAATTGCACAAATTTTAACTATAGAAATATATTTTGTTTAGTAAAACATTGTACATGTAAACTTAAACTTAACACGAGAGACTCATCGTAACGTTACCGAGCGTTACACTTTTTCATAAGTGACTCCCAGCCGCAACCTAATTTAAGACGTTGTCACGTCAAAATGAATTTTATAATACTGGTACCGGCAATTTCTTTTTTGTGATCAAAGATTATAATTATCTTTTATAACATAATAAAAATATGTTATCGACCAAAAAATCAGTACAGTAAGCTTTCTACAGTAAGCTTTTCAGGGGGGAGGGGCGGCTGATGTGAGCCCAAGTGTACGTTGTTGGGCAATTCACGTCTACCGTCAAGTGTCACTCTTACGTCCACGTCGTTCACCCCGGTAATACTTGGATCTGCTAACAGGCAACGTACACTAACACCTACCCTGGGATCCTCGTAGCTGAATTTAGTGATGCTATCCCACTGATGCACTCCAACATCAAGGGAGACATTTCCCGTGACCCGCACTCCCTTCTCTCCAACTCCAATTAATCGTCAACCCCTCCCTCATCCTGAATCCTGTCACTCCTTAAGGCCGACCCTAACAAAGGCCTTCGGCTCTACCGGGAAAATGGGAGGCGGCCCGGTAGACTATTAGCCTCTCCTGCGCTATGGCCTGCGCAGTTGAGCGCCGTAAGGGGGGATGAAGGAGTCCTGGAGGGTTGAGTGAAGCGAGGTCGGCGGTAGTACCTTCGCGACACAACACGCCCTCTTTGGTCCGGATTTCAACCGAAACGGTAGCCTCTTTGGGTAGCGCCAGAGAGGAAACGGTCACGCGTCCCGTCAGAGGGCCGCAGCGAGGAGTGGAGGGGTCCGGGGCGGCTTGCCGTTCTGGATGGTTAGGGTCATGCTGACGAGGCAAGGGTGTGTGGAACAACTGGGGTACTCTGAACCGGTAAACCAGCCACACATTTCGAGCTTCCGATGTCGCACCTGACACCAACTCTCTGCTCCTATATCCAGTCGGTAATCCTAGTGCACCACTATGGGCACTCCCAAATGTGCGGGCTCCAAGGAGGGTGGGAAGCTGACTGGATGAAGATTAAACACACGAACTATGGACACCAACAGGTTCAACGTTCCGCCAACACCCGATGGGAAACCAGAGGGCAATGCTACTCGCATGCAGACCGAGAAATCGGAATGCGTGCTTGAGAAAAGCACCACCACACCTCAAATTGAGGACACCCTACATCTGCTAGAGCAGAACTGGACGGTCGTGACCAGGAAAGGAGCTAGGAAGGTAGAGGAAACTCAGACCCCTGCACCATCCGGTCAGACCTCGAGGCGTTTGGAGAAGCAGAGGGAGCGGACGCGAAGGAGACGGCAGCTCAAACGGGCCGCCCGTTTGACGGCCTCTGCTAGCGACCGTATTGCCCAGTCAGAAGACAAGGGCTCTGGAACTCCAGGGGGAGCGAAAGGCAGCCAGCTGCCCAAGCAACCCCAGGTGATGCCGGGCCCGAGTCGGAAGCTGGACCGCCCAAAGCAGAAGGGGAAAGGACCCGCGAAGACGAAGTCTGGGGCCAAGCGGGCTAGGCTCGATGAGACAGTGTCTCCTCGAGGCGAATCCAAACGGCCTAAGACGACGGCGACCGAGACCGCCCCAAAATCCTACGCAGCTGCAGCGGCCTCCTCGGCTCTCATCAGGTGCGCCGTTACGTCGAAGACCGGGTTTATCTCGAGACCGACGGCGGAGCAAATTGAGGAGAAGCTCGAGGAAGCCTTTTTACAGGCAGCGATGAGCACGGAGCGTCCGGCCTGTATGAGGGAGGGTCTTGCATTTAGCGGGAAACCCCTCTACGCGGACGGGTGCCTTCGCTTCACTTGCACCAACACCGCAACGTTTGGGTGGTTCCAACAGGTGGTACGAGACCTCCACGACTCGGACCTGGGAGAGCTTGTTGTCCTCCGGGACGACGAGATCCCCAAGAGAGTCAGGTGTGGTTTTGTGCTGCCTAAGCTCTGGAAACACGATCAGGCGTTGCTAGGCAAATGCCTACAGATCGGGAATCCAGACCTGACACCCGAACGTTGGCTGCTTAACGGCATCCAACAGCAGCCTTCCATCGGGGCCACATTCGTTGTGGTTTCGATCCCTGAGGACGTTGTGCCTGCGATCCTGGCTAGGGGACGCCGACTCAGCTTTATGTTTGGGTCGGTGTACCTGAAGTTCAGGGACGCCAAGGGGAAGTACGTCGACACTCTGCCGACGTCCAACCCCTCAGCACCACTCGGGGCTCAAACCACAGCGAAACCTACACCAGCGCCCCCAACACCATCCACATCCAGCGCTGGCCCCACGGACGCCGTTGTTCTACGTGCCTCGTCACCGGCTGTCGAAATTCCGGGACCCTCGCAGGTGGCGTCTTCGCCGCTCAGTGAGGAGTGTCTCCTGGAGCTCGACGGGCTGGGACTTGAGGACGTCGACTGCCAGGACGATGGCGTCCCTCTGCAGTAGTGCAAACATACTGCAAATAAATCTCCACCACAGCGTAACCGCTACGGCTCAGCTTCGGCGGTGGTTGGAGACCAACAACACAGCAGTCGCACTAATCCAGGAGCCGTGGATTAGGAGTGGCACGGTGCGAGGACTCTCCAGTATAGGAGGTAAGCTCGTTCAAGCCACTACTAGCGACGTAAGGTCCTGCATATACATTTCCAAAAACATCAGAACACAGCCCTTAATGAATTTCTGTTCCAGAGATCTCTGCGCTGTAAAACTGACCCTAAACCAAGATAATAACAGTTGTGACGTGATCATAGCCTCTGCATATATGCCTGACAGCGAGCGGGCCCCACCAGAAAACGTTGCGTCTCTGGTCCGCTTCTGTGCTCGGGAAAACGTAGAACTGATCATCGCGACAGACTCCAATGCCCATCACCCTGTGTGGGGAATGGAACAAAGCAACAACAGAGGTAACCAATTATTTGAATTCCTTCTGACTACTAACCTAGAGTTAATCAACACAGGCAATGAACCTACCTTCGTAGGCAGACGGTGCAAGACCATCATAGACCTGACCCTCGCGACACCAAGAGCGGCAACAGCTATATCTGGCTGGCATGTCTCCAATGAGGCATCATGCTCAGATCACCGCTGGATCCGTTTTACACTACAGGTAGGAACTCTACCTCCTACACCCCAAAGGTACCCTCGGAAAACCGATAAACACCGCTACGCACAACTACTGGCGGACCTTCTAAGAAACAACTCCGGTAAGGGCAGAATTGAAACCACGGAGCAGCTAGAACAACAGGTAAAACACTTGACGGACAGCATAACGCGTTGCTACGAAGAGGCCTGCCCCCTTAGACTCCCGAACTCGAGAGTATCCGGAAAACACCACTGGTGGGGGCCGGAGCTCGAGAGATTGAGAGGAAAGGTGAGGAAGTGCCTTAACAGAGCAATGAATACATGCAGCGACACAGACTGGGACAACTACAAAGCTACCAAAGCTAAGTACAAAAAACGTATTAGATACTGGAGAACAGCCTCCTGGAGGAACTTCACCGAGGAGATAAGCTCCACCAACCAGGCAAACCGGGTAAGGAAATTGCTGGCCAAGCAAGGCCCTGGCGTGCTGGGAAGCCTGCGTCGACCTGACGGCACATTGTCCCACAATCGTGCTGACTGCGACGCTATCCTCCTAGAAACCCACTTTCCGGACTGCCAGCTTACAGAGCAGGTGACTTGGCCAGATGAACCTCCAAGTACAACAGAAGGATGCTGGAGACTAGCAGAGACGGTAATTACGCCTGAGGGAGTAAAGTGGGCTATCAACTGCTTTGCGCCTTTCAAATCTGCTGGCTCTGACGGCATCTTTCCAGCACTACTACAATGGGGCGGACAGGACGTGGTCGATGCGGCTACTCGTATACTAAGATCATGTCTGGCTCATCGGTACACTCCACATCTGTGGAGGGAGGTCAAGGTAGTATTCATACCCAAACCGGGTAAAACCGACTATACTAACCCTAAATCCTTCAGGCCCATTAGCCTAACAACCTTCTTACTTAAGACAATGGAAAGGCTATGTGACAGATACCTACGCAGTGGAGCATTAATCAATGCCCCACTACACAAACATCAACATGCCTACAGTTCAGGTAAATCTACTGAATCGGCTCTCCATCAGTTAGTCGGTAAGATAGAAGAAGCCCTTCAAAATAAACTTATCTGCCTCGGAACCTTCATCGATATAGAGGGTGCTTTCGATAAGACCAACTTCACCAGCATTGAATCTGCCCTCAGGAGACACGGAGTAGAGCAACAAATCATTGACTGGACAGTTAACATGCTTCGCAATAGAATAGTTCGGGTAAAAGGTGATGACAGCAGAGGAGCACTGGTGGCACGAGGATGTCCGCAAGGAGGGGTCCTTTCGCCACTTCTGTGGAACCTCGTAGTTGACGACCTGCTGACCAAGCTAAACTCGAACCACTACTACACCATAGGGTATGCAGATGACATTACTATACTTACCCTAGGCACCCACGCCAGCATTACCTGTAACACCATGCAAGGTGCTCTGAAAATGATTGAATGCTGGTGCAGGAAATACGACCTCGCAGTTAATCCAACAAAAACAGAGCTGGTAATGTTTACAACCAAACGTGACGTAGGTGCTTTCAACTTGCCGAAGCTGTTTGGTATCACACTACAACTGTCGAAGGAGGTAAAGTATCTAGGCCTTATACTTGACAGTAAGCTAAACTGGAGTAACCATGTGGAACACAAAATCAAGACAGCCAGCGTAACACTTTGGCAATGTCGTCAAATGTTAGGGAAGCGCTGGGGTCTTGCACCAAAACTGTTCCTATGGTTATACTACACAGTCATACGACCAATGGTAAGTTATGGCGCCATCATATGGTGGCCGAGATCTATCCAGACTACTTGTGTCAACAAACTACAAAGCTTCCAGCGGCAGATATGCAGCGCGGTGACCGGGTGCATGAGTACAGCTCCAACCGCAGCACTGGAAGTTATTTTAAACATCACACCGCTCCATATCTACATAAGACAGGAAGCGGCTAAAACAGCGTTGAGACTACAAAAGTTTGGACTGGTAAGGTTCGAAAGAGCAAAGCATCTCAACGGTATACTGAAGGAATGGGTAAACACTCCGCTCATAGATGCTGCATGTGACAAAATAATACCCGCCTTCATATTTGACAAAAAGTATAGAATACATCTACTGGATGACAACGATCCAAAGGTAACACACAAGGCTCTCATGATCTACACCGACGGCTCTAAAACCTCATCGAGCACGGGCGCGGGTGTTTTCTCTGAGGACCTCAACATACACATCGCGTTCCCCTTAAGCCCATACAACACAGTGTTCCAAGCTGAATGTATGGGCATCACACTGGCGGCAACAGCGATCCTTTCAAGAAAGGTAACAGGTCAGGAAATACGAATACTGTCCGACAGTAAATCAGTCCTACAAGCTCTAGATGCCTGCTTAGTCAGATCGAGCCTCCTACAGGAATGCCACCAAACCTTAAACAAGGTAGGGTCAAGCAATTCCATCACCATCCAATGGATCAAGGGACACAGTGGATCACGCGGAAACGACGCTGCGGATGAGCTGGCCCGGAAGGGATCTGACACGACCCCAACAGGTCCTGAACCAATCGTCCCAATACCGGTAAGCTGTCTCGTCAATAAAATCCGCGAGCACACTGCCGAACTACACCAACAATACTGGCTCGACCTGGAGACGTGCAGGCAGACCAAGCTCGCTTTGCCACGGGTGAACGCTGCCTTCTCCAAAACTCTCCTACAGCTAAGCAAACCTACATTGCGCATGGTAACGGGTGCTATCACTGGACATGCACATTTTAACAGACATCTTTTTAACTTAGGTGTCACGGACAGCCCCCTATGCAGAGGATGCATGGAGGCAGAAGAAACAGCTACTCACGTTCTGCTGGAATGCAACGGAGTGGCCGAATACCGGGCGAAATACCTCGGCTCACCGGGAAACCTTCAAGAGGCAGTCACCAATGTGAAGGCCCTGGGGGCGTTCCTGGGGGAGCTGGGCTGGCTGGAGTGATTCCGGCCATACACCCTCCTCACGCAAAACAGGCGCCATAAGGACGTCGAGTTGCGGAAACGCCCGTAGTAACAAGAAGAAGAAGAAGAAGAAGCTTTCTACACTAGTTATACAAATATAAAAAAATTATAAAGTCATCATATCAGTTGTAATTCTTTGCAATTAATCCTAATAGACGTAAATACAAATAAAAAAAAATACAAAAAGCGTGTGTGTGTGCTTGTGAGTAAAATAATGATTTGTGCATATTTCATACCACTGTATAAGCTTTCTCATTTTTCCTGTGATCGCCATAGGCAGTGACGGCGGCCAACAGGTTTGCTTGAGCAAGTACGAGTGCATTGTAGTCTACTCCATCTGCTTCCACGTTCTTCAGCGCACTTTCAGCCACCACCGTCGACCATCGGAGCACATATAATCCGCTCTGGCATATACTTTTGCTGTGAGAAATTAAAATTATTGAGTAAGATTACATTTAAATCTTAAGAATATTTTATTAAAAAAATGCATGAGGACCAATCTGCAGATGCAACTCGAACCTTACGCTATCCAGATAGATGAACTGACCATTATGCTACCGCGGCCCTAAGGGCCGTGTCGAATTTTCTCTAGTATTCCTTAGGCTGCAAGGCAATGCCATCTCTGTACATAGTAGGTAACTCATAATCACTGCGATAATCGCTAAGAAATACTTGAGAAAATTCGACACGGACATTAGGGACGCGGTAGCATAATGGTCAGTGCTTCCAGGCGGATAGCGGAGGGTGTGGTTTGTGGACCATTTGCTGCCGCGTCGAATTTTCTCTAGTATTTCTTGGCAATTATAAGATGTTTATTTTCTGCGCATTTTAGAGACCCCACACCAGTGTCTGCCAGCGCTAGCGTCACATCGCTGTTGCGCAACGTTGCCCGGACGCTGGCACGATGACGACGCCCGAAAGACGTTAGTTGAGGTCTGTCAATAGTTTTTATTACTCATTGCCAGTTTTTGAGTTCTGTTTTGTGACTGCTCATGCTATAAAGGTACAGTGTGTACAAAACAATGGAAAGCTGATAGAAATGGGATATTGCGTAAGTAAACAGCCAAAACTGTGCACACTAGCAGCAGAATTATCTGTCATTACTGACTTTGAACGATCATCAACTCACTGCTTAACAATCCCACATGAAACAAAATTAAAACTCCCTTTTATAAGGAGTTATACAAGAACCTTTTTTATTATGCACTAATACTTTGCTGTTTCTTTCATCTATCTGATTGTCAGAAAATTCCCTGATGAAATGTCTGTTGGCTTAGAGTTGTTAATCTCTAATAAGACCCATAGCTACACATCTATGTTATGGAAAGTGTTGTAATAATCTAGTCAGAGGCGGCGTAAGGCGTGGGCGACGTGGGCCACCGCCTACGGCCTCGCGGTACAAGAGGCCTCGCCCCTCAAAAATTTTTATGGATTGCTTAAAAGCGAATTTCTTTTTTTTTATTATTTCATAAAATCCGTCTCCAGGTCGCCATAGAACAGGGCCTCGCGAAATCTGTCTTGCCCACATCAAATTTAGGTCTTGCCCCGCCACTGAATCTAGTTCATATTGTTAACAAACATGTACTAGTACTTACGAGGTAGCTGTATTCCTGAGCTGTTCGGAGATGTCAAACAATACAGGCAACAAGTTTTTGAGTGTCCATTCACGGTGGTGGCTGGCTAGATACACTAGCAAGCCCTTTACATAGGACTGGGATGTTGAGTCACGATATCGATGGAGTGTCGATGCTACTACACGGCACACAAAACGCACTACTGCTTCGGTGATACCTGTCAATAAACATTATTTTGGTTTAACAAGAGTTATTTACAGCACTCTTTTATCATTAATCTTTTTAATTGTAATTTGATAAAGGATATGAAACAGAAGTGAGAAATAAGGTTTACTCCAGTCACATTTTCTTTGTAAAAGATATTTAGAAGTATGTACATGGATTATCTAATTAAGTTTTAACACTTCTTTGACTAGTGAATTAACATGTACAATAAACTAGTTGCCTATATTTTAAAAAGTAATTAATAATATACCTTGATTGACTTGTTTATTATACCCCAAATAACTTTTATTTTAAATAAAAAAGGACATTAGCAAAATGTATTTTGTATTTTAAAAACTTATTTAAATTTTAAAACCCTCAAGACTGTTGTGATGTCCTGGATGTATAAAGAAACAATACGCTGTATGTTGACTATTACAATGATTTAGTTAAAAATGAATCCATTATATTACAAGTACTATATAGTGTCCCAGTGTAAAAGCTAAAGCATAAATGCCAGAGAAATTATTTATATACATTTCAAACAATCCACAAATGCAGAAAAAATGGCTAGAACTTGCAAGGAGGGATGGTATTCATTGTTTATCAACAAACACAAGAATAGTGTTGTGAAGATCATTTTGATGTAAGTATTTTGCAAAACATAATCTATGAAATATAAATGTTACAAAGGCCAGATAAATTATATTGCATTACATTGATAAAACAATGGCAATAGGTTGAGGTTATGTAAGTTCATTTAGTGTTATGGTATGATTGAAAGTCTATTTGAAGGTTAAGTTTATTTGTTCAAAATAATTAACACTTCTTATTCGTGTTCTAGTTGCCAAATGCTATGCTTAATTATACCAAGTAGTTATGGAAATTATTTTTTATTTTGTGTATATTATTATTATTTCCTTTGGTAAATCTTGATTCCATGGCTATATTAGGCTTCCTTTCAATAATTATCTAAAAACAAACTGATAAATTGTATTAAAGTAACAATGACATGAATAACAAATTTATTTATTTATTATTTTATTTATTTATTATCATGTGACCTAATGCTTATTTTTTCCAATTTTTTTTTTTTTAAATTATAATAATCTTTAATTATTATGTTAAATAGCTTAATTTTTTGTTATCTGTATATTATCATTCATATTTAGCAACTGTTACCCATCCAATTTTTTGTTAGTGGACACAAGCCCTCTCAGAATCTACCTTGAAAGTTTATACATTATGAGAGTAAAACATTATTGAATACACTACCTGATGCATTTTATTTAATAATCTATTAAGGAAGTATTACCAATACAACTGATTAAATATCCACACCAATTTGCAATTTATGCTAATAAATAATTTTATATTAACCCCTCAGGTGATAGTTGTCATGGCGCCGTCTTACGTCAAAGTGATTACGTCATCCGTCAACCCCCCGCTGGGTGGGAACGATTGCATTGTTTTGCCGATTTCTCTTTTATTTCGTAAGAATACCCCACACAAACTATATATATTTGGATTCTTCATAAAATTTACTATAAAACAGTGTTTATACAATGCGTCATGTCTATAATCTATTTTAATTACGTTACGGTAAACTCGTGAAAGTTAAAAAAAGTCGTTTATATGGGTAAAATAGGGTATATTTTCAAAATTTGTAAATTTTTAAGTCCAGGTTTTTTGGTTATTTGCACATTCTATTATAACTTACCAGTTAAAATCATAAAATACCATACTCTGATAATTTAATTTTACACTATAGCTCTGACAACCACGTGCTCATTGTGTAAACAAAGACGCGTCACAAAAAAACAGGCGTCGGGTTTCGCCTCGGCGATAAGCGCAGACGGGCGGCCTGAGTGCCATGATTTATGGGTTTACGGTTAGCTAAGATTGTAAACATCACTTTAGAAACAAGTGTGGCATGAATAGTACTTTGTTTTTTTATAGTTCTAAGAACTTACAACAAGGCATTTTAAAATCGCCTACAAAGCAGTCATCTCAGTTTTATGTCGATAAAACGAAAAGTATTTACAATTTTGATAAACAGTTTCTTTTTTCAAAATGTACATTAAATTTGCTTTAGAATAAACAAAAACTAATCACTAGTTCGCATACAAGAAAATAATATGAAAAAATATTTCGTTCGAATATTTGAATTTAGAACGACCGTTACACTGCGCGGCTTTTGTTTTTTTTTATTTCTTCAAAAATACTAACGCAAGAGATTCTCTGTATTCGAAATATTAATCATGGATAATGTATTCAATAATTATAAATTAAAACATTACAATTATTATCGAAATTATCACCATGAAAACATAAGACACAAACCCTTTTTTTTATTGTTTTTTTTTTACGAGGGATGTAACAAAAAAATTATAAAAAAAAAAACACGTAAACCCGCACACGAAACATCAAAATAGAGTAACTTAATGTATTTAACTTGCCCAGAGATGGTGTTTTTTTAAAAAAAAACCACTGAAAAACACTTTAAATAGTCTGAATACACGGCATATTTTTTTTCATACAAAAAACGGCGAACGACGAACTTCCACAGACAACAGTATAAATATTTCATATGGCAGTTGACTTAATCAATGGCTAGATAGCTAGCCTGTTCTTTCCTCTACAAATTGATATAAGCATGTAGGTGATAGCAATAAGAAGGAATATTTTAATTGCCACTGATTACGTAGAGTCGCGCGATGCCGACTTTCGGCATGTTATCACTTGACGGTTTATTGACAGATGCCGACTTTCGGCATGTTATCACTCGAGGGGTTAATGAAAGATGTGTGCCCAAGTGTGATAATGTACACGTTTCAAACAAAATAACTTAAATCCCTTAGATAAAGGTGATTTCACTTAAGAACAAGTTTAAAGTTAATAGACAAAGGTATGATAAATTTTCTTTACAAAAAATTAACAGACTAGTAATAATTTATCAAATAGGTAATTCTATCGAAAACGAATTTATTAGCATAGAGTAAAACATTATTGAATACACTACCTGATGCATTTTATTTAATAATCTATTAAGGAAGTATTACCAATACAACTGATTAAATATCCACACCAATTTGCAATTTATGCTAATAAATAATTTTATATTAATGAAAGATGTGTGCCCAAGTGTGATAATGTACACGTTTCAAACAAAATAACTTAAATCCCTTAGATAAAGGTGATTTCACTTAAGAACAAGTTTAAAGTTAATAGACAAAGGTATGATAAATTTTCTTTACAAAAAATTAACAGACTAGTAATAATTTATCAAATAGGTAATTCTATCGAAAACGAATTTATTAGCATGTAATTATTAAAAAATGTTACGCAAAAGTTGCACAATGAAAGAAAAAAGTGAGAAATTCGTTTTTTAAATTTTCAAAAATATAAAGTTCATTGACCCATGGTCCATGCATCTTTACTCAATATTCGTACGATCGTTACAGCTAGTGCACCTGGCAAAACAAATCTGGGATGGATCAATAAAGCTAGACCAACCCACCCCCTACCTAGGGTTATAGTATAGCATTTATAACTGAAATTTACAAACTTATAACACATATACAAACATATTGATCCTAAATTAAATCTAAAATGTTTTGCCATACCTGGTGTTGATAAAACATCCTGAATTTCTTCGATAACTGCACGTCTTTCTTTCAAACTAGCGGTCTGTATTTTGAATGGAATATCCTTTAATTTTTTAAGAACCTGCAAAGGAATTGGACAACAGTTATAATAACACAGTAAACGCAATTATATTTCGAAGTTAATCAGTTTTATTACCTCTGAATCTGCCATTTTTCAGTCATTCAGGATAATTTTTCCAAAAGCACACGTCTTTTGCAAATCGGAAAACAGAGTAAAAGGAAATTTTGACATTGACAGCAATGTGGATCTGAGAAAGAGATGTCAATTTTTGACGTGACAACGTCTTAAATTAGGTTGCGGCTGGGAGTCACTTATGAAAAAGTGTAACGCTCGGTAACGTTACGATGAGTCTCTCGTGTTAAGTTTAAGTTTACATGTACAATGTTTTAGTAAACAAAATATATTTCTATAGTTAAAATTTGTGCAATTCTTATTTTCATTCAATTCCTTGTTCCTATTGTGCAATTTAATTATATTCATATCAATAAATATTCTACCGAGAAAAAGACGTTGTCACGTAAAATCTTCGCCCGTAAAACCGACTTTACAGGCAACCATTTTTTTTTGTTTTTGTATAATTCCACTTAGTAGGCACATGATATAAGCCTATAAAGTCTCATATGGTAAGCATAGTAGAAAAATCCATTCAAATCCAAGCTTGTTATAATGCGGCCACGGGAAAAATGTGTTGTCCTCGTGATATCCAATGTATTTCCAGATTAACACTGTGATAGATTCCTTATATAAGCATTTGTAAATTAAAGTGAATATGCTTGTAAGGGACCGGTCCCTTACAAGCATATTCGTTACCATTACATTCACATAAAATAGTTTTAAAATTAACATTAAAGTTAAAAACATATTTACGTGTCGTTGCGTGTCGTGACGCGCCAGAAGTACATTGGTTTAATATGGGTTAAATACATTAGAGGCATATTACACGCACGCCCTACAAATATGTCTATCTATTTATACTATATATTAATATAATAAAGAGGAAAGGTTTGTATGTAAGTATGTTTGTAATGAATAGGCTCAAAAAGTGCTGTACCGATATTAAAAATTCTTCCGCCATTTGAATGCTACATATTATCACTGATTAATATAGGCTATAGTGTATTTTCAAAAAAGTTAGGGAAGGAAACTCAAACACGTATTCCGAATATACAAACTAGAAACATGTGGATAAATATTATAAATATGAATACCTATAACTGTTACTTTATTATAGTGATGTTACGGTCTTGAATTTTGACAAACCGGATTTGATCGGTTAGTAATACATGCAAATCGGTTTCAGAACCGAACCGCCAAATTTTCAGTAAACCGCGGTTTGAACCGGTTTGAACCGTTTGACGAGTTGACGAATGAAACTTACGAAACAACAGGTGCTATTTTTTTTAATTCTACATATTTTGTTGATATTACATCGTGCAAAAATTTAAAGGTAATTGAAAAATAACAATTAAAATATGGAAACAAATAATAATAATCAGAATTAAAAATGTCAAAATAAACAAATATCTATGTAATACCGTGTTTAAAAAATTACAAAAAAATATGTAAACTCTATTAATTACATAAAACCGTACTTCTTAACTTTGAGAATAAAATACAATTTTAATAATCAACAATATAATAAACACGTAACTTATTTTTGTAAAATCATTTGAGTCGTAGAAACTTAATTTGGTACAAACAACTTAATTAAAAAGTTTTCTTACAACTGTTTAGGAATAATATTTGGTCTATTTTTTTAGAAGCTGGGCAATTACGTCGCATATTACATAATAATGAAAACAAAATTACACCGTCAAGTCAGTCAAATCTACCAGAGTCCGTTTCATTTCGGTTCGGTCGGTAAGTCGGTTATGGCTGTTGTATTTAAATTGACGATGCGCGCTAACCGTATCCGCTGCTGTAAGTCGGTTCGTATTGGTCGGTCAAGTTTTATTAGGTTCGGTAAAGCACGTCAGGAGCCGCACGTGATTTGTGGATGGCGGCATAAACAAGAATTGACGGGCGCGCATGCGCGCAGCGCGATACGAACGATTGCCACGGTAGAACCGGTTTACGAAGACGTTAACCGATTCAACTCGGTCCATGCTCAAACCGGTTTGAACCGGTCTACTTTATTACAAAAAATAAAGATGTGATTTTTGGTTCTACTACACCAATGGTCAAGAGATGGCGCTGTAGTCTCCTGAATTGCGCTTTGGTTCCGTTGTTCCAGATTAATAAATACTTTTGATATTGTAAATATGAATTCCTATAACTGTTACTTTATTACAAAAAATAAAGATGTGGTTTTTGGTTCTACTACACCAATGGTCAAGAGATGGCGCTGTAGCCTCCTGAATCGCGCTTTCGTTCCATTGTTCCAGATTAATAAATACTTTTGATATGAAATGAAATGAAATGAAATGAAAAGTCATTTATTCAGTCTAGGCTGTTACAAGCACTTGTGAAGGTCAAGAAGCTACGCCATCGGTTCGCAAAACTACGGCGGGAGACCTTGTACTGAGAAGAACCGGCAAGAAACTCAGCAAGGGCTGCTTTTTTCTCCCTGTATTGATATATACAGAGTCGTCAAGTTGAAAAATGATTTCAGAGATACATCTGAAGTCACCTTCCATTACATTATTAAGGATATAGATATATAGTTACAATAAATTTTATATTTAGTATATAGGAAGCGGCATTAGATAGGTACCATATTACTGTTTCAAAAACTGACTCATACCCATCAAATAACAAATTACAAGAAACACTATGTCCATGCATTTCGATCATTTAGATAATCATTAACTTTATAATAGCCCTTATTCATAAGAGTATTCTTAATCTGAGATTTAAATTTGGTTAGTGGAAGCTCAATCAGATCTTGGGGAACTTTGTTAAACAATGCAATACTACATCCCAGAAATGAACCTCTTGATTTTTGGAGTCTGAAACATGGAACGGCAAGTTTGTTATTATATCTCGTGTTAAAGTTATGGGTTTGACTTTTTTTTGAAAATGCGTCATAGTTTTTTCTTACATATACTAAATTTTCATAAATGTATTGCGATGCCAGTGTTAAAATATTAATTTCTTTAAATTTTTCTCTAAGAGATTCTCTTGCCTTTAAATTATATATGGCGCGAACAGCTCTCTTTTGCAGTACGAAAATACTTTCTATATTAGCAGCTGAGCCCCACAACAAAAGGCCATATGACATAACGCTATGAAAGTAACCAAAGTAAACCAATCTTGCCGTTTCCACATCAGTTAGAAGTCTTATTTTTTTAACAGCAAAAGCCGCAGAGCTCAGTCTACTTGATAAGGCATCAATATGAGGATCCCATTGCAAATGCGAGTCTAAAGTAATACCCAGAAACTTTGTAGAATCCACTAACTCTACAGGCTGGTCATTTATTTTTAAACTAGTATTAACCTGCCTCACATTAGGTAAAGTAAACTTAACACATTTTGTTTTACTAGAGTTTAGTTTTAAATTATTTACCGTAAACCAGTGAAGGACTTCAGAGAGAGCACAATTTACTTCGTCATAACAATCATTTCCTCTCCTAGCTTTAAACACTAAAGAGGTGTCATCAGCAAATAGTACTGTCTCACACAAATCTCTTGTAAAGTGAGGAAGGTCATTAATATAAATAAGGAAAAGCAATGGGCCCAATATTGAACCCTGGGGCACGCCCATAGAAATGGGTGCTCCTGTAGACTCAGCTTGATTTATAACCACTTTCTGAATCCTAGCAGAAAGATAAGACTGTATCAGACTTAGTGAAATATTTGATACACCATAATGCTTCATTTTATTTAACAATGTTTCATGGCTAACGCAGTCAAATGCCTTAGATAAATCGCAAAAAATGCCAATAGCATCGTGCTTACTCTCCCATATATCAAAGATGTGTTTGAGAAGTGCAGTTCCAGCATCAGTAGTACTTTTGCCTCTAGTGAAACCAAACTGTTTTAAATGAAATAGCTTATTTATAGAAAAGTGTGCTAGTAATTGGTTATAAATTATTTTCTCAAATACTTTACTTAGCACTGGTAATACAGATATAGGCCTAAAATTGCTGGGATCTGATTTCTCACCAGCCTTAAAGAGAGGGATAACTTTAGCACATTTCATTAGATCTGGAAACACTCCCTCATCAATACATTTGTTAAATATAATGGCCAGTTGTGGCGCAATGACAGTGATAATCGGTTTTATTATATATGTTGATATTCCCCAATAATCCTCTGTCTTTTTAATTTTAATTGAATTAAAAGTTTTTATAATACAATCACTACTGATATGTCTAAAATGAAAATCATTACTGCACTTATCAACACTTGACTCAAGGAGGGTCATTGCTAACCTAGAACAAGAATTAAGATTTCTAGTTGTTTCAAATGGTGCACTAGAAAAGAAATTTTGAAAAGTGTTTGCAACGGCATCATCTGTCCTAATAATCTTATTGTCTATTTTTAAAGAATATGTATGTTCATTAAATTTATTTCTTCCAGTTTCATTATTAATTATATTCCAAGTTGTCTTTATTTTATTATCGGAAAGACTAATTTTTTTAGATAAAAACTTAGACTTTGCTATGGCACACACCTTTTTAAAAGTTTTTGAATAGTTTTTGACATATTCTATAAACTTAGGATCAGATGAGGTTGCCTTGAGAGCATATAATTGATACAACTTATTTCTACTTTTGTAAATACCCGGTGTGGCCCAATCACTAAATTTCTTTTTAGAGCTATGGCATTTAATTAATTTGCGTTTAAATATTTTATTGAATTCATCTTTAATTAAATTGAATAAATCTTCATACAAAATATTATTATTATTACAAACTGGTAAGTTCGATATTTTGTGATAAACGTTATCTTGAAATGATGGTGTTCAATAGAGGCTAATTGTCCACTATGATCAGAATTAATACAATTTATTATTGATTTATTAAAAACATTTCTATTACAAAAAATATTATCCAAACAGGTTGCTGATGCATGTGTGATGCGGGTAGGCTCAAAGAAGGTATGCTTCAAGTTATATGATCTAAATAAGTTTAGAAACCTACTCACTAATGGACACTTAACTAAAATGTTTATATTAAAATCACCACACACAACAACCACTTTATTACATTTACATACTATATTGAAAGTGTCTTCCATAGCGGACTCAAATTGAGTGTAATTCCCAGATGGGGGTCGATATACACATATTATGATCATTTCTTCCAGTTCCACGCAAGATAGTTCAACATTACGTTCAACTGAAAGTGAAACAATATCTGCACGTTCTTTGTATTTAAGATTATTCTGTAAGATTATGAGAGAGCCTCCCCTGATAGCCGATTTCCTACAAAAACTACTAACAACTGTATAATTATCTAAGCCTGTAACTAATTCATAATTTCTGAGCCAGTGCTCTGTAATACATAAAATGTTTATATTCATTGTATTTAAAAATAAGCATAGTTCTAAGTCTTTACCAGAAAAGCCTTGTATATTTTGGTGAACAATATTTAGAAATTTAGACTTTTCCTTGGTCTTGATATAGCTAGAGAGCTCCTCTGTTGTCTTACGAACTAATTTAAATTACAATTAATGTCAGTATTTGGAACAAATTCCAAAGTCTGATCCACATAATTATGTTGCTCAATAGAAGCAGTAGTGTTAGCCAAGTTTTTGGCTATGTGTGTAAAATAAAATAATAGCGAAGAAGCTATTTGTCTCTTATGGTAATATGAAAGATAATATTTATCTCTTGTCATTTTAAAATTATATATTAATTTATTTATATCAATTAAATGTACTTTTTGACCACTATACTGAGACATGGTACTTAATGTCAAATTTAGCCTGTACCTAATATTATTTTCTTCACTTGATAGACTCTTACTATAAGGAAATGTATACATAACTATTCTATTTACATTTAGAGAACACAAAGAGTTATAGTAAGTCATAATGTCATTTTTGCCAACATTACCTCTATTACCAATTAAAATAATTAAACTTGTATTTTTGTCAAGTTCAAGAGTTAATATTTTCTTCATTAATTGGTGCATTGTGACACCTGGCAAACAATAATTAATTGTATTTTCACCCAGCTGTTTTTGTAGTAGGCCTTCACAATGCAGTCGTTAGCACCCACTAAATAGAGATTCTATTTCTATTTTGTCGCTAAAGCGACCAACTTCATGCTGTTAAAATTTTGTGTTACAGTGATGCGCGCGCATCTTAAAATTTCACTCTCATCATATTTTCATAACGCGCCTAAAGAAGTATAACTTCAAAAACAAAAAAAAAATGTCCAAAAAAAAAATTTAAGGACCACCCTTAACATTTAGCCGATTCTCAGACCTACTGAATATGCATATAAAATTTCACGAAAATCGGTCGAGCCGTTTCGAAGTAGTTCAATTACGCACACCGTGACACGAGAATTTTATATATTAGATGAAGAAAGTTATTGTGTATAATACAAGCCTTTGAACAAATACTATAGTCTACACTACAGCTCTACACCGAAGCAAAGCGAGGGTGGGCCACTAGTTTTTCATAATAGTACAACAGTGGTATCGATTCTGGCATGATTCTCTATTTTTAGGTAAATATTGGTGTCGATTCTGGCACGATTCTCTAAATCTAAACTTAAATTTGACAACAGTATCCTTGTTATTCTCTATACAGAATGGAAAGGAGAGACTGATGTTAAATCACGCCAGAATCGATACCAGTGGCATCGATTCTGACGTGATTCTCTAAACTTAAAACTAAACTTAACATCAGTCTCTCCTTTTTGTTCTGTATAGAGAATGACAAAGATGCACTGTTGTCAAATTTAAGTTTCGCTTCAGAGAATCATGTGAGAATCGACACGTTTTAATGCACTCCCTTATCAAGAACGGCAAAAGGTCATACAGTCTACGAAAAGACTTCAAGAATCGGTGAATCTGTCCTGATGGCAATGTAGGAGCAGCGGTTTGGATCCCCAAATTTAATGTCGTATTAAGTTTTAAATGCCCAAAAGAGGCTTCAACTTTCTCTGGAGAATCTGTAGCTATCTCGGAAGCCATTACTTTTATACTCTCCCACAGGATTTACAAATCCATTATATTCACAGACTCCAAAAGCTGCCTGGAAGCTCTCTTGAGCAATATGTTCAAGTCCAAAACTGTATCCCCTATCATCTTAGACATTAAAAAAACACTGTTAGAATGTCATTCACAAAATATTGATATTGCGCTAGCATGGATTCCTGGTCATAGTGATATTCGAGACAACGAAATCGCAGACACTTGGGCGAAAGACGCTACACTATCAGGTAACCCTTCACGTCTTCAAAATTACTCTGCAGATGTTCTCCAATTAGCTAAAACCGACCTTCAATCCGAATGGAGTAAAAGATGGAGTCGTAACTCCAAAATTATAGGCCGCCATTATGGCAGCCTTCAGGAAATAATACCCAGAAAACCTTGGTTTGCTAAATTCCGCGACTTTCCCAGGCGGGTCATTACAACTATTAGCCGTCTTCGTCTCGGCCACGTTACCTCGCCAGTCTTTCTTTCCAAATTACGTATACTAGACAGCTCCATTTGTGAGTGCGGACTCGAGGAAGGCACTGTAGACCACATTTTTTTCAACTGTCAAAAACACCCATCTCTATATTCTCTACTTCCACCCAAAACTGTACGTCCCGTTAACATTAATACAATTCTAACATTGACCGACAAACCTGGCTTTTTGTGTTTATGTAAATTCATTAAAAAATACAATATTGAACTCTAACTTTTATTAACCCTTCTATTTTTATTTGGATGTAAATGTCGGCTCTACCCATGTCATATAAATTAATATTGTTTAACCTGTGACGTCTTTGTGTTTGTTTGTTATGTTGTGCTTTCAGAAAAGTGAAATACTCAAGGAAGAACGTATAATCGGTTATTTAACGGTTTCTACCGAGCAGTCTTTCTCGTGTCTCTCTCACTACCTACTGGACATTGGCGAAATTTCTGTGCAAAACGGAGAACGCCACAGAAAGAAAAAAAAAAAGAATCGGTGACATTGACATTTGATTTGACAATGATGACATATGACAGTAACACATGACATGAGAACATGAGAAACAAAACAATGGTTCTCGAAGTTGTATTTGTCGTTCATTTTTACAAAATATTATAGCAATTTATAGAAAAATAATTAATTCACAAGATGGAGAAGAGAGAGGAGGATTTAAAATCTCTTCAGACTTACATAGGGAAGGTTGATATGGAAGTGACTATGATCCTTCAACAATTGCAATGGGACAGGAGCCACTTGTTAGAGGTTAAATGTTTAATTAAACTAAAAATTGTTTAAGCCAATTGATTTAATGTTAATATTATTATCTAGCTGGTGCCCGAAGCTTCGCCTACGCGGGATAGTTGGTTTTCTATACAAACGAAAAAACGTCTACTACTTATTATCATGGCCCTTATTCTTTTCCATCTTTTTACCAAAATTATTGAAGTTAGATTCAGCATTTTCGCTATGACGGCGTACGTTCTTTGGTGTTCTTCTCACAGAAGAAATTAAGATGAAGACTATCATGTATTGTTTAAAATCTAAAAAGTTATAATTTATAAACAATCATTGTTACAGAAACCTCGAATGGTGAATTGTAAATACGATGCAAATCACAGAATTCCAATTGAGATGAGGGATGCTCATGAAAGTCAATGTTTTTACAATGTTAATGGTTATTCACAAGAAGATTTATTATTACCAGATGCAGTAGACACCAATGCTGGAGTATTAATTAAATTAAGTAATTATTATTTGTATACAAGTTACAGTTTAATTAATATTTACGGTTCATTTCTATGTAGCAAATATACTCACTTTCTTCTTACAGGCAAAATTGATATCAATTCAATCATCGACAAGGCTGCTAAAGCAGATCCTACATTTAAAAGAGGTAATGCGTAATAATATGTGAAAAGAAGTTCCATATTTTTCCTGTTTTGTTTAAAGAGAGACATTGCCCTAACTACATTGTATCCTTTGCAATAGCATAATTGGCAGATGAAAGAATAAATATAAATATTATTAACATTTCTAGATCCTAAACAATATATTTTTCATCCCACCACCTCGGAAAGTGTAATTTTGCGCTTCGAAATCTGGCTGGAAAATTCTATTTTATTCGCTTGAGCGGCAAAGTAGATTTGAATTTAGAACATCACATATAATGAGTACTCAATATAATTGTAAATTCAAAACGTCATTAAACCTATTTAATGTAACCTCTATGGTGCCAAATTTATGATTAGAACTTTTTAAATTGTGAAAAAATTTAAATTTGGAACCTTCTTGGTTTCTTTGTTTTATTTGCGTGCTTCGCGCCATTCTAGTTTTTCACGTTTTATTGCTTAAATATTTTGTCATTATAAATTGTTTTCTTTTTCATTTTGTCATTTCCTCGCTGAGGTGGGATGAAAAGTTACGTATTGCACTCGAGTGGAAAGATTTTTCACCTTGTGCTCGTTTGTTTCCGCTGACGCTCAGGATTCTAATTTAGAATCACTCGCTGCGCTCGTGATTCAACTTTAGAATCCTTCGCTTGCTCGGTCATCCAAATCGAGCACGCGGTTAAAAAGGAACTTTCCACTCTTGTATAATAAATAACTATTTGTGCCTCCCTTATCAATAAATACCTAATTATATTGGAATGTTAATATATGTTAAATATGAGCTTAATTGCTTTATCTAAAATTTCATTAAAAGTATAATGTAACAACATTTATAACTAAAAACCTTAAAATATATAATAACTAAAATACATTATTAAAAGGAGTCCCTTTAGGCAAGGTTCCAAAGATACTGACAGCGTTCCCCCCTTTGAATAGCTAGACTAATTCTTTGTCCGAGGTAGCTGCCAGCTCTTCGGTCTCCCGTGATGTCGAAATAAAATAAATAAAATAAAAAAAAAGTTTTTTTTTTTTTTTTTTTTTTTCTTTTTTTTTTTTTTTTTTTTTTTTTTTTTTTTTTTTTTTATATATTATTTGCAATCAGTCTTTGGACTATGAGCAAATTTATTGAGCGCAACCAAACATGACAGGAGTGGTCGGCCAGCGCCACCACTTCCTTTAAAGAACATTCTTCCTCTTCAGTCTCGAGACGCGGTCAGCTTGCTCAAGCAATTGGCATATTAAAGGATTTGGATGGTTTGAGAGGCGCTCAGTGTACCTCGATTTGCAATTGTCTATCTCTTCTGCGACAGTGGGCATGTTCAAGTATTCATGAATTTCGTCATTTTTTGTGAACCATGGTGCATTTACTATTGTTCTGAGGATATTATTTTGAACTCGTTGCAGGCAAGTAATGTTACTTTTGCAAGCAGTGCTCCACAACTGTATCCCATAAGTCCAAACTGGTTTTATAATGGTATTGTAAATAAGAAGCTTGTTGTCGATTGACAGGGCAGAGTTACGGTTCATAAGCCAATGAAGGTTTCTGTATTTTATATTAACTTCATCTCTCTTTTTCTTTAAGTGCTGCTTCCAGGTGAGTCTCCTATCCAAGTGGAAACCAAGATACTTGACGCAATCTGAGTGTGGGAGTGTGTCTGACCCAAGGTGAACAGGAGAACAGTTTCCCTTCCTTAATGCAAACGTAATGTGGTTCGATTTTTGACCACTGACTCGAATACGCCATTTTTTCAGCCATGCGTGAGTTTGATCTAATAGGTTCTGTAGCTTTGCACTAGCTATGTCAGGGTCTTTATCGCAGGCAAGGTATGCAATGTCATCAGCGTATGTAGCAATTACAGCGTCGCCAGCAGTGGGAAGGTCGTACGTGAATATGTTATACAGAACCGGACCAAGTACCGATCCTTGCGGGACTCCAGCCTCCACAGCTTGCAAGGAAGATCGTGAGTCATCGACTTTAACCCTAAAGTATCTTTGTGACAGGTACGATGCAATTATGAGGTAAACCGAGTGTGGTAGGTTCTTTTTAACCTTGTACAATAGGCCCTTGTGCCAAACCTTGTCAAACGCCTGTTGCACATCCAGGAAAGACGCGGAACAGTATTCTTTTCTCTCATAGCAAGTTCTTACTGTGTCATATACACGATGCATTTGTTCTATGGTGGAGTGGGATTTTCTAAAACCAAATTGATGTGTAGGGATGAGGTCACATTTATCCATGCAATATTTAAGGCGGGTAAGGAAAATCTTTTCCCACAGTTTAGAAAGTGTAGGCGTCAAGCTAATGGGTCTGTAGGATGTAGGTTCATGTATAGGTTTTCCTGGTTTGTGTATCATGATGATTTCAGAGATCTTCCATATGGCTGGGAAACAAGACGTCCTAAATATGGCGTTAAACAGGCATGCCAGGAAGGTGAAGCATTTTCTAGGAAGTTCTTTTAAGACCCGTGTTGAAATGAGGTCGAAACCAGGCGCCTTTTTCGAATCGAGTAATTTAATTTCTCTTGCAATTTCTTTTGGGGAGGCAGGTGTCAGAGGCAGGCATAGCTGGAGATCTTGACCAAGTACCGTTTCAACTTCAGTTTCATCCTCTAGAGCATCGTTAGGCTTAAAAGTTGTGGCAAGATGGGTAGCGAAAACTTCAGCTTTCTCTGCATTTGTTTTTGCCCAGGAAGTAGAAGAAGATCTAATAGGCGGAGTGCATTGCATTGGTTTTCCAACAATCCTCGTGTTTTTATACAGAGAATATTCGCCTTTACCATGTGGTGACATACTTTCCAATTTTTGTTTGATATTGGCATTCCTAGTTGCCTCTAGAACTAACTTTAGGTCTTTTACAGCACGGTTAAACACCTTTTTGTCGACCTCTCTTCTAGTTTGGTGCCATATCCTTCGCAAACGGCGCTTTTCTAAAATTTTCTTTTTTATTTCGGAGGAAACTAATATGTTTTGTGGGGCATGCTCAACATACGGGGTACTTTTCCAAGCAGCAGTCTGAATCACATTTGTGACATGCACACAAGCAGCATCCACATCTTCTTGGGATTTAAGTGGCATCCTAAAGTTAAGATTGGTATCTATATAATAACGAAAGCATTCCCAGTCGGTCTTATGATTTGTCAAGGTTTCAGGCTGTTTTTCGGACATGATGACAGATGAGCTCAAAGTTAATATTACCGGGGTATGATCAGAACTCCCATCTAAGCTAGATTCCACGCAGGCATATAACTGACTTATGTTTTTAGTAACGAAAAAGTCGAGGAGGTCTGGAAGTCTACATTTGTCTGCTGGCCAGTAGCTGGGTTCTCCAGTAGATATTGCCATTAGGTGAAGAGCACATTGACTTTTTCTCAGTTCACGACCTCTCGGTAGAGTGATGCGAGAACCCCAGAATGTATGCTTGGCGTTCCAATCACCGCCTGCAATAAATGTGTTGCCAAGAGTTTCGAAATATGCCTGGTACATTTCTTGTGTAATCTTATGCTTCGGGGGACTGTATACAGCGGATAGAATAAATGATCCCATTCGATCCTCTACACGTACAGAGGTAGCCTGAATGTGGTATGTTGAGTATCCTTCCAATGGCACGTGTTTAATGTTCGAACGAATGACTAGCGCCGTTCCAGCATGAGCTCGGCCATCGGGGTGCGGCGTGAAATATATTTTGTAGCCTTTCATCTGGAAGTTACTTTTATTAACTGCATGAGATTCCGATATAAGGGCCACGTCTAGTTGATTAATCGACAACATGTTTTCCAGTTCGCAAATGTTCGGAGACAGCCCATTGATGTTCCAGGTTGCAATGCGGATATTTAGGAATTTGGTTGAAGCATGGAGATGAGAGTTGTCAATAGGTTCATTAATGTTCCTATTTGTTGAATGAGTAGATCAAGTTTTTCTCCTTGCTTGACCATGATTTGCTCCATTGTAGGGTACTGCTGCTTACTCTCACTATCATTAGTTGGGTGTTTGACTGATTTGACATGTGTTACTTCCGCGTAAGTCCTCCTAGCATTCGTATATTTGTGGGTGTTTGTTGTGGTCTTGTTTTCCTCGAATCTTTTAACGTTATTTAATGTTGTCTTTCTGTTAGGTTCTATAATTGGGTTTGTGTTGATTTTGTTGGCAGTTTTTCTAGAGAGGATTTCTTTATAGACCTGACATCCTTTATAGTTTGCTGGGTGGTCGAGAGAACACAGTGCACACTTAGCTGGAGTATTTCTGTCCTTTTTAGGACAATCGCTGGTTTTGTGCCCTTCGCCGCACTTGACACATCTATAAGGCCTCAAGCAGTTATTTTTTGAGTGTCCATACTGTTGGCATCTTTGACACTGGACTATGGTTTTAGACCTTCGTGGCTCCTCTATTTTAACCTGTTGGTGATAAATGTGCTGTATTGCTTTCAACTCTTTGTTTTGCTCACAGGGTGCGACGTTGACGAAGAAAGTGGAAGTAGGTTTTTTCTCTGGCCCATACCGACAGTTTATGACTTCTCCAACAACTTTGTTTCCCGTCTTCTCTATCACTTCTACGATGGCTTCATGAGGAGTAGTATGATGAAGGTTTTTAATGACTATGCGATAGCATTTGTTGTCTTTTCTAGTGAAAGTGTGTCCTATTAGTCCTCTTTGTCTTATAAGCTCGATAACTTTTTTATAATTTTCAACCGAGTCAATCATAACTCGCATCAGGTTTCCGTTTATAATCTTGTATGTAAAGGTATCCTTATCTACTACTGAAGTTATTAGTTTCGATAGCTCATTTACGTCCTCTATGCCATATAGTATTATTGGAGGCGGTCTACTTGGATTTTTTGGTAAAGATGGTCTATCTTCAGGTGTATCTACCGGCAGGTTGCTGAAACGATTTTGGGTTTGAGTTTCGGTGGGAGGTGGAGAGAAGCAATACTTCCGTTTTTTGGATCCAGGAACTCGTTGCCACAAAGGAGGCAGTTGGTCTGTTTCTGGTGTTTGAACAGCGGTTACATCTATTTCCGTTTGGATATCTTGAGCAAGTTCGCCACACGAGTATGATCTTGGTCTTGAGTCAAAGAAGCTTTTGTGGAACACTTGTTGGGCAAGCACTTTATGCGGTTTGTTTTGTTGAGGTTGTGAAGTTTTGGTTAGATTTGGTTTTATAATTTCATTCATTGGATTCCCACGAGATAGGACGAAATATAAGTCGCTCACAGGGTGACGCCTATTCCTGTAAGAAGGCACTTATACAACGATGGTTGCCCGTAAACATCGAGGTTGGCGCTTGAGACTGATTGCCTATCAGCCATCCATCCTATCGGCACGGTCCACACCTTAGGATTAGGGTAATTTTTATTTTATTCAATAAAGGTTTTCTTCCTTTGAGCCCGGGCAGTTAAGCCAAGACTCTCTTTGGTTAGATCTTCTGGTGACAAATCGTGGATATAAGATCGGAGATTGTTATCCCCTTGCCAGATATTCGGTTATAGCGCCGAAGGCTCGCTTTTGCCCTTCACATTGGCTATCTTGGTCCAGAGGTATACAAGGGAGCTCTGTTTGGACCAAGACATTGCCCGGGGAGGACGACTCACTGGTGATGGAGTCCATTGCTAGAATGCGGCGGCGTTCTAACAATGGCGAGGACGTAGTGTGAATAGGACTGGCCAGTGCGCGCCTGTAGTCTAGCTCCACCTAGATGTAAGCGAATGGCATTTCTCGGCTTTTTATAGAGGAATATTCCCTGGTAAGAACAGACCCCACCGAGGCCAACACTGACTCCCCCCCCAAAAAAAAAGTAAAAGTTAAGTATTATTATAATTATGTACAAATTAGTGATGTAACGAATATTCGAATTCGCGAACATTCGCATATTTTTGAATATTCACATTCGCATTCGCAAAATCTCTGCGAATGTTTGGCGAATATGAATATTAGAAAAAAACAATTTGAAGAAGTTGTAGTTCTGCCTTTCCTTGAATATTCATTGTTACACAGTTAGCATTTAGCTCGTTCAGCATCGCAAAGTGTGAAATAAGTTCGTGTCACTAGAATTCGATTTACTCATGTTAATAAATCACTATTACCACTCACAATCACTAACCTTAAAATTCACTTGTTTTGTTTACTGAAAGACCGGCGCGAGCGGAATGACACTTCAGTTGGATGAGTTCATATCAACTCGGCAATTCGAACGAGACTGCCACCATGACATAGACAATTGGCGCCAATTTAAAAAAAAAAATATTCGCATACCGTTCGGTACCAGACATTCGCATCCGCATTCGCATTCGCGAATGTTAAAAAAATGACATTCGTTACATCACTAGTACAAATACGTTTTATGAAAATCATAAATTAATTATGACCAAGGCCTGACAGTTATCATATTTTAGGACATATTTGGTTATTATATTGATTAAACAGGACTGAATGTAAATTAGTTCTTTGCAAATTATTGAAAAGTTTCATAATGAAGTTTCCTCAACAAAGGTTCAGGATGCGAAGGAGCGGAACCCATGTCACTGGAGCGATTGCAGGCCTCTTATACAGCTGATGAGCGGCGCGCTATTTATGAAGCTGTGGTCCAAGCAGCTCCATCCTGCCATGATCTCACTGACTTGGCATTGTTAAGGTGATTTTACATTTTGCTGACCTAATAATGAAATCTTAAACTTATTTCAAAATGTGGACTAAAGTTAGTCTTGGTTTAAATGTAATGTTGTCTCTGTCTTCTTTTTAGCAAATAAAAGTGACAGCATCAGTTTTAGTTCAGGTTTAAAGGAGATTGCTCAGCTTCCATACATGTTTGGCCTAAAGACCAATAATCATGAAAAATTGTTTCCTAGATTCGAAATTATATATAAACTAGCAAACCAGTGAACCAAATGTTCACCAAAACCTGATTTAAAAAAAAAATGTAGTTATAATTTTTATTATTTTTAAAGCATGTAACTGCTTGATGTTTTTCTAGTTATATTTTCTTTAAAAAAAATGTAATTAATTAATTGAGAACTTCGGAGATTTTGTGTGGTTTCGTTTGAAATTCGTGATTTCTCGAAAACCGGAAGTGCTACGTTACTCAAATCCGGTTTGTAGTCTTATCAGACTATTCTTAATTTATAACTTAAACATTCTCTTTATCTATCTCTTACGGTTTGGCTGCTGAAACAGCACCACGGACGGACTTGTCTAATAGATAAGAGATTACTGTAGAAACGAATATTATTGACGGACACCCCTGAGAACTTCTATAAACCATATACACTGAACATATTAAAATAATTAAAAAACAAATAAGTTATATAGTAAACTAGGGAAACCAAGCCAAGTACCGAAATTATGGATTAGATTCAGTTATATAGAGCATGTAAATTAACAGATAGTTGCCTGTTTTTAAAGTTAATGCTTAAGAGTAACTTTTAAAATCAGATGTCATCTATGCATTTCCGGTTATAATAAGGTACTCTGTGACAAAGACTTTATCTGTGACAGAAACTGTGTGATGATTGTGAATGAGCCACATGTTAGAGAGATTTTTTAAACTCTCGTTAAGCAAAGAAAGCTAAGAGATTTAGGTTCTATAGCCATATATTCAGTAGCTTCATTATTTTTGTTATGTTTTTAAGATAACCATATTTTAGATTTTTAGTGTATCACACCTTAAAGTTTTATAATTTATAGTCAGGCAACGTAGGCCCATACAAAGATACCTTAAAGTCCAACATATATACAGAATATAATGTGTTTATGGAGGTGTTTGTCGAAAAATGTATGTCGCCAACCATCTATAATAATTGTCTGAGCACATTTGCATGTAGTGAAAATGATAATATAGTTGTGGATATTAATACCACAGTGTAATAAAAAAATGATTTATTTTATCGATCTTTACAAAATAGATTTGTTTTTATGTTATATAAACAACTTCGATCAGTCTTTGGCTGAATGTTTCTACACCCATAGCCATTAAAAATGATTCGTATGTTTTCCAAACCTGTAAAATTAAAGTCCTTTTTAAAGTAAATATATTATACAAAGGTGTCCGTTGTAATCTAATGACTGTAAATGAAATTATAAATTACGTCAAGAATTACCGTGTATGTCAATTTTTTTTGTGCATTTGGGCCAATTTGAGCAATCTCCTTTAGTCTATGTTTTGAAATAAGGCGGTAAATGTGTGTCATTCAGCTTTCGCTACTGGCTTTGGAAAAAATTAGCAAATATAAGAATAAATATAGAAACATATTAAACTCCAATAATGGTTTCAATATGACCAAATTTTAAAATAATATTTATTTTGTCTTAGTGGCAATGAAGATGAACAGAAGATGGCTAAGCAGAAGTCACGGCTAGAAATTCTAGCAGAGTTGCGCGACATGAAGCGTCGCCGCACTAAGTACCGGGTGGCCGCCAAAACGCAGAACTATTCAGACTTGCTGAGGGATGTCATCAAAACCCAGGTATGTATGTGCTGAAATAGTAATAATAAATGAATTTTAAAAAGTGGTGTTGATTCACTAAACTTAACACTAAATTTTAGATCAGTTTCTTCTTTTCATTCTGTGTAGAGTATGACAAGGATACTTTATTGTCAAATTTAAGTCAAGGTTTAGAGAATCTTGCCAGAATCGACACCAGTGTTCCTTGTTTACATCCAAATTTAATAACGAAATTGATAGTTGTATAAATAGAATCGAAATGAATTTATATTCGAGGAGCTCGATGGCGCAGGTGGTTAGCGCGTTCGGCCTGCGATCGTGAAAGTTAAGCAACTTTCGCTATGGTCGGTCATTGGATGGGTGACCAAGAACTTATTATCTCGAGCTTCTACGTGCTTCGGAAAGCACTTAAAGTCGGTGGTTCCTTTGCAGTCGTTAGCACCCGCCATTCCACACCGGGCCCGCGTCTATTAATGTCCAAAATGCTGGGGCACAGGCCTTCCCTATGGATGGAATAGGGAGAATGGGCCATGACCCGCCACGCGGGCCCAGTGTAGTGGGTGCTAACGACTGCAGATGCAGCTTAGACCAACGGCTTATCGTTCCGAAGCACGGAGGAACTCGAGATAGAAGATTTTTGGTCACCCATCCAAAGACCGACCATTGCGAAAGTTGCTTAACTTCAACGATCGCAGCCGAACGCGCTAATCAATCGCGCCATCGAGTTCTTCAAAATTAAAATATGTAATAATACTATTTTGACCAATATCTAAATTTATTTTTAAGACTGTATTTCTATTGCAGATGGAAGTTTATACTGTTGTTAAAGAAGAACAAGCAATAGACAAGCAGCAGCATAAAGTTGATGAAACGCGAAATAGAAATAATGATAAATATAAATATTTATCAAAGGAACAAAAAGACAAAGAAAAGGTTTACAGAGAACTTGATAGATATAAAGATGGAGGTCAAAGTCATAGGTATGGTCATTCTAAATATGATTTTGATAAAAATAGTAAAAGGGGAGATAGGTCTGACAAATATTATCAAGTTAATAATGATGACGAATATTATAACAAACAAAAAAGAAACAGCTCAAAAGATACTTCTCACAAAGACAGTAAAAGAGACAGAAGTTCTGATTATCACGATTATTCGGACACAGATTATAACACCAAAAAGGATAGATACAAAAGAGAAAGAAATAATGAATCGCATGGTAGTTCAGACTATAGAACCGATAAGGCAACTAGAAAATATTATGAAGAAGCCCACAGTAGTAGAAAACATTTAGATAAGAATAAACAAAGCAAAAAGGTCCAATCAAAACATAAATCTAGTAGTAAATATAACAGTGACAATGAAGATAAAGATATAAAACCAATATATATTAAACAGGAATATGACAAATATTCTGAGAACAGTACTAACAAAAGAAGCAGTTACGGTGGTAAATATAATAATGAAAGCTATGATTGTTATGAAGACACAAAAAATTTTGTCAAGAAAAGGTTGGACAGAAGTACACAAGATAAATATAAAAGTGACCGACATGCTACTCATAAGAAAACAAGCAAGGAAGATTCATCACAACACAAACGTTATTACGATCAGTATAAATAATGTGATGATAAATAAAAGGTTTTTACTATGTGATTTTGTTTGATTTTATCTTCAATATAAAGCAAGGCTACTAAATTTAATAAATATCTGATATCTACAGTTCAGTAACGTAATTATATGCCGTTTACCAAGTCTTTATTGCAAGTAAACGTTAGTTATTTTCACTCATTAGATCCAGGGGCGTATTTTGAAATCTGGCGCCCCGGACAATTTACCGTTTTTGCAACAGAAGTAGTTAATCTAATTGTATGTATTTTTATATAGCTTCTGCCGCCGCAGCTCTTCCAGTGGCGGCTGGAAGAAGGACGAACTGCCAGCCCCACGCCCCGGGCCATGACCCTCTTTTACCCAGGTTAAATACGCCTCTGATTACCTACCCGGCGCAGATGATCGAGTAGCATCACGTCATCTTATATATAAAATTCTCGGTCACTATGTTAGTTACCATACTCCTCCGAAACGGCCTGACCAATTTTTATGAAATTTTATATGCATATTCCGCGGGTCTGAGAATCGGCTACTATCTATTTTTCATATCCTTAATTGATAATGGTTCTCCACCTGTAACGTAGTGTTCTGAAACCTACAATGGGCCTTCGCGCCAAAATTCAAACTATTGGGTATTGTAATGTAGTGCTCTCTTAAGGGTTAGGAGGAATGTTATCTCAGGAAATTGATAGTTTACCGAAGTCCATATTGAAATAATACATTTGGTGGTGTTCTGTTTATTTTGGTGAATAAGGTTCTGGGATGGTTCCAGGGCTGCGCGGGCGCGGGGTAGAGGGTGGGGTCAGGGTCAAGTGATGATTTAGTATACCAAGCGTCTAATGGTGTGTAGTGACAGGTTCAGCCCTTGTCGTAATGGTCGTGATTTCTTTACAAAAAATAATAATATATAAAATGGGTGGAAATAAGCATTACTAGATGGACGTTTGTTTGACGACCCCCGCGGCCGAGTGGTTCGTACGCTGGGTTTCATGGTGTCGCTGACTCGAGAGGTCCCGGGTTCGAATCCCGGTGGGGGCACATGTTTGTGTGATGAAGACGAGCATTTGTACTCCAGTCATAAATTTTTAATATGTATTTCTATATAAATATACTTATATATGTACAGTATATGTATTTTATCCGTTAACCTAGCATTCCATAACACAAGCCTTATAGTGCTTACTTTGGGGCTAGGGTAATTGGTGTCGAAAAAAAAATATTACATACAGACGAATGCGTATCCAGGGTCGGATTTGAGGTGTGGGGGCAACAAGGAGAGGGGCCCCTAAATCTGAGCCGGACCACTTACGATTTGCACCCCCTCCCTGATTTGGTGACCAGTCGAACCCGGTGAACTTTACTTACAGGCAGGAATACTTAGAAGGTACTTATTAATAAGTAAATAAATATTTCCAACACCCACACCAATTAGCCTAGCCCCAAAGTGAGCACTGTAGGCTTGTGTTATGGGATACTAAGTTTCTATATATAACAATGTACTCTATGATACTAAGGTAGCGGATAGAATACATATATATAATGCTATTCAACTAAGAATAGGACCGACTGGGCGCCATATTGTCATAGCTGTCAATTCAAACCAAATCGGTAGTGAGCAAAAAAAAAAGATTTTATTTAATAATACTTATTTACTAAGATGGAGTGAGAAAAAACATCATTTTTTATTATAATTTATTTACTAAGATGGAGAAAAAAAAACAACAGATTTTTAATAATATTTATTTATTAAGAATGTGTGAGAAAATACATTAATCAGAATCTAGCTCTTCAACTCCGGCCATCGCTGCGTTGCCGCCGGAGTAGTTATGAATAATCATGCACTATTACTAGGAACATGTATCCTTTAAGTAAAAGAAAGTTTTGAATCGAAATTCTTGACGCAACTTAAAGTGACGTTTGGTTGACGATTTAGGTTATCAACCTCATAGCCAAAGCTCAATAAATGAAAAAAAATATCAACCAATATTAATTATCAAAATTTGTTATTGTTATTTTTACAAATGTTTGGTTTTTATTCCAGAATTAGCTGAGTGCTAAAAAAGGGATGCAAAATTAATTTGCAAACCGTACTTTTCAAGCGACATTTGACAGATGAATGTCATTGGCATTCCTATTCTTATTTGCATCGCACTAAAAGTATATTTCTAAAGAAATACGTATTTAACACCCATGACTGGAGTACAAATGCTCGCATTCATCACACAAACATCTGCCCCCATCGGGATTCGAACCCGGGGCCTGTCGAGTAAGCTACACCTTGAAACCCGGCGTTCATACCACTCTACCACAATAGATGTTTAAACTACACTTATTCCTTAATTATTTTAGAATTTAAGTTCTACCTGCTTCTTACGACTTGTAAATCTAATTTCGGATGAAAACACCTTTATTTTTAGACTATATATTTAATTACCTATGTAGCTACAAAAAGTAAAGCAATAACAATAAGTATTGCTCCAATAAATACCTTGATACACTTGGGTATCATACAAGAAAACCTGTTCTAAAGGTACATTCATACCTACTAGTTTTAATCGTTCTATTGCACTCGATACTCAAATGGCAAATCAGGGTTTGAAGGACTGGCAGGCAGCATTTTTTTAAAGCAGTGTAAGCGCATAATGTGTAAGCAATCGTAGAAATTGTTTATAATTATTGTAGCTGAGTGAAGTGTGCGCGCGTACGACATGCGCGCGCGCAATGGGGCTGTGACGGGGACCGCTGCATCGTAATCGTAACGCGCTTTCTTCGCATCCACGATTAAGATATGCGTTAAAACTGGCTCTTGTTTTAATTACATATTAATTGCAGAGCTAAACGAGCTCGTGATAATGCACGACGGTAAATGAGGTTTCTAGGAAAATGATGGCCAGTTAAAGTAAGCGCTACTTAGACCATTGACATCAATGATGACATGAACAGTGTTTGTCTGATAGCAAGAAGCAGTAAATAAACTACTATTAATTCACTCGACCAAGTCTTTAAAATTTCTACTCATGGTTTAATACTTAAATGACATGGAAGACGTCTTTAGGACTGGTCTAACGTGGGACTCAACATAAATGGCGAAGAACCAACTAGTTAATAAAACTGCGGTTTCTGTTGAAGAGGTTATGTCATGCCAGATGAGTTAACTCCGCGTCACTTATTGTCGCATTAATGGTGTTGGTCTCTTTCATACACTCACGTCGGAGTGGACACCGCAAGTGGCAGCGTGACGCAGCATACGGCGTGGTGCTGTACGCGGTCTACGGCGTTTATAGAGACATTTAGGGAATATAGAAATTTAGGGCCCGATCCAAGGGGCGGCGAGCCGGGCATATGCCCAGCGCAGCAAAAAAAAAGGAGCGAGCCTTACAGTAGTCGCGTATGATGTGTAACATTTGAAACCTCACCTTATATTAGTAAAAAAAGAAATAAAACCTACTACAAAAGGAATAAGCCATTGGAACATTATCTTCTAAAATTAAATCAAATAGCGCGCGCTTTCGCGACTTCCTGTTACACACTTCCGTCCCATTTCCCGAAATCACTCTCACAAATTGCAGGAAAGCGAGAGGAAAGATGTTACACATCAAAAAGGGGTGGCAAAATGGACTTAGGGCAGCCGTAAAGAACGTTACTAAAGGCGGCAAAAATCTTTGCCCGGAGCGGCAAATTTTTTAGATCGGGCCCTGCCTAAATTAATACGAGCAAGAATAAAATAATGTGCAGTAACACAAGCCAACAGCATATCACATTAGTCAGATAACCCATAGGAGCCCTGAGTTCGTGTAATGAAATGAAATGAAAAGTCATTTATTCAATCTAGGCTGTTACAAGTACTTATGAAGGTCAAGAAGCTTTGCCATCGGTTCGCAAAACTACGGTAGTAGACCTTGTACAAGTTGTAAAATTACTCCAGAGATACGTCTGAAGTCACCTTCCATTACATAATTTAGAATATAAATATATAGTTACAATAAATTTTATAGTTAACATTATATTTAGTTTAAAGGATGCGGTATTAGATAGGTACAATAATACTGTTATGAAAAATGACTAATACCCATTTAATAAAAAATTACAAGAAACACTATGTCCATGCATTACGATCATTTAGATAATCATCAACTTTATAATAGCCCTTATTCATAAGAGTATTTCTTGATCTGAGATTTACATTTTTGGTCAGTGGAAGCTCAATCAGATCTTGGAACTTTATTAAACAATAACAATGCAATAATATAACCTAGAAATGAACCTCTTGATTTTTGAATCTGAAACATGGAACGGCAAGCTTGTTCTTAAATCTCGTGTTAAAGTTATGGGTTTGACTGGTTTTTGCAAATGTATCATAGTTTTTATTTATGCGATTAATTATGCGGCACTGCATTTTTGTGCATATATGGCGTCCTAGTAGAACTCGATGACGCAGTGGTAAGCAAGTTTCGGGGTTGCGATTGGTAAATGGGATGGGTGATCAAAAATGTATCTATCTATCTCAAGCTCCTTCGTGTTTCGCAGTCGTTGGTTACGGCTGCATCTGCAGTCATTCGCATCTACACAGGCCCATTCCGCCTTTTACTTATGTCTTAATAGGAGGCCTCTCATCGGCAGTGGATAAGCTGATGACGATTGTAATGATATGGTGGCGTCTTGGTCATTCAAAATAAAGTTTGGTCTAAAAATTTATAACAAAAAACCGGCCAAGTGCGTGTCATGCTACGTGCAGTGTCGGGTTCCGTAGTTGCCTATCTATGCCACTAAATTTATACGTATAATGCGATTCAAATAAGAATAGGAAAGCCAATGACCTCCACCTGACAAATGTTGCTTGAAAAGTACGGTTTGCAAAAAAATCTCGAAACACTTTTTTAGCACTCAGCTGATTCTAGAATAAAAACCAAACATTTTTAAACAAACAGTAACAAATGCTGATAATTAATATTTTTTTTTCACTTATTGAGTATTGGCTATGAATGGCTGATAACCAAAATCGTCAACCAAATGTCACTTTATGTTGCGTTTAGAAACTCGAT